GTAGAATTAGAAAGTAACAGAAAATGTAGAGTACCATTAGCTGATTTACTGCTCTGTCCTGCCACCTGCTGGTCAGTCTGCATCATGTCATTCATCAAGCAACACCAATACCAACCTTATAGAATGACAGGACCAGGAAATATATTTTATTGAATTATTAATTCATTAATCAACTTCTATTCTGCTGTATCACTTCTTCTTGTGCAATATTTATAATTTATATTTTCTTTCAAACATAAAGCATTTTTTTCAGTTTTGGATAAGGAAAATAAATCTGTTGAGTCAACAAGAAAAACAAAACAGATTTTAAAAAGTTAAGTATGCAACTTTGTTTTCACTGGAAAACAATCTACTGCTTCACTGAGATTAAAACATGTTGAAAATATATCTAAAAGCATGAATATAAAACAGTGAAGCAGTCTGACTCTACTACATGCATGTTTTTTTTCTGATGTTCACACCCAGGACACAAACATGATCTCATAGATAATGATTGTAAGTCTGTGGTCACACCAGCATTCAGCCTCAGAGACTGATTACATACACTTCTTGATTTTCATCGAGTGCCAGTAAATAAAGAAGAACAATGGGGTTGACTGTGCTGCGGTTGAGCTGCCGTTCCCACAACGGTGCCAACATGCACGCAGCTATTGAATTGAGAAGAGGAAGGAAAGTGCTTCTTTGTTTGGAAAGATAAAGCTGCAGCATGTCTGCTCTGCCAGAAAACATACTGTAGCACCTTCATAGACAAACATGAATCTCTCTTGCTCCCTTCCCTCTCAACACACACACCTAACCACATAATAAACATACATTTACTGACACCATCAGTATTATAATACACAGATAATAGCAACGATTGTTCTCTGCTAAAGCAAGTGGTGATGTAAACTTAGCTACGCCATGTCAAAATGTTAAATGTGAGACTATTATTATTCAACTATACAGATATGATGAACGGATACTGAAATTTACTTCATTAATTTCCAGTAACAAAAAGTATCTATCAGGTTTTTATGTTTATATAGAGCAGAACACAACAGAACAGAGTAGAAAATGGATGAAAATAGAGCAGAACAGAATAGAATAGAATAGAACAGAATACAACATAATAAAACAATAGAAATTAACTTATTAGAATAACAAGGTTGTAGACTAGAACACACCATAGAAGAGAATAGAAGACAACATATTACAACGGAACAGAATAGAACACAGTAAAAAGGAATAAAATAGACCACATAAAAGAATAGAAAAGAAACGAACATATTAGAATAATAAAATCATAGGATAGAATAGAACAAAGTAGAACACATGTAAAGGGCATATCATAATAAGACACAACAGAACCAAACACAGGTTATTGGAATAGAAAAGAACTGACCACAACATAATAGAATCAAACAGAACAGAACAGAACAGAACATTTTAGAAAAGTACAGAACAAAAACAACAGAAAGGAATTGAGAGGTAGAACAGAATAGAACACAGATACAAATCAATAGAACAGAACAGTACAGAACAGAATAGAACAGAATAGAAACTACAAAATAGAACAGAACAGGACAGGACATAACACAACAGAACAGAACAGATAGAATAGAAAACAACATATTAGAATAGAACATAACAGGACACAATTTAATGACTTGCTAACCTCATAGTTTAGCATGTTAGCATGCTAATGTTTACTAAACAGTGATAAACACAAAGAACAGCTGAAGCTGATGGGAATGTCATTAGTGCTGTGCAGGTATTTGATTATTAATAATGCTTTATACGACAGTTAGTTCCGACCGAGTAATTTGATTGGACGAGAGGCATTCCATGAGTGCTGATATAGAGTATAACATCACTGGGACATGTAACAGTAAAATGACTCCGCTCACAGGTGTTATAAATATAAATACAACCGTTAATTAACCAACTGTCACACTGGCTACACTGACGCAAACTGACACTAGAGCGTTACACCAAGAAGATGGATATTATTATTACTGATGAGGACATTTCATCAGCTGAACTGGACGAATTGACACAGTTGCAGATCAATGTAAATACAAAGTAGCTTGTGAGTTCCTGGCGTGTGTGCCGTGTTGCCTGGCAACAGACTGGGGGAACTGTTTTTTTTTTTTTCGTGGAGCTACGTAACATACTTAGTTAATTGATTTCATCACCTTTTGTTAACATTTCCTTACTCAGCATTGCTGTTTAAGCTGTTGTTGAACTGTTGTATAAAAGCAATATCACACTCAAGGCTGTGACGATATACAGTACGTCACTCCCTCTTGTGTGATATTGCTTAATTGGATGAAGTAGACCCAATGCTGGCACTTCACTTCATCCTCTGGTTACAATGAATGTTTGAACACAATTTAGTGCCAATAGTTGAGATACTTTTGTGGGGGCTGAGCAACACTGCAAACCCTGGAGCCATGTAATGACTGGCTAAAAATTGGATAAACAATTAACAGAATAAAATAGCATACAAAAAAGAGAATTATAAGAACTCAAAAAGTAGTCCAAGAACCATGGAAAGAAGCAGCCTTCATTATGTCCTTGTTTCAAATGAGTGATGAATTACCTTTATAATTGGAAATAACGTATCTACGGAAGCTGAGAACAGCCATGCCTGCAATTTTTAATTCTTTCGTTATCCAGAGAAAATGAGTTTTGATATCTTATGAGATAAGGAGAACACAAAGGATAATCTCCTCTCAATACTAGTTTATCAGAGAGGGCTCTGGCATCTTAAATGTTTCACGCTGAAAATGTCAAAACAGAAGTACCTATTTTTGATCAGTGGATTTGACCGTACTTAAATCCAGGTTCAGTTATTAACCCTCCCCAACAGTCATGACAGTGATATTAAAAAGTTGAAATCAGGTGTGATCAAATGAACTCAAAATGCACTCATTTTAGAGTTCTCCATTATTAGTCTGTGATCTTGACAAAACAAGTCATTTTCTTATCTCGTTATCTCAAGGAATCAGCTTTTTTTTCATACACTAACCCGCTTTCACAAGAAGACAAGCGTTGTTATCTAGAGATAATAAAATATTTAACTCTTGAGTTCTCGACTTTCATGCTTTAACACAAAACTGTTGAAATCAACTTTTTTAGGACCCCAAAGACTAAACTAACGGAGCACAAGGGAGCCAACTCTGCATCCCACACAGTGCCAACACCAGCACACAGCTGTCAGGCTTCAGCTGCGGCCCGACAGGTTGTGGTCTTTAATTTATGGAGCTGATCTGACAGAAGTTTCACTCTGAATGGAGAGAGGGAAAGACGGAGTGGGTGAAAGGTTTTGTGGTTCTTTGTTTTTATCAGTGTGCTGCACAGGCAGGAAGCACACACAAACACACATGTGCCACACTCTCACATGCACATTTGCATGCTCTCACATGCACGCACACACAATATGGTAATTTACTGTGACAAGGTGTTTTTCTTTACCGATGGGACAAAGCTGCTTCAGTGAGTAAAAATAAAGCACAATAATGATCCTATCAGAGGAAAATGGAGTCGGCTGCTTCTGTAATCTCTCAGAGTAACCTCTCTGTAACCTGTGCATCTCCATCTCTTTGTTTCCATCATGTTTCCATCAGCTCAGCGCTCAGGCCTGACTGCCTCCACACTTAGTCGGGCCGAAAGGGGAACTTCAGGAGCAAGTCAGTTGATATTTAAAACTGCACGCCTGAGATAAATGAACTTCTCAAAAAGCCCTGTGTTTATTTGAACAGGGGGTTGGCTTTGTGCGGAAAAATAAAGCGCAGGTCGAGTTCAACAGCGATCACCACATTATTAACCATTAACCTTTACAATCACATTTATCTGAAGCGGCGTTTATGGCATTCTGGTCAATTGGAAATTCAAATAGTCACAACTATTATGTTAATTTGGCTGAGGCCCCACAGTGAGCTCAGAGTGATATGGGGACCTGACTGCAGAGGATGCATTTTAGTTTTTAAAGCAACTTTTAAAGACAGTACAATAAACTTCCCTTTATATCCAAGCAAGTGGTGGTAAAAAAAAGAAGGGTACATGATGCATTTTTAATGATCATGAGTGATAAAATAAAGGGCTGTAAAGAAATCAAATTTAAGAAGAGGAACAAAGTTTGTGTTTTTTTGTTGTGCAAGATCTGAGGGGGTTCATATTGCTTTGTGAGGGGTGCAAATGCTTTTGAATTTTGCTTTTCACTGAATATTTGACCATTTTTCTGTCAGTTTGTTGCTATTAATGCAATAAAAAGCAGAATAAAACATACAAAAGTTGTTAAATTTAAGTTACTTATAAGGTTTTAATGATTCAAACTTAAAAAATAGATAGAATTATATTAAATGATATGGGAAAACTGATATTATGAGACCATTTTTGGCATTTTAGCCCTTTAAATATTGATTTATTTTACTATAAGTGACAAATGATTAATGTTGTTTGATTTATTGTAAGTTAATGGTTATCCACTGTCTGTGTTTCCTATAAGAGCCCAGCCACAGCCTCGCATCATGACCACTCTTCATGCAAATATTGTTTCGTCGTATTTATTTTATCACCAGAAAACAAAGAACCACAGAGGACAATTTCCTGCAATTCCATAGGCTCCAATTTCAATTTACAGAAAAGCGTATTACTGAACAGCACCAATTATAAATGTGTATGTTAGATTCATATCTCGGCCGGTATGCAAATCCTGGGGTCAGGCTGAGAATTGGTGGTATTCCTGGTCGATGGGTGCAGTAAAAGAGGGTTTTGTTGTAACGCAGATTGTGATCTCCACAATGTGTGACTGTGTGATGCTCAGATGTCTATCTGATCCGTGCTTCCAAAAAAGAAGAAGTGTGCGGCTGCAGAACATCGTGACGTTAACACATTTAAATCGACCGGCCTCTCTACCTATTCATGTGGCTGAACGGTGAACAGGTATTGGAGGTCTGCGACGTATATATACCTGTCCAGGTACTGTTCACCTGCACTAGTGTAGCAGTGTTCAGCTATCGAGTTGGAAATGGCCTCAAGTGAGGGCAACACTCAGACATACAAGATGGTGAGTTGCAGGGATGCTAAATATATTTTCATTTAAAATTAGTCTCATGTAGTTTCATAATTTCATGTTCTTAATTTTTATATTTATTTAAAGGAAAAATGAAAAGTATGAGATGCATTTTGTTTTAGATTTTTCTAGGTGAAATTAAGGTTTTTTATTTATTCTAGACCTCTTTGGACAGCGACATCAACCAACACTTTCAGGATGCAATTGATGTGATTCAACAGCATTCAAATAATTCATATTATGATTCAGGTATGGTAAAAAAATCTCTCATAAAACTGATTTATTGTAATGCAAAAAAACATTACCGTGAATACATAAATTCTGCTCTTTGTGTTTCATATTTATTTATCTTTTAATGCATGATTTAATGTATAAAAACTATAATTTTCCTCTCTTTTATAACCTCAAGAAAGCAATTTCAATTCATGGTATCAGTTTAATTAATTTAATTATGCCTGATCTGAATAAAATAACAACTGATGTGCTTTTTAATTTCAGAGTACACATACTACGAGACTCTGGGTACGCAGCAGCCATCGCTACAGTGTCAGATCTCCTGCTGCCTCGTCACACACCAGTCTGATGTACCAGCATCGGGATACGACTGGAATGACATGGCAGTAAGTTGTGCAAAAGAAATCTGTATATTTGTGTGTTCAAAAAACAGCTGGGAAAACTATAAAAAGAAGGGTTTTGATTTTTAATGTTTTTATCTTTCAGCAGCAGTCTTGGCCTCAGGCCATCCCTGATGTCTCTTTTGGTCGTTCTGTGCAAAATGAGTCGTCTCATTTCTACCCGATTTTACCGCCACCGAGGAACAGCAAAGGTAAGCATAACATGCCTTCTGTTAGACTACTGGAAAGATAATCCAAAATACACATTTAGGTGTTTAATTCAGATCAGATTTATTTTCTAGAATTTTATGCAACAAGGACATATTTGCATATTTAAACACTTTTTTTTTGTATGAAATTTAATAGTACATATCTTTAGAGGCCATTTTCTTTCTTATTTATTTCTTTTTCTTTCTTTCTCAAACTCTGAACCAAAAAATCTCCACTTCAGCTGCACTTACATACACCAGGATTTTGTTTTTTAAATTTTATTCCTGTCTACAGTTTATTCTGAAGGTTTTTACTGAGGGGTTTGTTCATATATCATTCACAGCCTGATTTATTTAACATTTTATTCCTAAAAACATGGCAAAAATACATTATGGAATGGCTGCCGACAGTATGTTCTGATTTACGGAATGATAAAAAAAAAAAAAAAAAGATTCCCTCTCTAAAAACCTTTTACTCTGAATATGACAAAAAAATAAACAAACATTTTGAACCTGGCTTCATCATATATTCAGATTTGTATATGTAAATCCGTGCATATTTAATTAGATATTGCCTCATTTGCATATTTAGTCTGAGTCACTGGCTTCGTTTAAGTCTCTCCTAAAAACATAATTCAATCTCTAATCATATCCTGACTATATCTGAGCTGTCTGTCTTCTTGTTGTTATCTTACTGATTTTATTTCCCATTTATTATCTTGATTTTAGTTAGTTTTATTGTACAGCACTTTGTAACTGTGTTTTAAAGGTGCTATATCAATGTGTAAAGTGTATTACTATTATTAGTATTTAGTCTTACTGTAAGTATTCAACTGTGGAAGTTTCATGGTGATATCTGTTAAAAATTGTACCCTATTCACCTGTAGTGTGTCAGTATACTTTACATTAGAAGTCCGCTGTGACTAAAACAGTTCCCTCTTCTCAGGTCGTAAGAAGCTCAGACTTTATGAATACCTCCACGAGGCTCTGAATGACCCCAACATGGGCGACTCAATCCAGTGGACAGACAGCGGCAGCGGCACCTTCCACTTCATCTCCAAGAACAAAGAGAAGCTAGCCGAGTGCTGGGGCCAACGCAAGGGCAACCGCAAGACCATGACCTATCAGAAGATGGCGAGAGCTCTGAGAAACTACAGCCGCACCGGTGAGATCATCAAAGTGCGCCGCAAACTCACCTACCAGTTCAACCCAGACATCCTGCACAGGCTCGGCTCCGGGCAGGTGTCCGTGCACCTGCCCTACCGCCCTGCGCAGGAGGAGGCGCACACCCGGCAGCCAAGCCCAGCTGAGCAGAGCTACTGCGGCTCTGCAGCGACGGACTGGAACAGCTGGTACGAACACTACCAGCTGCACGAAGACTACAATCTGGCCTCCAGCTTCACATCACACAGCACAAACAAACTGTGAGCGGGAGGATGGTTTGATCACAGAGGGGGGAAATTCCCTTATTGAGAGCAGACTTTTTGCTCTCAAACTTCCTGAGTCCACATTCAGTCCCTACATGTCATCACAAGTTACAGTGGGACTAATAATGTCACAAAACAGTAACATCTTTCAGTTTACAGATGTTTAAATGCTCTTTATTTTAGCATCATGTGAGAGGAGTGATACAGGGAATTAATTTTGTAAATACTCAAAATACGAGTGCGTCTCTTCTTTTAGAAAATTACCTACCATTTGTTTTTTAAAATTGCCTGAATCTAACTAATAAATGAGGATTATGAGGATTTAAATAGACATATTAAGTGAACAATGTACCTATTATATTGCAGCTAATGCCGGCACATTTAACTTATATTGTGGACTTAAGAGGTTGATCTCACCAGTCAACACGAGAGTCTAATTTTCAGAGCTTTTCAAAGACTAGGTCCATATGCAGACAGTGAATGTTATTACATGTGAAATTTGACTATCTGGGCCACACAAAGTGACAGTTTTTGCAGAATCATATCCTGCCAGTCAAACATAACACTGCAAATTAAATGTAAATACTTTAAAACTGAACAAAAAAAAATCTCTTAAATAGAAAACCCTTAGATTTATATGATAACACTCTGGCTGTAACTAACAAATCGATCTTTTACACACCTTTAATTAACTAATACAGTTATATTTAGCATAAAGCTAATGCTAGCATCAATGCTAACACATATTGTGGACTTAACGGGTGAACGTTTCTAGTCAGCACACCTGCATCTATTTAAGCACTAATTAAGAGTCTAATTAACAGGAGCTTCTTGGAGACTGGGTCCATATTCAGTCGATGAATGTTATTACATGTCATAATTTAATGATTTGGGACACAAAAGTGACCCCCATTCAAATGTATCACTGTAAATTAATTGTAAATACTTTTAAACTACAAAACATGCACAAGAAAATTCTCTAATTTCATTACGCAAAGTGGTTTCTTACCAAACCCTTTGATTTAAATGATAATTCTCTACACAGGTACATTTGATATGCAGCTGTATGCACCAGTAAATTGTAGACTTAACAAGACTTTTTCCAGTCAGCACTACTAGCTCTAGAAAGGGACATTTGAGGGGCCACCGTAGTTCTCCTACACGCTTGGCACATGGCAGAAGGTGCAGTTGGTTGCAATCTGTAAACCTCACTGTTAGAAGCCACTAAATGCTACAGCCATGAGCCATTTAACAGGTAAGATTTCAGTCTTTAGAATTAAATGTTATCATATAAAAAACTATAAAAAAAAATCTGTATCTTTACGTATTACACTATGAAATAGTATCTAGAAACATAAGTACAATAAATCTGTTTACAATTTGTGTCAGTTTTGAACAATTAAGATGATTTGCAATCAAAGTAAATAATCATGGATGTATATTTTTCTAATTTGAACACACGACTTTGACTATGGTGTGTACAAGACCATGGAGGATTAGAGTTTATAACAATAATTTATATTTTAAAGTTTAAGTCTAAGGCTCCTGTTGTTTCAACAAGCAACCAGTAATAAGCATTAGATGTGGTGATGTGTGTCTTGATAATTTTCTTGATCAAACATTTTGTATACTTATTATATTTATTGTGTATTAATAAATGTATGTATTAATACATATCTGTTGTTAATATCATAAATCATTTTGTACTGAAGTTTAATTTTTATTTTGAATTGTTTTAAGACACCCAATAAATCAATCTGTGTACTCTCGTTTGTGTTTGGTTTTCTGACTTGATAATGACAAACTGCAGCTGTGCTCTCGTCTTTTATCAAAAATAAATAAATAAATAAAACACTGGCATTATCACCGTGTTGAAAGATTTGGCACTGTCTCCATTGTAGTGAAATATTACAACAGGAGCATGACAAAAATCTGAAATTAAGACACATCCTGTGAGGAAAAATATGGCAGCAAGTGTGTTTTTCCTGAAAAGAGAGCATTGTGTCGACGCTGCCTCCAGGCCCGGTCTTATCTGCTGCAGCGGGGAGGATGTGGTCAGCGCTGGGAGGCTTTGTTGATGGGTTGACTGGTGGTGGTGTTTGTGGGATGGTGGTCATTGTTCCTGTGAGCCTTGGGTAGAAAACGTCTGGTGTTATGCAGAAAGCCCCGCTTCTGCGGGGGGTATAATAAGAGTCGGGGCACTTGAGAGTCTTGAAGTCAGTTTTGTGAAATTCTCCCAAAGTGCAAGGACTGTTCTGCTTTAGATTCAGCCTCATCAGTGATGGTAAAGAGCAGCCTCATTGCAAGGATTGAAATATCTTCAGCATTATGCAGTTTTTAAGGCTGATTTTGAATTATTTATCTTTATCAGAATTCTTTACAGGACTCTCAGTCTGATTTGGAGGTGATCTTAGAGTTCCTAGAGGAGTACTACAGGCAAAACGCTGGGGACAATGGTAAGAAGAAAGCCTCGGAAATTTAACTGAATACTTAAAGACTAATTTGATCTTTGAGCATTTGTTTTGCTTTTTACAGTGGACAAGGTGAGCTGGGCTGCAGGTGAGCCAGTAGATGAAAGAAGTGCACCTGTGGATGAGTCAAGCGAGCAGCGCTGGATGTGCTATGGGCCACCTGTAAGCATTAAAAAAATTTTCCACACAAGACAGTTGTAGTAGGATGTGCCCATATAATCTAAACTTTAAACGGACAGTGTGTAAGATTTAGGGTGTGGGTTAAGGATTACTACCAGCTGAATCTTCTCCTGGTTAGAATTCCTTCAGTGTTCAGGAGGTTTTATCGTGAGATGAATTATCCGCAGAGGTCTCCTCCTCTCCAAAACAAGTCCACCAGGCGATTAAAACCAGTAAAATGCTGAATAAAGCAGTTTCAAGCTAAAAATCAGTGTTTCTCTGAAGCCGTTTGGCTCATCGCAGACAGATCCAGATGTTCAGGAGGGTTTCACAGTGACCAGAATTATCCGCAGAGGTCTCTTCCTCCCCAAAACAAACAGACCCTCAGACTTAAACTGGATAAAACACTGAATAAAGCAGTTTCACGTTATAAATCAGTGTTTCTTCAACACTGTTCGGCATGTCAGAGACAGGCCGCTAGCACTGCCAATGCTAATGTTTGCTCACCTTTTTCTCTCATAACTTAAGATCTAGGCACTCGGGAGGTTGTGACCGGGAGCCAAATTATCTGCAGAGGTGTCTTCCTCTCCAAAAGAAATAGACCTGGTAATTTAAACTGGTAAAAACACTAAATAAGGCAGTTTACTGTTAAAAAAACAAACAAACAAACAAAAAAAACATATTCGTCTTTCCAATGCTCTCATCATGGAGGGGCTGGTAATTAGAGTGGCTGACGCAAAAATGTTAATAGCCAGTGTTAGGTTTGTCCGTTCCTGGCTACTGTAGAAACATAGTGGTGCTAGAGACAAGGCCCTGCTCCCTGTGTAGATATAAACAGCTCAAACACAATGATTCTTATTTTTTACACACTGAGAAACACACAGTTATTATATCATATTCCATTTCTGCCTATATCTCCCCCTAAATCCTACACACTGGACCTTTAAAGCTGTGTCTCTTCATCATTTCCTCTATCACAGATCATCAAACCTGCACTTCAGCCTCTGCTGGCACACGACGCCCCGTCACCTCTCAGCCAGAACACAACAGCAACATTGTGTGAGCATGGGTCACTGCCAAACTTTGTATCAACAAGACAACCAACCAAACACACAGCGGGGAGTGGTGAGTTCTCCTTTTTTTGGTCACTAGATACTGTTATTGCCTCGCTTGCTAGTAGCCTGGGGGAAACAATACCAAGAGAGCAAATAAGAGACCTTCCCTTTACTGTCAAAAACAATGGGGCCATGCATGGCGTAGCTCAATAGCTGTTTTTACATATCTATCAGATAACCGCAGTGTTTACAGCTTTTACACCCTCCGCTAAATGGCATCCCATCAGTGACAAGATTTTCTGGGAATTGTTGTATTTGAGGAAATGATTAACTGTAGCCAGACTGTTTTGGAGTAACACAGCTGCCTCCTTCTTTTAAATCCCTGTCAGTTCTTCACCGTGCCACTGTCTGTTTGCTCAATGGTTGCAGGTGGAAAAGTGCGACTCTTTCACTTTCTGTTTGAGATGCTGGAGGATCCAAACATGGCCCACTGTGTGTCCTGGGTGCCAGCAGCCGCCGGTGTTTTCCGCTTCTCTTCCACGAACAAGGACCAGGTGGCAGCGCTGTGGGGGCAGAGAAAGGGCAACAAGAGGCCCATGACTTACCAGAAGATGTCCCGCGCCCTGAGGAACTACGCCCGGTCCGGAGAGATCTTCAAGGTGAAGAAGAAGCTCACCTATCAGTTCAGCAGAGAGACACTGATGTTACTGCAGAAGTGTCAACGAGGAGATCTGTAATGTGGACTAGATTCTGTGTAGCTCATATCATCTCATATAAAACTCTAAATGTGTTCTTTTTTTTTTTTAAGTCTACGACCTTTCACTTTCTGTTATGAGTTTGGCAAACTGCATTTACATATCAGGTTTTCTTGAAGTAAGTACATGCATTCAGTTTGTGGTGTAAATATAAAAAAAGAAATAAAGAAAAAATATTTTGCCTTATAGTGCTGTTATCATTTTACCATATTTATATTTTTATTTGACTGTTTTAATGCAGTGCACAATTCATTTTTTGCACATCTTTTCTTCCATGGGTGGAGGTCAGTGATGCACATGGTGACAAAGTAAAAGATAACAGTGAGTTGTGGTGATTTATATATTTTACTTGTATATAGACTTTTTATCCTATTTTTTGGTATCTACATAAATATATACACCTATTTTTCCACGTGCTTGTGTACATATTAGTCCTGTCTATTCTTTACCTTTATTTGTCCAGCTTTGTTGTCCTTATTCTTAGCTGTTATGTTTATCTCTCTGCACAGTATCTACACTGAGAGCAACAGGACTACACTCAGAGCAATGGGACTGATTCTGGGTCTGTTTAATAAATCTGGATCCCCTTTACCACTATCAAGGTACTGCTCTTGCTGGGGTCCTCACAAAAAAAAAAAAAAAAAAAAAATTACATTATAATATAAAACAAATATGTACTTAAACAATCCAAGACACAAGTACAGAAGCCCTGACAGGCAAGTGAGTTTTTTGTTTTTCTAGTAAAAAAAAATTACCTGTTTTCACAGATGGAGAAAAATAAAACAAAATAAAATAAAAACATGATGACCACAAAAAAAAAAGCTGGCTTGCCTCTCAGGGCAGGGCATCCTTACAAAAGGGAGCCAAACATAAATGTAAAACAAGCAAATTTTAGATACATAAAATAAAATAAATCAATGACAACAAACTACTAATGACAATAAAAAAAAACAGAACAATAAAACATGAATACTGAATTGACAAGAAAAAAAAGACTAGCTCCCATCTAAGCATAATTAAAAACCAACAATTCATCAGTCATTTTCCAACCTGAAATGAAGTATTACTATAATGCTGTCCAACATAACCAGTAACATAAAATCTTAAAAGGCAGTGTTTAGTAATAGTGAACTATATTTTATCAAACTATTAGTTAAATATATTTTGCAGTAACTTGTTGGTTGTTCAACTACATTCACATCTGTGTAGTGATTCAAGTCGTGAATTTATTTTTTTTTTGTGTAGTTAGAGAAATACTTCACCCACAAAATAATCACTTGTAAATAAATTGGCCGTGCCTGTTACCTTATATTTGTGGAGTAAACTTTTTTCCCACATGCCTCCACAAAAAACAGCGGCCATATTGATTTACTGATTCATTTGAAGACCAGATTTAACAATGGCAAAACTACATCAAAACATCTGTTGACAAATTCTCACAAAATTCATACAGTATAATCCAAATCTCAGTTATCAAGCTTGTAACTTCCTGAACACGTGCATTTTTGTTAAAACCTTATGGACTCTGGCTTTAAAAAGTGCATGGAGAAGTTTTACTTACAGTTTAGTTTTGAATTATTACATTTTAGTGAAAATTCTTGTGTTTGGGAAGTACTGAGCATACAAATGGATGATTAAGACTTGGATTATAGTGCAGATTTTGTGTGTGAGTGTGCAAACAGATGCTTTGATGGTGTTAAATGTGGTCCCCAAGCATAAAATGACAAAGATGATTTTTTATTTTTATTTTACCATTGCCTCTCCACTGTAATTGGATCCCCTTTGACCAAATTAGTCTTGAGTAGTACTGATTATTGCTATTTATTAATGAATGTTGAAATGTTAAATCACTGCAATTTAATTGCAAATACGCTTACACCACAAAATATAAATGAGATAACTTTCTAAGTCCACGAAGAATAGTTCTTTCTTAGAAATTATCCTTAGATTTAGAGGATAATGTCCATGTTTAAACTAAAAAAATTATTAAATTCACTTCACTAACAAAACACCATTACATTTGAAATGCAGCTGCATACAGTAGTATATTGTTGTTGCATGTTACTGTAGAGGTTACCTGGCTGACTGAGTAGTCCTGCCTGGTGCAATACCTCCACCTGGACTCTAGTTTCTGGAAAGCAGGTGTCTGACTGATGGACATTGTCTACAAAACTAAAGCTGACAGTCCTACAATTTCACATGAATAGTGGGGGCTTTTATTGCTTTGTATTTATGTATGACCTGTGAACGGGTCAATAAACTCAACAGAGTGGCAATTTTTGCTGGCATGTGACTTTTCTGTATTATATTTTACAATAACTTTGCATCAAATGTTCACAAGAGTGTGGGTTTCCTTTCAAGCTGCATATAAAACTTCAGTTTGGGGGTGTCAAACCCTTAATTCCCTGCATTCTGGTGAATTTTCATGCACCAACTTGTGGCTTTTTTGCAACAATTTATGGTATATGTAAATGTCTTGCATTCTGTCAAAATAAAAGTCCTCTGCTACTTTCCTGATGTACTGGGGGAGGCAAATGCACATGTTCTAGTTTACCTAACACTGTCTAAAGGTAAGCAACGGTAACTTACTTATAAATACAAGAATATTATCTTAACCCCAGAGTAAAGAATCATGCAGCAGATTTATGTACATCTGTTGACAAGTGTGCATGTGTTTTCCCTCATGTAATACATTTTGCTGGCTGTTAGGAACCAGAGGGTGTCAGTGTAGTCCACCTCAAAGCCTCTCAGCTTCTCTTTCCTTTCCTGTATGCTGTGACCTCATGGCTAAATCGCCCCTGTGATGTGAACCCCCGGCCGTCCTCGGCAATACCAAATGGTTTTGTGCTGTTTGTAGCGGACCCACATGATACTTCCCTAAGCCCAGTATTTACTGCTGGAGCCCACTGAGGGTTATAAATGGGTAACTGAGCTGTGGGTGTCTGTTACCAAGAAAGGCCACATACTTTGAACTGAATAATGAAAATGGTCATTTAAGGAAAGTTCTCAATTAAACGCTTCCACATCATATGATATGTGTCAGCTCGCAGTATAGATCTAATTTTGTAGCCACAGTGATTCATTTCAGGGATCTTCCTGTATGGAATGATTGTCCCAGCAAATTTCTGACAGTGGATATAAGCTGCATTCCTGTGAAGAGACTGTATCTATAGCCCCTAAAATAGAGCTGTGCCCCGTCTTGACTGTCTGGGGAAGTAATTGTGCATGTTTTAAGTGCACCCCCATGTTGGGATCATTAACATGCTCAAGTGTTTATGATATTGTTAGATCCTCTGCAGGCGCTGGGTACCGCACATGTAACCTAGCCTCAGCACCAGACGAGCCGTTGCTCGTAAATCCAGCAGCTTTCCTCCTCGTTGTTTAATCTTTGCAACCTTTGATCAGAGACCACATTCGATTTATCACTTGTGTTTGACGTGCTAAAGAGATTAATTAGGACCAAAGCAGCCACATCGATGATATAATTCACAATGAAACCTTCTTTTCGTGTCCGATACACATGTCAAATGTCAAGGTTTATGACAGCTTTCTAAGTATAGGCCATATAACCACCGCCCAGGCATCTCTCCAGTATTTATTTGCCAGTTTGGAGAGCCTGCTGTTCTTGTGCAGCATTCCCCCTGGATTAAACTGATATCCGCCATCTGGCACCAAGTCGCTGCGTGTCACTTCAAACTTTTCTTTTGTGATACAGCCGCAGACTTTCTGAATATGTTTTCTATCATCTGTTGATGTCGGAGAGTATTACATCAGCCTCAGACCTGTGACAATGACAGCACCTCTTCCTTTTTATATCCAACCTATTGCTTCATCTACTTCTGCAGTGCATTAAGGATACTCACCTCCAATGCCCCACTGACAGCCCTCACCCTGATAGTGACGCAAAAATATGGAAGCGATGAAAACAAATCTGGTCTTAAAATCAAGATTTAATGAAAAATGCCTTTCATTACCCTTGTAGGTCACATCCCTGGCTGCCATACTGCACACCTATTCAACAATATATGTATATATACCAAAAGATTACAATATCCATATATATCAAAATCCAACCATGTTTTCTTTCTGCAAAAATATGATGTGTGCTAACATAAGCTAGTACCATCCAATTTCAACCAAATCTCCAACTTTAGCAGCACAGATTTAGCTAGCTAGCTCGCAACAACATGCCACATTGGTGTGTCTTTGTTTCCCAAAAAATAACGTGGTTACAGGCCCACTGGCTAAAATGTATTCACTCTCAGTAAATAAATTCAGATTATGTGCAAGGCATTTTACAATGGACTATTTCAGCAGCTACATGGCGCACACAATGAACCTCGTCCCTCTCTCCTTGACGGATACTTTTATCCTACTGCCATTACACCATCAGGGCCTCACAATAATGACACACCCACTTTTCAACAATCAAATCAGATTTCTTGTCATGTTATATCCAGCCTGCCTATCTTATTTCACATGTCATGATACTGAGACTAGATACTTCCGAAATGCTGTTTCTCCTGGACTTTAAATTACACTGACACTTTGGGCAGTAGACCCAGTTCCTTTCTTGTTAAGGGTTACATGAGAAGTTTGATACCATTATTGTCATACCGAAGGGTAAAAATACATACATTGTGGTTTCACAGGGTGTCTTGCGGGAATATTTCTTTTCCGGCACATACGGATTTGAGTGGATTGAACAAATGAGATATAACATGTTAATCTGTGAGCTTTAGAGGTGGTGGTGAGTAGATTTTGTTACTTTAAGACAGAGCCAGGCTCGCAGTTGGCCTTTCTTTTACAGTCTTTGTGCTAAGCTGAGCTAATCAGCTGCTGGATGCAGCTTCATATTTAATGTACAGACATGAAAGTGGTGTTGGGCTTGTCACCTAACTCTCAGGAAAGCAAATAAGCACGTTTCCAAAAAATGTCAATCTATTCCTATAAGTCAAACAAGACTTACAATGTCAGTTTCGGTTAATTTTGTTTTTGATAGCCTGACACCCATTAACTGGTAGCTAATACAAGAGGTCTGTCCTTTAACTTCAATGCTCTATTGACTCAGTGAGCTTTAGCACCACTTATCAAAGTGCTCTTCCTTTAGATTTGGTGAAATGTTAATGTTTTGTGATGTAAATGTCGTGCCTTCTATTTTATTTTCTGTTGGCTGACAGGCAGCCAGCTAGCCACGTTAACATGCAGAAACATACTACTCACTGCCCACCTTCTAGTCTCCACAAGTTAGCTAATGTGAGCCTTGGCCACTCTGCATTGTGCACCACCTGGTTAGGTGGGACCTAGCTAGCGGCACCACTCATTTGGCTATTACCACTGGTAATGCCGACCTGCCGCCAGGACGGCTGCAGAAACATGATAGCCCCCTACTGTCTACCTCTAGGTAGCCCTGGTGAGTAAGCGGCTTCATTATGAGCTATGAAACCCCTTTAAACACTGCTATATGCAGAACTTTTGACATTTGAAAATGAAGTTATTTTGCTCCAGCTACAAAACAAATATATTTCTTATCTTTGACTTTAATCCACTCAGCCAATACATCGCAAAATGCATAATACTGATGTTACTTCTGTGTATAAGGCAGCATTAAAAAACAAACTTTTACTTTTTCTCATCTAAAAAGTTGGCACAGCAGCCAGTGGGTAGGGGACAGCAATGAAGCGTCCACCACAGAGAGGAGGAGCATGCCAACTCTCTATATAAGGCCTTTAAAGCCTGTCCCTCCTGAATCTGTCACTGGTCCTCCTCTCCTCCCCCACTGAGATTTCCAAACCGTATCCCTGCGCCCTCCTCATCTCCCATCACTCTGGTCCGAGGGGTCCCAGAGGTTTTTACTTCCACCCTTTCTTCTATCATCATCTCTCTCCCTCCTGGACAAGAGGGCTACCACGCCGTACCTGGCCTCCTGTGCAGTCACATTACTCTGAAGGCACCTACCTGTCCTACCTGCAGTTTTTAACTCGCTTTATTTCTGGGGAAGCGGCTCAAGATGCCAGAGCCCACAAAGAAAGGTAGGAGTTTTGGTAGTGTGGATGGGATCAGCATGTTGCCACTAACAGTAACGTCAAAGCATGTGACAACTAAAATTCAAAATATTGCAGGTTTGAATTGATGTGATAACAAAAAAAGTACATTTATGTTGATTTTTATGATTGGTTTGTGTGAGGGGAGCGGAGTCCATCACTTTATGGCTTGCCTGCCAGCCTGTTAATAGGAATCCTCAAAGTGACTTTGACAGCAGTATTGTATTACTGATGCATGCGTGTTTCTACCATCCGGGGGGCAAGAGAAGATTTGAGGTTTATGAGCAGATACTATTGTTTCCTGGGGGGGTTGGCATCCTGGATTGTTCTGTGTGATCCAGCTGGAGAAAGACACGATGATGAAGCGCGGCAGAGGAATGTTGACAAGTGTCGAGCCGGACACAAGCAAAGACCTGTGAAGAATGATGCAATTTTGAGTGAGTGCCGGGCTGTATGAGGATAAATAATAACCTGACTCTGATTGTGTTTCTGATGATTGATGGGAGCCGTACCCCTCAGATCTGCCCCCTGCCCATAATTCAACTCCTTATTCAACCACACACAGCATCTTAACCCATCCCCTGTCCCACCCTAACACTGAATCACTCCCCAGCACCATAGCGTCCATCAACATTCCCTTTTAATCCGTTCTTGTCTGTCATTACGCTATGGTATTACTCTCACCCTCCACATTAGCGCAGTTCTTTTTGGGGTCTGCTGTCGACCCAGACATGCCCATGTAGAGGAAATGGAACATTTTGTTTCAGTCTTGGAGGCCTTCCTGATGAGAGCCGATACAAGTTTTTAATAAACATGTTATCCTCTGGGGGAGCATTGATCCGTCCCTGGTTGTTCTTGATACCTAGGGCATGATTTGCACATAGAAGCTAATACAGTTTTCTGCATTTAAGAAATGTATTTCCTGTCTGTTTATTCCTGAAAGAGGGATCCTTCCTCTTGTTGCTCTGTTGTTTCTTCATTTGCTTTCCCCCATGTGAAAGTTCTCTGGGGAGGGGGACGTTTTTCCCTTATCCGAACCAATGGTCTAAGTATAAAGTTTGCACCAAATAGCTCGGTCTATGCAGATGAATTAACTGGTTACCTTTTGAACAGCGGACTTTGCATTTTCAAGATCTGGTTCATGGGAGCTTTTTGGCATTGATTGTTACATATGGGGAGACGGTTAACTGCCAGCTGCAAGCTTCAAAATCCCATTCCTCAAATCCAGATCTTGTCTTAATCTGTTGTTGGGTCATCTGTGGTCACAAAAGAGTAGGAGTTTGCAACAGCCAGAAGAAACTAAGCCCCTGAAGTGATGTCATGCTCAGGTTGGCCTTCATTTTTATGCACCTTGGTACTGTTGATTGTGTACATTGCAGTTGCCCCCACAGTGTTCATCCATGGCCATAAACAACTCTGATCCCCTCAGAGACAAAGCCATGGGCAAATAGAGGCAGCAGATTCCAATCTACTACAAACACTACCCATAAATAGCTGCGTAGTCCAGAGCACCAGATAAATGAGAGTAGAAAAGCATTGTCTTTAAATGAGCCTGAACAGCTGAAGAGGAGGAGGCCAGTGCTGTTGTTTTAGACACCACACTCTCAAGCCTTTAAAAAGTCCAAACCAGAGATGACGAACTGGCTGAGTCGCCCGCAGATCTCTTGGGACTTAGATTCTTGTCCCGGGAATAGTTCAGAATGAGTGCACTTTTAATCCCCATCCCTTGTTCCCTTCCATCGTCCTCCACAGCCGCCAAAACCCCCTCCTGTGCCACACACCAAAACAGACATCTCCCTGCCAACTTCAGTTCAGGTTGTATCACTCAGAGGTCAGACACCTCGCTATTAAAACCTCTGACCCTGTGCCCAGAGGCCTTACAATACTGTTATAAGTTTTGGGTTTCAGTTGTGAACAAGCCCTTGTCTTCACCTCATGATATTTACTGTCCCTAAGGTCCAGCACTCTCCCTGGGCTCTGTCCTCTTTAGCTGTCGCTTTGTGTTACAGAACACCACCTCATAAATCAAACCCACGCTCAGCTACAGGAGAGAAGCCTGTCAGCAGCTAATTGCCACCCTGTTCTCAACTCTCATCAGATTTAACATAGAAGTTCCTTGTCAAAGTCCTTAGAACTAGAATAAGGATTCACAACAAGGGCAAATAGTATCATTATTGTAGGCGTATTAAAGCAATAAAGGTCTATATTAGGAAAAATTAAGCTGTCGGCAGTTTGGCTCTCATCGGAGCCTGTATGAGCCCTTCTGTCTGCACGTCAGCAGGGGCAACAGCTGAAAATACCTGCAGGGCTGTCAGCTGCACTGGGAGTCCTTAGAGGTAAAACAAAACCTTTCTCCACTCTCATTATCTCAATGGAGATGAGACAGAGAGCGAGCGAAGCTCATTCTCGGGTGTATGATGTGACCCTGCAGGATTGTGGCCCGGTGGCCAGCGATACATTGTTTTGCAGTGAGGTGGGAGTGGGGCTAATTTTGACAAGGAATGCTTTGAGGGAATCATTACAAGTGGATGGATATCAGAAGTTAAGAAGTGATGGGAAGAAAATGGCTGTTAAATATGGTGCATAGTCAATGGACATACATGGAATCATGGTTGCAGTATTCATAGACTGGATGCAAACAGCTTGCAAAGAGACTCCTTTTAAAGGGAACCAAGGTTTCTCTTCAGATAAAGTTGCTGAAGGAAGAGCATCAAGTCTCAGACTGTTGGTTGTGTTTTGCAAATGGATTTCAAAGAAACATCAGGCTGGGGTTGTCAACACATTCAGCTATTCTGGGAGAAAGTGAGACACTCAAGAATACTGGGTATTGAAATTTCATTTCCTACTGTATTTTGAAGATATGCTTAAGATCTTTGTGGTGTAATTACCAACTGCTGGCTCTAGAGAAGCTCCCTTGTATGGACCTATTCACTGACAAGATGAACTATCTATTGCCTGAGAGCGAGACACATTTGCAAGCTCATGTCTTGTTTGCTCTGACAGATGCATCTGATCTCTGGTCTGCTTTAAACAGATTTGCAGTGGCCAGAGACGTGCTAGACCATTCATAATAGGGAGCGACATATATGGTTTTCTTTAGGGCCGATCCCGATACCAATTATTGGCAAACAAGGAGACTAATAACCAGTATTTTGAACCAATATACATTTGCAGTAGAAATAGAGAGAGAATACAGGTGTTCCAGCAAAGACAGTATGAGGAACATGTTTTTTGATCATTAAAGCATGTAAACATGTTCTAGTAGAGACCAAAATACAAGTATGAACCTACAAATGAGCATAATAGGTCTAGTTTAAACTTACTTGATGTTGTCCTTAAAGGGATAGTTCGACATTTTGGCAAATTCGCCTATTGCCATAATCCCTATAGTCATATGGGTAGGTACATTACCTTTAATTATGAGTGCCTCTTGTTCAGAGATCGGTGGGGCAGAGCTGCCTGCTGCTCAGTGCACAAAATGGAGGTAAACAGTATGGCCCCCTCTCTCCCTCAAAACTAATCAAATACACCATCAAATGACTCCAAAACGCTCTTGTGGACAACTTATAGCTTACACATTCACCACGCAATGAGACAGAGTTCTTTTGAAGCCAAATGCACAGCCGGAACTACATTCCAGACATACGGTACTTGGTGGGTGGAGTGATTTCAGACAGCGTATGTTTAGCACAGTTACTCCCGTCATCAAAACAAATTTGTTGAGAAGAAGCAAGAATATACAGAGGAAGAGTTAAAGGTTTTGGAAGAAGAGAGGGCAAGAAGAGAGGCTGAGGCTGCCGAGCAACCAGGGACTGAGGGGAGACCCAGAGCCGGCATGGATTGGTGGTGTAAATGTGGGGTTTACTGGCCACTTTATTAGGTACACCTGTGCAATCTAATACAATCCAATACAACAGCTCTGCCACACATTCTATGTTTACAAAGCTTTTACATTTTCAGTTTTTCTTGACATTGTCAGAAAGGTGATTATTCTACTTTATTATTGAGGTCATAGTGGGTGGTGCTGGTGTACTGGAGTGCAATATATTGAAAAGTATTCCTAATATTTTGTCCCTCTCAATTAGACAAAATTAGGAGACCACCACCATTCACTATGACCTCAATAATAGTGGAATCATCACTTTCTAGACAATGTCAACAATAACCAAAAATGTATAAGCTTCGGGGAAAAAAATCATGGTATATCCGCTCTACTGGATTGCATTAGATTACACAGGTGTACCTAACAAAGTGGCCAGTGACTGTATGTTACAGACATATGTTGATGGTGGGATGGGACGAGAGTACGCCTCAAAATAATCACCGGAACACGAGGAGAACATGTTAACTCCACACTCATAAATCACCACAACTCCTGAGGGAACAACAACATAAAATGTTCCCTAGCAGTCTGTTTATTCCCAACAATTAGAAGTAATGCCAGTCACTTCACTATATGCTCTGGGCAAGCACTTATCCATAACATAACCACAACAACATTTGCATTTTAGCCTTATTTACCATTCTTGGGTTGTAGGCTAATGTTACTCAACATGGAGGTAACATTACAGCAAAGAGATTGCTGAGCAAAATACACAACGATCACTCACCACGTCCTCTCGTTTTGTGATGCCGACAGATGGTATGGCAGTGGCTTAGTCTTTCAAGAAAAGCGTTTGAACCATTCCTGAGCTTCTGCGCTCCATCCTTTCACTGTAGTCCTCCGGTAAAAAATGGTTGGAGCTAACAAACATTTTCCAGACCATTTCCACAGGCATGTTGGGGTCGATGTCCAGCACAAATAGCCATTGTTTCATTCTGTCCGTATTTTTGGTTGGTACTACGTGAAACTTCACTCTGCTCCATGTCTTCGGCTTGTTACCGCAACCTTTTACAATACATGTGTAAACAATGATTTACAACAACACTCTGTAAACTTTTCTCAAACTTTCTGCTGCGTCCAGCTGACGATACTGCAAATGCAAGGCTGCAAGCAATAACTACGGCACTGTCTCAGGTGTGCACTGTGTCACTCCGCCCAGTGGTTTACTCAAGAAAGTAGTTCCAAGTATTTGCTGTCCACAAGAGCATTTTGGAGTCATTTGATGGTGTATTTGATTAGTTTTGAGGGAGAGAGGGGGCTGTACCGTTCACTATTTCAGCAGGCAGCTCTGCCCCACCAATCTCAGAACAGCAGGGACTGACAATTAAAGGTAATGTACCTACTCATATGACTATAGGGATTACGGCAATAGGCGAATTTGCCAAAATGTCAAACTATCCCTTTAAAAACAACAATCTTCACCAGCAGTGGAAACTAGTAGCAGGAAATTCAAGATGACTATTCACAGTTCTCGCAGTTCCCAAGTGGTATTTCATAGCCACTGTATCCTTGACATACAGTTCCCTTTTTTAGAAGGTGCAGGACTACTATGGGGGCTAACCTTCAACTGTAAATCCTGTATTGCCCGAGAGCGAGACAAATTTGCAAGCTCATGTCTTGTTTGCTCTGACAGATGCATCTGATCTCTGGTCTGCTTTAAACAGATTTGCAGTGGCCAGAGACGTGCTAGGCCATTCATAATAGGGAGCGACAGATAGGGTTTTCTTTAGGGCCTATCCCGATACCAATTATTAGCAAACAAGGAGACTAATAACCAATATTTTGAACCGATATACATTTGCAGTAAAAATGAATATCATAGTGTCAAACGTTAATATAACACAAACTTCACAACTCCAACAGAAAACTTTGTTCAAATGCCTTTAAGCATCCTATGTATGATTACATTAAATGGTGCAAAAATAACTTTTCAACATTATCTTTACAAAAAGATAATGTTCTTGCATGTATCGTAGCCTGCCTTCCCTGATGTTGGTATGTTGCTCTATAATACATCTCCAAAACACAAGTTGGTGGTGGCGTTTCAGTAAAGTCTGACTGATTCAACTAACACATCTAAATCCCCCATGAAACATGGTTCAATAGTGACAGTAATAAAAACAAGCACAAGATTTGGTTCCATTATAATTCATATAGTCTCTATATACAGACTCTACATTCAGTGAATGTAGAGTCTGTAGGCAAACCCTGGAGATCTTGCCTCCGGAAGAAGACCGGAAGAGCCCTGGTTTCCGGTTGTAGACTGTTTGTAGTCTGCGTGATATTGACCAATCATGTTTGAGCCGGCTGCAGTTGTTGCCAGGTTAAACAGTCCGTGCGGTGAACTAATGAGGCAGAACATAATTGGCCTCACTGCAAACTCTGAATCCATCGCAATGGTTCAGCATATTTACTTATATATAAACGGAAGATGGAAACGGAGATTCGCCTCCTCTGCCCAAATCAAACCGGAATGCCAAAACATCGGGGGTCTGCCCCCAGAGGCTGTATTGCTGTCTGCTGGAAGTCAGACGCTGAATATAGCCGATGGGTTCTGAGAATGTAATTCATATGGCTCCAAGACAAAACAATTATCTTTTGCTAGACATGCTTTCCCAACAAACACAACATGCTAAAGTTATTAGCATAGGCCTATGACATTTTACACTGCATAAATTAGCCTAGCGGAGAGTGGAATTTTCCTAAAAGTGACAAACATGACGCTGACTCATATTAATGGATCCGTTTCAGGTTGAATGCCCATCGGCAATTCCACATTACATTCGTCTGGTGTATGAAATGTCTGTACTGTCAGTGATCAATTTTGTTTATAATTCATAAACTATGATGAACTCATCATATTTATCGCCTACACCCAGACACTGTCTCACTCCCTTTTCCTCTCCTTGCAGTTCTCATACTTTTACAACTTAAGTTTCATCCAGTAACTACTATTAGACTAACAGCAGAACGTTACTAGCAGAAACACCAGGTATTTTTACAACTTCATCATATTAGATTTTAATGTTTATTACAACTTCAGTAATATGGTACAACATTCTTCAGTGTTGTGTCAGGCTATCACTTTTGATGTTTAACCAATTAGATAGAGCCATTGGTGAGAAAATGACGAAGGCAGCAGAGCAGAGACAGTAGACAGAGGCAGGCAGTGGAATCAGAGCCAAAGTATCACATTTTTCAATTAATTTATTTTATCGACTATCATAAAAATGCTGACTTTGGTGCCCGATAATCCATCAATCCTTAATTTACAATTGCTTATCAATATGGGATATATTTGGGACAAAGACTGTAAAAAGGAGTACTGTTAGGGCTTTTCGAAAACAACCAAGTTGGTTCTGTTGAAGCCACTATCATGTCAGTATTGAACCTATTAGACTGTATATTTTTGCTAAAAGATCAACCAATCAACTGCACTTAGGCCCATTTGGTCCAGGACACTACTCCAAGTGTTTACATTATGTAGCTTACACTGCTACAAAAAGCTACATGCTAACGTCAGGGGAATCATGTAATCGTGGTTGTTGATGTTGTTAATTTCTCCCCCATTTCAGATCATATTCCTGCTTGAACATGTCCAGTTGTGTTAAGTAGTTTCTATTGGTGATTTTTCACTGTGAAAAGTGCTACTACTCTCCGTTACAGTCATTCCCCGGCTGCAATAATGGCGCAGGAAGACCCTTAAACTCTGACTTATCAGAGCAGAGTGGGTTATTTTAGGAGAGGGGCTTAGAGAGTGAATACAGGTGTTCCAGCACAGTATGGGGAACATAAAGTGTTTTTGGATCATTAAAGCATGTAAACACGTTCTAGTAGAGACCAAAATACAAGTATGAACCTAAGAAAAAAAGCATAACAGGTCTAGTTTAAACTTATTTAATGTTGTCTTAACAAACAACAATCTTCACTAGCAGTGGAAACTAGTAGCAGGTAATTTAAGATGACTATTCACAGTTCTTGCAGTTCCCAAGTGGTATTTAATAGCCACCGTATCCTTGACATACAGTTCGGTCTTTTAGGAAGTGCAGGACTGCTATGGGTGTTAACCTTTAACTGTAAATCCCCCTGCCACATAAACTTTTCTCAGCAAGGACAAAAAAAAAAAAAGGCAGGTCCAGATGTTTCATGACTTATCTGAAACTCCCATGAGTATCAGACAACCTCTCATGGCTCTGTGCTCCACTAACCCACTATTAACAAATGAGGCAAAAAATTTTAACCCCATCATTGCATGCCAAGGGCTGTATGGATGCTTTGATGTGTTGGGGCCTTGCATGAGTCCTGTTACAGGTTTTGAATTTCGTATCCAAACATGTTTCTGTAGCTACCCCACCACCACCATTAGCTTCATAAGTCTAGACAAGGCAGAGGGCAAACAAATGGTGTGTCATGGGGGCCTCTATCATAATCAGTTAAGACAACATGGTGTCTACGCATGAGGAGCCAGTCATCTGACACAAAGATGATATGGCTTAGTGGTGAATGGATGTTAATAAAATAAGTCAATGTGTGCAATTGGACAGAAATTTGTGGGTGATAAGGACTGTGAGAGATCTTGTTATCATGTTTGACAGTCATGTGTTTTGTTTTGCTTTCAGATGAGGTGCCAAATGGCCAGCCAGAAGGTGAGTGGACGGCAACAGACATCTAATCTCCCCGTCACTTCACAGTCTAGCAGATTATTGCTACACAGTGTATGCACAAGAGCAGATTGATCAAAACAAGAGTAGCTGCACAAGTGAAGGAAGAAGAAAGCAAGGGAACAAGAACCCAAATTTCTGGAAAGAGAATATTCTTGTCCATCAAACGCCAAAACTTGTTTGCACAAAGATTTATAGGCACAGGGCAAAAGTGAGCACATCTAAACATATAAGGTGACGACCGCAGCTTTGAACTTGGCGTGAATGTGCAAACACAGTCACATAGGAGTGTAAATGTGGAGCCAATAGTCGGCAGTATAGACAAGCTGCTGTGCTCCAGAGTGGTCTGTGGTGACGACCGAGCTGTCAGTATCTCTGACATTCCTCTCGACAGCCAGCTGATCCCTCTCTGTTGATTCAGCTGACGCCCCAGCTGCCCCATGTGAGCAAGGTGCTGGCATGCAATTGGCTTTTTGCCGCCACTGGGGTTTGACCTTGGAGCTGCAGCATCTTGAGGCTCCAACACAGTCGAGGGGAAGAGCTCAGCTTTTTAGGGGTGAACTAAAAGTGTTACGAGTTGTCAGATAAATAATTCATTCAAGGTTATTCAAAAATGCCAGTCAGATCTTAGCTGTAGCACAGAACAGCAGTGCACTGGCTCATGATTTCCAGTGTCATTACCAACGTTGGGCAGGTAACGTGAAAAATGTACTTATTACATATTACTTACTAAAAAAGTAATTAAGTTACCTACCTATTTACTCAACATCAAATTAATGGGATACACTGCTTGTTATATCGCCTTTGTCAAAGCTACTTTTGCAACCCAATAGACACCACACTAACAAACAAAGCCAGGTGAGTCCTGAATTTAGGCTTACCTGTGGCTAATGTTTTCAAGCTAGCTATAAAGACACAACATGTAAAAAACGCTGCCTTCAAATGGAACCAGTGAGCAAGTGGATATGACATGAGAAGTTACGTACACCATATGTTTAGCATTCAAGTGGTTAAGTCGCAAGAGCTCAGCTGCCAAGCAACGACAGTATGGATGCCACTTTGCGTCTAGAAGCCATTGAGGTACAATCTAGAAAGCTAGGGAGTGGGTAATGTAATGCAAAAAATGCAAAGACATAATGACATAATGCCTTTACATAATGACAGACAGATGAGACCCTTGGTAATATCAACATCTCTATACGACTAAAATTACAACACATTACCTAAACACCTCTGAAAAATTAGCTTCCATGGCGTCCGTGAACTTGTGTACTCTGAGCTTTCAGAAAATTTCTGCAGCCAGGGTTACTTGAAGGCAGCATAAGACATCTTTGGAATTGCAGAACGTCGCATATCTCTACTTTTGTTAAAGGCTAATCGTACTTCGGCGCTAAGCTAACATGTTTGGGATCAAATCAGATTGGTAATATCCCTCTACCAAACTCCTAATGAGACAACAAACAAGCCGACCCTGCATAATGTCAAAGTGTCAAAGTATTAAACAATGCATTACTGCCCAACACCAGTCAAAACATGTTAAACAACACGTGGTCATACAAGTGCAGTGATAACTTGCATTTCATGACCCAGTGAAGCCATTTTCAGTGCAATTGCTCTTGTTGCCAATACAAGTATGCCTTACCTTAAACAGTTTATTACACAATTACTAAGGCTGATTTGTTCATCAATTCAGATGCAGACAGACTGTCTGCACTGTTGTTTGCAAGTGATAAGATCAGATTTGTTGGGTGGGTTACTGTGGTACTGTGTGATCTCCATATCGTCCCCCATAGTGCTCTGCAAGTAGCATGATGGACTCTGCTCAGCACTTGCATAGATGTCCATTTGACGTTGTTGTGCATAATGTTGCGAGTGACGCAATGAAATCCAATTTAAGCAGCCAGAGCGTCTGTAGAGACGCATCCGTAGAAACCCCACTGGAATTACATTTACAACCACCACCAAATGTTGTTTGGATCCGAAAAAAAGCATTTCATGTGGTCCTTGGCTGTCCAGACATTCTAAAATCAGTCTAGATACAATCTTGACATGCCAAAAAACAGATGTGGGCTGGCAGTCTGGACAAGGCCAGAAAGTTTCAACACTGCTTGGCACTTCCAGAGAGTGTTGCAGTAGTAAATCCTACACTGCTTATACTTTCGGAATCTACAGCAAACCACCACTACACCTTGATGAAAGTATAAAGTATGATTTAGCCTTTAGCCTAGGTATTATTTGAATTTACTGTGTCTATTAGTGTGCATTTTAACTGTGAACCTCATTGACATTTCATAATCCTAACCTTAACACATACTGTACTTTTATTAGCAGGAAAACAGACCTACAATAAGTTTTTTTCCTGTGTATGTCTGTGTTGCATCGAATGGGAGAATAGTATGATTCATTGTGATGAAGTGTGAATACAGGCAGGTGGCCGTAGATGTGTGAGTTAGTACATGTCTGTGTGTTTTTATGTCTGTGTGTGTTTTGGTGATTATGTTTGAGTGTGAGACTGAGAGAGGCATTGCAGATGCTGAAGCTTTGTGCTTATAAAAAGCAGCTGTTCCATCCACCACTATATTTGTCACATGCTCAGAAAGTGTTGCCCCAGACAGTAACGGCCCTGCCCTGCCCCTTCCTGAGATTTCCCTGGAGGTTTCTCCACCCCCAGGTGGGTAAACCTGACGCCCCCTTCACTCTCCCCAGAATGTTGCGTTCTTTTGCACATCACACTTACATCACGTTTGTTTGGTGTGTGCCTTCACGATTTCTTTTTCTTCACTTAATTCACTCTGAGAGGCCTGAAACTGCACTGTTCTTGTGTAGGTATGATTGCTCGACACACCGTATGTTCACACAGAAAGTTAATTAGGTTAGCTGTAAGATCACCTCCCCACTATCTTTGCACTTACCCACATGCCTGCTCTGCTCTGCCTGCATTTGTCATGATGCTTGGTTCTGACAGTAACGAGTGCTGTAGCTGTCTTCATGTTTGTGCAAGTGTGTGCCATCTTGGGTCATCGCACAGGAGGCATAAAGGAATACGGGATGTTTGGTGTTACTGACTCTGTGGGCCTTAGTCAAAGGCCTGCTGTCTAAATTCAATGATACAAGCTAACAGATAATTTCATACATACCGTATGAGTCAGTAAATCCCTGCCTCCTTGATTACGATACAGTATAGATATGCAATGACCAGATAGATGCTCCAATGGTGCAACTGATCAAAACATGATACATGATGGCATTACATTTTTGCTTTGATTACAGATATATTTTGGACAAAATTGAATGATTTGGTTGAATCTGAATGATGAATTTGGGTTGTTTCTTTAGCCACACTGGCAGCATGGCTGTATGGAATGCAATGTCAGTCAATCGGTCCACCACTTTGGTCCAGACTGAAATATCTATTGGATGGATTTCCATGAAGTTTTGTGCAAATATGCATGGTACAAAGAGGAATCCTGTTGATTTCAGTTGTCCTCTGATGTTTCCATCAGCTCAAAACCTTAATTTCTCCAAAAATGAAATCCAATGATATGCCCATCAGGGTCAGAAGCCCATATGCTGTGCATTGGTGCGAATTAGCAGAGGCGTGGACTTGAGCCATATGACTTGGACTCGAGTCAGACTCGAAAATTTGATGACTTTAGACTGAACTTGGACTTAAACATTATGAATCATAACTTCACTTGGACTTGAGACTTTTAAGTTGAAAATATTTAATACTTTCCCCCACATCACTTTGAGAAGAGATTTAATACACATTCTCAAATATGAGACAAGTTAAATACAATACAGGACAGAAACATACAATATTCATTCTGTTGGGCACTCATTGACGTAGGATTTGTCAATCTTGACTTGGGACTTGACCCAGGACTTGACTGTCTTGATTTGGGAATTGCCCAAGACTTGCCTGTCTTGACTTGGGGCTTGACATAGGATTTGTCAATCTTGACTTGGGGCTTGACCAGGGACTTGCCTGTCTTGACTGCGGACTTGATGTAGGACTTGTCACTCTTGACTTAGGATTGACATGGGACTTGCCAGTCTTGGCTTGGGACTTGACTCATGACTTTCCTCGCTTGACTTGGCATTTGAGTGCAAAGACTTGAGACTTACTTGTGACTTGCAAAAAAAATGACTATGTCCCACCTCTCCTAATTAGCAAATGTTAGCATGCTAGCATGCTAAATAAGGACGGTGATCATGGTAAACAATACACCTGCTGAACATTAGCATGTCAACACAGCTTGTTAGCTGTGTTTAAGCCTCACAGAGCAGCTAGCGTGGTTGACTCTTTAAAATTACCTTCCCTACTCAAATGTCACCAATTAGGACCATGGCTAACTGGTCATTAGCTATTTATACCCGCACCATTTGCAAGCATTGCCCTGCAGGGCTGCTAGTAGTTGTGCTCCATGCTTGCTGCTCCAGCCTAGCGCTTTATCTGCTGTACAGAGCCGGTAGCAGAGGGGAAAGAGCCAGTAGAGACTGATGGGAAGAAACCAGAGCCCACAGAGCCTGAGCCACCACAGCCTGTGGTGGCTCAGGAGCCAAGCCCCACCGAGAATGGCTCAAACCAACCGCAGCCTATTGAGGTTGTGGTAAACGAGCAAGCAGAGTCCGGTAGCTCTGCTGTAAAGGAAGAGGGCCCTTGCTCTCCCCCACCAGCTGGTAAGTATGCTTCTTAAATTTGAATCAGTCCCATTTCTCTCTCAAAATGCATGTGTACCCCTCTAGCTCATTCTGGTATAATGCTACTGCAACAACCCCTGAAAGTCTTACTTTGCAGTTGCGCACTTCATGGCTCAGCAGCATGGCAATAATGACATAAAGCCTAGATTTACTCTCAGTTAAAAGCGAGAAGATTACATGTACTTCCCTGCTGAGAATGCTATGGATTTCACTCTTACTGGTTGGAGACATGCATTAACTTATCATTTGTTTTTAAAACACTGCTCTAATTCCTACATGGCTTTAACTGCATGCAGCCTTCAAAGAAAAAATACACTTGTACCTCAGGACTTTATGGTGCCGTTTTCAGAAATGAGAAATAAGAACTAATGTAGACTAATGAATAAGGACTAATGGATGAAGTACTGACTAAATCCTAAAATGGCAAACTGAAGGTGATACTATTTGTGTGAAAGGTGAGTCATCAACCCTTCTTCTAAAATCGATACATAAGCAGACAAAAACACATATACTAAACAGCGTTGATATGGCTGGTTTCCTTCTGTCGGTTTTGCTTACATAGTATCTTCAGGTAAGTTGAACTGATTTTGAGAGAGAGGATACAGTTCCTGGGAAAAAGGCGGAGATTCTTTGAAGTTACACAGGATTTTTATGCTTTTGTTGGTTGGGTCATGAGCATTCTTTTGCAAATATGAATTGCACCTGCTGCTTAAAGGTTGATTTTTTTATTACACAACCATGTGTGTTTATGCGTGCCGCGGTGCTAGAGAGCTTGTGCTTTTGATTCTGCGGCTTCAGAAGCTTGTGGTAATGAGCATTCGTGATCCCACACTCTTTTATCTCTAGTCATTAGGGTTAAATCATGGGACGATGTTTTGGTCTCTTTCTTCCTGTCCGAGAGCTGCATGTCAAGCTCCGTTCTTGTCCCGCATGTGATCGACGGCCTTGTTGGCCTGCCAGTCTTGTGTCTTGTTGACCTGCCAGTGATGGAGCTTTCTGATAGGTGGGTCTATTTGTCAATGACACATTTATTGCAGGTGATGATGATGCCCCAGCCACTGCCCCATCCCCAACACCCCAAGCAGGTTGGTACCCTTAACAACCCTTACTACTTTCTAATTCATTCCTCTTCATTTCACCCTTTGGGGATGGTTGCAAAGGAGCACTCACCTTAAGTCAGGCTCAAATCAACTTCCATTGCCTCATGGGTGCGTTTACGAAGACAGTTTAAGTACTTTAAATTTTAATCATGAGTTACTGTTATGTTAGTTTGTCAGTTGTATCGTGGCGATTGAATTTAATGTTTAATTCATCCAACAATTTTGTTTTCTGGTGTGTTATGTGCATTTTAGCCTCAGGTTCGTGGCAAGTGGCAGAAATCTATGCCACACTTGAAACGCTATATATTTTTTTAATCAGGATTTTTATGTCCAATATTCTGATGTATGTCCGTGCACTGACATACACATAGTAAATGTGTGAATTTTACATGCAAATACTCCTATAAGCACATCGTCCTTTATTTACTAATCTGAAATAAAGGTATGAATGTGAAATTGATATTTCACATGTATATATTATATATACAAAATAAATACATGGTTGCTAAATGTGCATATTAATATATATGCACATTATTGTTCAACAAATTGTTTTTAAATCTTGTCTATCTACTAAAAGGGAATGCTGCTAAATTTTCGTTTTTTAATAGACTGTTTCTATGTCCCAGGACAGTTTGATATTACTTAACATTAAATCATTGCTTTTGATTATTACTGATAATCATCCAAACTTCAGAATGAAAATTAAATGTTATATTTTACAGTATACCATTTAATTGGGCTCTGATTTGTAGCTATTGTGAGAAAACCAAGCCACCAGAACAGTGTCGGGCTGTTGTGGCCAAACCATGAATGTATTAAGAGAACTGGATAGAGCGATTCCGTTCCTTCCTAGGAGAGTTGCTCAGTGGCGCATGAAGCAAAAATGGTTCACCTGCCACGTATAAAATTACTCGGATGATTCAAGGATGACTGCACCACTTCCGCACTGTGCGGCCCATGGAGCAGGTGCACTAGAGACCTAAAGCGACTGAGCGCCACCAAGTGCGGTCAAGTGTAAACTTTCAGTTTAGCACTCTGCTAACTCGAATAAGGATAAAATGAATTAATCGTGAAGCTCTTCTAGACTTTCCAAATGTAATTGGACCAAATGATTGGAATCCTGATAATGACGTGAGTCATTCTGCTGCAGTTGTAAAGTTGTAACGCTCAAAAAAAATGTATCCACTGTCTTTTCCGCCAAACAAGTCAATGGGAAGTGTTTTTGGGCCATACGGCATCATGTTTGGCCTCTACAAAAATTAGCTTCAACGCCCAGCGCACTTCCTGGGGCCGTGGGCCAAATGTAGAATTACAACTTCCAGATTTGTCACATGATACCATCGGGCCCAAAAAGACCTTTCTCAAAGACTTACATTGTGAAAGACATGTCTGTTTTTTGAGCTAAAACCCAAGAAATGACTCATTTCGCTATCAGAATTTAATCCATTCAGTACAATAACATTACAGCGACTTAGCTGCGGTAAAGTGCACTTGCTCTATGGGCCCCCGATGTGAAAGATAACTTCATACCATGGAAATTGAGCTTTTTGGCTTCATGAGCCACTGAGCAACTTTCATATGAATGGAAGGGGCCCTGCCTCCAACACTATATCCAGCTCCCTTCATACATCCATGTAGAGAACAAATCATGCCAACGAATAGCTAACGTTACATGTCAAACTTGTCTGGACATCGGCATTCCCTTTTATGTTGATAGACTTGCTTTTCCTAAATACTCTGGCATTTGGCAAATTCAATTACTTGCTGTCTTGATATCAATTTTTTTTCTGTGTGTCCAAGACTAGCTCAGAGACGTACATATTTAAGCCTGGAATTAGAAGCAGAATCTTTTTAGATAAAAGGGGGAAAAAAGTGCCTTCCAAGAACTTAAGAGTTCTCTTTATCTGATGTTTTATCTTGTTAGTTACCAAGCTAACCCCCAGTATCCCCGCTAGTCAGGTTTTTTTTGGATTTGGTTACAAGCAATTTCACCATGACAACATCTGTGATTCTTTGTGCAGCTACTGCACCCAGTTATTGGGCAAAAAATATCTGAAGAATGTGTAAATAAGATGGTTTAGAGTTGAGAAAAGGCACCTACGTAAATGCATAAATTGGTAAGGCAGCAAGTATGTTTATTTACCAAAATGGCAGAGTATTCAAAATTATTTTGCTTTTATTTTAATTTCACTTTAGTGATATGTAATGAGTTGGGACTCTCTTAGAGACAATCCTGGATGTTTCCCATTTAAAAAGCATGATACAGCTGCTGTCTGATGGGAAGGTTAACCAGACATACCAAATAAAAAATAAAGTCCTTATCCTTGAAGCCTTTTGTCTTGTTAAACCAAAACATACTTTTAAAAAAAAAAAAAAAAAAAACTTGAAAGCTCTTAAGATAAATCCTAAATTAATCATTTGTGTGGCTTGTCCAAAAAAAAGTTTTCGAGGCCAACTTTTTTGCCTTTTCTTAATAGTGTACCAGGCCAAAATGGGGCCATACCCCGGTGACATCTTTTTTCAAACATAAACTCTATAAAATAATCAACGTAGCCATCATAACGTCACCCACTGGTTTGTGAACTCCTGTTTTGAAGCCCTGAATTTGGCATTTTGGCTGTGGCCATCTTGGATTTTAGGTGCCAGACATGGCCCCATTAGTATGAGAGGGTGAAGCTAACCATAACGCTTGCTGCTAGCTTGGTTAGCATTATGCATTGACAGCTTTATTTCACAGTGACAATGCTGATTGTTGCTAGCAAAAAGAGGCTTCAAAACATTAAAACAAAATGCACTTATATGAAAACTAAACATCAGACCTCAGTGATGACCAATCACTGAACCTTTTTAGGCAAACAAATTGCTACAAATCAATTTTCACGAATTGAGAACTTACTGAAATAGCAACAGTTACAGTCTAGACTCTGAATCCTGGGTTACGCCATAGTTATGTTACCTAACCAGCACTGCTGCTATGGTAGTGACTTGTCAACAGATGGCACTCACTTGACAATAATAGCAGCCACACCGTGAATTATGCATAAATTAGGCCTTCATAACATTTAAACGGGTGGGTTATATAAAAATTCAACCCCCACAAAGTAAAAATCAATTTAGAGACTAAAACCATTTTTTGTACGAGGCTGTAAACATGTTTATTTCTGCTGTACATTTGGCCATTTTAACATGGGGGTCTATGGGGATTACCTCACTTTTGGAGCCAGCCTCAAGTGGCCTTTCAAGGAACTGCAGTTTTTGGCACTTCTGCATTTGCTTCATTTTGTCTTCCGGCAGCTTTTTAGTCACCAAAACGGGGTGTTTTAAACCAAAACATGATCTTTTCCTAACCATAACCACATTGTTTTTGTGCCTATACCTAACCACATGTTCACCACCACATCGTCGACACGTGAAGTTACAATGAGTCTGCAAAATAATAATGTACAAATTAAGTGGTTTGCAGAAACGTAAAATGCCAACCTTTATTCTGGCGATGTGGCTGAAAAACAATGACAATGTCCAAAATGCCAAATATCATGCATCAAAATTGTAGATCACAAACCACATCACAGTGGTTTTGTCCACTTTTTTTAATACAGTCTATGTTTAACTTTATTTCAGTTTTACAAAAGAAAGGCTTTAAGGGTGAGGGATATGTGGTCGGTTGGGTTAACTTCCAAGCAAAAGACAAGCACACAGTTGCGTCCCTGAGCTTTTCAATGGAAAACATCCAGCAGCAGCTAGTCAAACCCACACTGATGTAGACACATACCACCTATAGTATTTGAGTTTATCCTCATTAATTTCAATGACAACTGTGCTTTTTTCACAGAGGAAGCCAATTCACTCAAGAAACTCTCAATTGAGCTGCCTAGTAAGATCCCTCAAATCCTGCCACCATTTTAGTACCTCTGAAACCAGTAGTCTACTTTAAATAAAAATCACCCACTGTCTGAACCTAGGAAACATGTTGGAGACATGTTTATTTATAGATATTTCTGTGTGTTTGAAGGTTAGCTTTTCAATAGAAGAAAGTGAAGATGTTCAGAATATAATTGCTAACATATTAACATCTACCAAATAATACAAATTATTTTTCTTACATTAATTACACTTTTGGGGTGGTACATGATTATGTTGTTTTTTGTCTGTACACATAAATTGCCATTTATGTGACTACACTTGGAATTCAGATTCAGAATTCCTCGCATCAGTGCTTGCAAATCTATAATTGCTTGTTGGTTTCACTTTTTCTGAGTGTGTGCTTGCTTCAGTGGACTTTACAGTACTATTCCTTACAATATGCTGTAAATTTCTCTCTGTCTTTGTTTAGATGATAGCGTGCCAGCCATGGGGAGAAAAGACTCAGGTAATAAAGTGGTAGTCAAAAAAAGACTGTTGTGGAATTTTTTCTATTCTTACTACACTCAAAGAGGAATTTAGATCGGTATCAAGAAAATCCGATTGTTGTTGTTCCCTGTTTTCCGTCATAGATGGGCAAATGGGGCCTTACTAGCATCTCAGCATAATCCAGGCCACTTTCGCGCATCAATATGGTATGCAACATGAAAAAGATTTTTTTCCTCACATCATAGCCCCAATTCCTTGAGCTGACGTGATGGGGCGTCTGGAAAATGAAATCTTTTCCATGTGCATTAGGGTAAAGGATTAAAAATTAGCAGGCAACATCTGATAGACAATTTTGTCAATGGGGAACTGGCATAAACTGTGAAGACAAGACTTGGACCTCCCATTGCAAAGAAGACTGGAGCATCAGTGAAGAATTTACATAATCTTTTATATTTTGCTGAAAATGTCCCTTAAATGTGGTCTGCTATGCTACTTAGACGCCCTTCTTGTGTTTCATTTTGTCTGTTTCATGCTTTCCATGTTGCAAAGAGCTTAAATTCTGCTGATACGAGGTATGCGAGGTGTGATGGCTGAAAGTGAGAATATGTGTCTGTCTGTTACTGTCTGTTTGTCTGTATAACTTTCCTCTGGTAAGACTAAAACTTTCAGATCAGAAGTGAAAGGTGGGTGTATGAATTCCTCAAATGTATACTGCTACATTTTTCCCTGCACAATGACAGTGGAGAGCAGTGTATCATGTATGTGTTTCTCCTGACTGACCAGTGTGGTCTCTGGGAGAGGGCCAGGGCCCAGAGGAGCTGGAAAAGCCCATTGACACCCCACCACGGTCAACCCTGCTGATAGAGAGCCCCCAGAGTGCCTCTATCTTTGTGGGTGAGTGACAGAACAACAAAAGGGAGTTAAAGATGGTAAAAGATTGGAACATTGCCTAAAATTTGAAACTATTTCTTTAAGAAAACTTAGAAAGGGACAACAGGTTCACCATCTAAATTTCTAGATTGATGAAAAGGCATTTTGAGAGCATAGTGCCTCCATAGTTTTAATGTTTAATTTAATCAACTTTCATTGTTATGTATGGTTTATTAATTGGGCGTTTGGACTGTTGACACTTTTTCTCTGTGATCACGTTGTATTTTCTGCATCTAAAGGTGGAGACGCCAACTTTGTTGCCAAGGTTGAGGCCAAAGATCTTCTCCGCAAACCTACTGTCAAGTGGTTTAAAGGAAAGTGGATGGATCTGGCCAGCAAGACAGGAAAGCACTTACAGCTAAAAGAGACCTTTGACCGACTGACCAAGGTACTGTACAGCAAAGCACCCTCCCATCGAAGCTCCTACATGAGCACAGCCCAGTCACCAGAAAGAAATGTTGGCTTTGTGCGTTTCTGCAAACCACAAATACGTTACCTCTGTACCTTTCATACATATCATATCAGTGTTTCTAAAGTGATGTAATGTCTGAGCTGACTTTGTCACCTAGGCAAGGTGCATGTCAAGCTGCAGACCACTGCTCAGACCAACAAACAACAAAACTGGTTGTGTTTCGGTTGCTGTTTTTCCACCCAGGGGAGTGGCACTAAAAGAGTTTGTTTTCTACCAAGAGATTACTGCTTTTTGTGTCAGGGTAGTACCATAATTAGTGGTTGTTTTTTACTGAGACATCGGCATGTTTTCTGTAAGGACAGTACGACAAGAAGCATTTGTTTGTCACAAAGACATTGCTGCATTTTTTTTACCAGGATGGTACCATAAAAAGGGGTTGTTTTTTACTGAAACATTGTCGCTTTCCCGCCAGGATAGTGCGTCAAAAAGCATTTGTTTTTTGCCAAGATATCACTCTATTTTTTGCCAGTATAGTACCTCAAAAAGTGATTGTTTCGTCTAGTTTTCTGCCAGGATGGTGTTACAAAAAAGTGCTTGTTTTTAAACATGGCCTCGCTGGCATCACTGCATTTATTGCTGCAATAGTACAACAAGTGGTTGTTCTTTACCGGGACATCCCTGTATTTTCTGATGGGATAATGCAACAAAAAGCGGTTGTGTTTTACCAAGACATCGCTGCAATTTCTGCTGAGATAGTGCAACGACAGGCTTTTGTTTTTCACAGTGATATAGCTGTGTTTCCTGCTAGAATAGTGCTAAAAAAAAGTGATTCTTTTTTACCAAGACATCGCTTCATTTTGGGGTGGGATTGTGCCCCAAACCTTGATCAAACATGTTCTCTTACTAATCATAACTATGTGGTTTTTGTTCCTAAACCTAACCACATGTTAACCACAGTGTTATTGAAATATAACGTTTCTCTACAATGTACAAATGTGACAATTTGCAGAAATGTAGAATGCTAGCATTTTTCCTGCTGCTGGGGTTTGTGAGCACAACTTCACAGAAAGCACTGTTAAACCAATTTTTATATATTACTCCCTGGCAGATACATACATTTGAGATGCACATCATCAAGGCCAAAGAGAACTATGCTGGAAACTACAGGTGCGAAGTCACCTACAAGGACAAGTTTGACAGCTGTTCCTTTGACTTGGAAGTTAAAGGTTTGTTAAAGCATCAAAGTGCCTTGTATTAATTCTAATATGTCAACAAAATACAGACTAGGATATGTGTTGTTACTGTCTTACAGAAGCTGAACAGGGCACACAGAATATTGATATTCGATCAGCTTTCAAAAGAAGGTAACGTAAATACTGTCAACAGTAAGCATTATGAATTCAGTATGCAACAGTACAGTATTTTTTCACTTCAACTGAACAAACCAAGGTATTTATTCTAGAAATAGAATTAATACTAATACATGCTTCTGAGTAGTGAAGAAAAGGACATTTCACCTTGTAGTAATATTACTGTATGACATTTAAGTGTGACAAGATGGTTGTAATAATGTCATTAACCTTTCTCAAAGGTAATTACAAATCAACCAGCCGACTCAATGTGTAATTAAAGGCCAACTCTTGCATTTTAAGTCTCCCTCCAAACAATGTGTCTGGAAAGCAATGCAAAGCATCCCAGTGTCACAATGTTGCTGCTCAGTAATGTTGCTCCAACATTGCACAACTACTGTGGCAATATTGGCTGGGACCGCTCTCAAAGTGTCTTACGCAAAACACCTTGTTTCAAGCTTTTATCAGAAAAAGACAAAAAAGGGTTTTTGTGTAAGCACCAATCGGAGCTAATGCAACGATTGACATCAGAGCCTGTGCTTTGTGTTGCTCTTTTAGCATTGTTTTCTAGTGCCTGTATATGTTTCATCTCTGATTAAATCTTTATTAATCTCTCCTTGTTAACAACAGCAGTGAAGGACAAGAAGATGCAGGGGAGCTTGACTTTAGTGGTCTCCTTAAACATAGGTGAGAATCACATCCCGACCCTGAGTGGTTTTTGCGCTTTTCAGAATTCTTAAGCCCTTCTTTTTTCTTTTCTTTTTTTTTTTTTTGGATGAGCTTCTTTTCTCTTTCTTTCAAATCTTTTGTAAACTGGATTTGTATTAGGCTACTGTATGAGTGGCAAGTACATTTCAACTGATGAAAAATTTTGTTATACCAGAGGTTTTCAAAGTCTGATACTGTGGGCTCCCCCTCGGACAAAATTGAGACAACTGCACCCTTCCCAACATCCCCATCTAATGGCAAAAAAAAACATTGATAGTGCAATATGAAAACATTAATCTTAATTTTTTTAGTCATATTATTAGTCTTTGTCTTACTTCAACTTACTTTACCCAATGACCAGCCAGCCACCCATTAGAAGTAATGAGAAGGGCTCATTCATACTCCCTTAATGAACATAAATGGATCCTCTCATTTCAAACATTTAAACTGTCAACACCCGCATACTTTCATGAGTCCTTTATGTTGAAATAGATACATCCATTAGATGGCACTAGAGGGCAGAGTCAGAAGTTTCAACCAACAACAAATGATGGCGGAGGAGGTTGTAATGATGCACCTTGTGAAGGAGGCAGCGTTTTAGACGGCGGTAATCTGTGAAGCCATTAAATGAATCGCAACATGCAAATGGAAAATTCTCTTCACTATATTACCGATTTGTTCGATTCCGGCATTTATAAAATGTCTTTTCCTACAGTCGTGCCTTGCTTGAAATATGCTACACTGCCCCCAGAGTCTCCGGTGGTATTCCCCAGTTTCATCTATGTCCACAAGCTTTCAGATAACATGCACAGATACGGATGACATGAATGTAGAGTATGGACAGAAGGCTCCCTCCATGTCCGTATACGTATCTAACAATGAGCATACACGAGCCTTAAGGAGTCAGGGTTATAAGTACCGAAGTTTTTGTTATTTTTAGCCTTTATTTGTTTAGATTTTGGTAAACTGGCACCAAGAGACAACTATCACTGGATTACTTTGATACGGAAAAAAAACTTAAAATCACAATGTTTATCGGGCAATTTCTTGAGTAAAGAGCACTGTTATTCTATGGTTTCTAAGTGTTTTAAAGGTTATGGACACTTATTTGTGACAGTCATTGGAGATAATCATGTCCCCTAAAAATATTTTTGTGTCATCAGATATGACTGAGTTATGAGTCTGAGAAGCAGTGCAAATGTTGGGAGGGGCGCCTCACAGCTTGAAAACCTCTTGTTTACCAAAGCTACTGTGGTGGCTCAAAATAAACACCATGATGCATATTTCAGATGATACAGAGCAACGTTAAAGTGTGAGTACAACTAGTCCTAGGCAGTGACACTGTTCACCGGCGAAATTATACATTTATTTTGGGCTTGTCTCTTCTTCTCCCCTACATATTCAGAAATCAAAGGTTAGTAGAGAGAAAATCATAGGTTTTAAAACGATTAGACCTTACTGCGGGTGAGTACTGTATAATCCTGTAGAGTCCCCAGCATGACATGTAGCTCTAGGAATTGGACGAGCAAGAGTGTTGGCCTACTGTAGTACGGTAACACTTCATTTGAAGGCAGCATTCCTAACCGCTCTGTCAGCAATCAGTAATGATGGAAATGGGCTTTGCATCATAAACTATCAGAGGTGACTGCTCTTCATCGAGTCGTGAAGTCAGACACCACCTTTATGAGGCAAAGTGCGCCATTTTGGATTATTAATGATATGCTCGTGGGCCATAAAGAAATGATGCTGTAAAATAGTGTTATCTCTACATTGTCGTTTTATTTCAACTTAGAAATATAAGGCAAATACCACCATGTTTATTTCAGCTTTCTTCATAATTGCCTGAAAATAAACAGATGAGAAATACAAACACAGAATGGAATAATATTTGACGCTATTCACCTCCAATCTTTCAGACATTTGGAAAAATGTCTACGAAAGAAAGGGCTGTCTGAATGTTCTTTATGTTAACTAATGAATACACTCATGTCCAGGGCAACGTGTTTATTAACTTGGGTCTCACAAATCTAATGTCTTCAATATCATTACCTAACAGTGTCGGAGCATCTCTGAAGTGATCACTCAAACCAACAACAAACAAAGGGATGGGCCAGTTCGTAAGAGCAATAAGAAAGATGTTGAAATCATCATTTAAAATCTCTGTTGCAGGTTTCCCCTCATTCCCTGCATGCTGCATATCATGTTATCATGTTATTACACCCAAGTGTTAAGCATTACAATAGGATGAAACCCACAGCATTTTTCTCACAACATGGAAACAAAAACTCTCCTTAGTGGATTTGTGTCCACTCATGTGTGCTAATTTTAATCCTACAACACTGATGAAACTCAAATATCCTCCATAATTCAGCTCCCTTTTAGTGTTTCCTCTTCATCCCTCAGTGCATGCTAGAAACCTTAAAAAGCCATTTTACAAACATTATTGTGGATTCAGTAGCAGTCCTAAATATAAAAACACTGTAATGATAAGAAAATCTGCTAGGTGGCCATTAATGTGGCACATCAGCAAAGTGGAATATCTTTTTTGTTTCCTCCCGCAGAAAAACATACCTATGATTTCCTATTGTATTTAACCTAGTCAGGGACCTAAGAACGATGACCAATCCCCAGGAGATAAAAGTTAGAAATGGTAACAGGACTGAAAAGCGAAAGTAACTATATTTTTTATAACAGTAGCACAAACCTTCTTTGAGATAAAAGTCAATATGTGATAGACGTCCTGATGACTTAAAAGATTTTATTTTGCAGTTCATGTAAAATGTTTGTAAATTTTGATCATCAAACTATCTTGCACACCATAAAAGCTCTAACCTCTAGACAAGAGATTAAGATTAAATAAGAGATCAACTAAATTCTGGTACACAAATTTATTTTCAGACTTTTCTCCAATCTTTTTTTTCTTCTTTTGTTTAATACTACACTGTTGTTACCCAAAAAGAGACAATCTGGGAAGACACAACTCTTCTTTGACTGAACTGCTCATAATTTACAGACATGCAATGAGCGGTCATAAGGGGCTTTGAATTACGGTGTTAAAATGTTGGTAAGCACTGGTGTAAAAGACAGACTGGTCCTCAGTGTTCCCTGTAGACTTCCTTTAGTTCTTCTTTGTAACAACATCCTAGGGCTGAGCAACATGAGGAAAATAAAATATTATGATATCTTTGACCAAATATCTCTATATCAATATTGTGACAATATTGTAAGGTTGACAATTGGGGCTTTTACAAAAATATTTACTCAATATCTTTGATAAATAATCATCAGTAAAAGGCACTGCTGGACCAAAGGAATTCTAAGAACTCCCCGTCTAATTGTGGCTGAACTACAAGAACTAGGAATGATTGTAGTTCAAAGAATGCCATTTTGAGGAACTTTTTTAGCTCCTATTTCAGAGTAGGTACTTTTTCAGCACAAGAGGAACTGTGAGTGACGTAAATGTACAGTGATTGATCCAGACGTCATAAGTATACATTGATTGGTTGAACACAACCAATGCAGCAACAGCAATCACCATTTTTAAAACCCATTGGCCATGAAAAAAATGCAAGAAAACCTGGACAAATAGACCCACAGTGAAGTCCAGGTTTTACCGAGCATATATATGCTGGTAGAAATACAACGTGACTTTGACAAGTCAAAGCAAAAGTGACGTTGCTATACCAACCACTGGCCGACTCTCAGTGCATCACTTCAGAGTACCTATTGGTGGTGTGACTGCAAACAGAAAAAAAGTCCTTGAAGGTATGAAGCTTTCAAGGGAGGTCCCAAGTGGGCAGACGTGATTAGTCCCAAAACGTTTAATGTGGATATAATGATTACGTGGGTAAAGACAAATAATAGAACAGCTAGAACTTGTAAGTTCGGACCATTACACCCCTTTACTGTAATGCAGCCTTTAAAACCAGGAAAAGACAAAACTGACCACATTACGATATCCAAAATCTAAGACAATATCTAGTTTTATATCACAATATTGATTTAATATCGACATACTGTATAGTCCAGCTCTACAACAACCTCACAGGGTATACCCACTAGCCTGGAAATCCAGACTCAAATCTAGAAAGATTTTGAGTCTGGCCCTCACCGATACACGCTTCCTACCCAAGGGGCGGCACTAACTGAGGCATTTCAAATGCCGCCGCGTGCAATTGGATAGCACGATGGCCAATCAGAGCAAAAAACAAGGTGACGTATTCATTGCACTAACTAACTGGGCTAACTGATATATTATGTTTTTGCTGTATCCCGTTGGCAAAACAGCAAAAATGTCCTTCCTGGAAGTGAAGGCTTCTAGGGCAGTCTTCTGTTCCTCTCTCAAGGAAAAAGATAAGTGTATTCGGCTTAGCGTTTCTTCCAAAGCTAAAATGAATGGATGCGGTCCTTCGGCAGCTGCCATCTTGGCTGTTTACTTTTCGACTACTACGGCGCAGCGCTGTCCTCATCATGTTACGCCTGCCCAGAGCCCGCCTCTGTCAGACAGACTGATCTGATTGGTCCGATGGCGATTCAGCGGGCTTTGCTCGTCGGGGCCAGATCCCCATGCAGAGCAAATTCGAATTTGCTATGGGCGGGGCATCTGGATTTCCGGGTTATATACCCATCTCTTTTTCTGGCCCTTTACAGTATTCCCACCTATCAGCCAAAAATGTCATTGAATTATACAGGAGAGTACACCCACTTCCCCCTCAGTAACCTACCCATGTACCTAGTAGCACATCCATCTCATTAACTACCACTGCACCACTGTTTGCACACACCTTACTAATTAAAAATCTTCCTGATTTTTGCATCTTGAGCATTTCTGATTAAATCCTGGTGGACAAACACATGGATAATAACACACAGGTACGATCAACCTCCCATTACTTCTAAGCAAATTAGATAACACATCTGTGCTAAAGAGCTCACCATGCCCATCCCTTTGTGTGACATGTCCCGAGGAACACTCTGCAGGGAAATAGGATATGCAAACTGAAAATGGCAGAGGAGGAATTGAAAAGAACATTTCCCTAAGCAGTGATTGAAAAGCTTAAGAGTAATCTGACTAATGCCTCAAAGACCCATATTGTAGAAGTTAAAGAGCAGTTCCTCAGGACAAGTTGCAAACACCAGCTTATGACTGCCTACCTTACACCGTTCCCTCGTATCCGGCACCACTAGGGAGCCACAAAAGCAGGATGACACTCCAGAGATCGATGTGTGGGAGATCCTCAAAAACGCCCGACCAGATGAGTACGAGAAGATCGCCTTTATGTATGGCATCACAGATCTGAGGGGTCTGCTGCGGAGGATGAAGAAGATCCCGAAAGAGGAGAAGAAAAGCGAAGGTAAATCGGTGTTTTGATGTCATCTTAATCTCAATCTTGGTGTCTCTTTTGTGACCTTTGCTTTGTCTTTCCAAAGCTTTCGCAAAGAAACTGGAACCGGCATATCAGGTGGATAAAGGTGGAAAGATCCGCTTGGTGGTTGACCTGGCCGACCCCACAGTTGAGCTCAAGTGGTACAAGAACGGACAGGAAATCAGACCCTCTCCCAAGTATGTCACAATGTTTTCTTCAATTTATCTTCTGTGTCTTCTCCCCTTCAACACGGCACAAATGAAACACAGGTTTTTAAAAATGTGTTTCATTTGTGGCATCACTGTCCTTAAGCAGTCTTCTGATAATGTGTTTTCATATAATGTTCTGTCACCACTCAAAAGCACAATGGTTCACATGTTTTACATCACACAGATATTTTCACTAGTTTACTTAAACTGAAAAACACATCATGCGCTACATAGACCTACATTTTTATGAAGACACCCATAGAAATAATTTAAAATCTAAAAGTAGCTTACTAATACTGTACATCTGATGTAATCTTACATCACCTTCCTCTACAGCCCACTCTACTGTGAACCATTGCTAGTAAATAAATAACGTTTTCTCGGCTCTAATGTGGCTCTGATCAGTTTCCACAAAGTCTCACACACATTATTAGGAACATTATGAATGCATAGGGCCATACGAAAAGGCCCCAGAGCTACATTTGGGTGTAAATGCAGTGTATGATGTCAACTGTTGTAGTTAATTGCCATTAACTACTGTATGTCCTCCTCTATACAGGAAAAAAGGTGGTACCTCCTTCACAGGTCTTTAACCAAGTCTGGCTTTGAAACAAGTTTAATAGACTATGTCACATACTGCAGTGAATGCAAATAAAGATCATGTATTTTAACAAGTAATTACCAATATAATCTTAACAACAACAAATGTTGTTTTTCAAATCCATATGGCTTAAAGGATATGAGTGATGTTTTCACGAGTTTTTAGCACAGCAGGCATTTACTAATTAGATGTGAAGACTCAGATAAAACAACACTAGACAGAGGAAGTCAGACTGAGACTTTTTCTTGACCATGGGAATAGTGACAGCCTTCTGTCTGAGAAAAAAAAATGTTACGTATTCCTCTACACAGCAGGCGATTTATTAGTTTCTAAGTTATATTGATTAGGTAATATTTAGATCCAAGATTAAACTGACAAAAGGGCAGGACTAAAATAATGGAATAATAAAAGAATGAACATGTTAGATTCTGTCCGTTGTTGATTTACCGCTCTGTCTCCGCTGTCTACTTTTCTTTTTTTTAGAGCATGCCACATGAAATTACTTTTCACTGACTCATTTATTTCTACAGCTGTTGTCTCAGCTAGTCTCTCCCGTGTGTGTGCATCTTACACGCTGACTCATGTCGCAATGCTTATCAGAATGCACAGATTTGATTGGCGGAGTAGCATCACGTGAGATGACTTACAAAGTATGAAATTGTCTGTGAGTTTCGTGGGGTGCAAAACCAGTTCCATAAAGGCTCAAAATGCTGCACCAGTTAAAATAGAAATGCTCCGTCAAAATAATAATTACTCTTGGTAATCTATCGGTCAATCTCTGAACGCACTGGCTATCATCTGACGACGATAAAGCTTCTAGGGGCAATGGCCAATACTTCGGGCTAATGCTGTGTAGCCAGCGGATATTCCGGCCAAGATTTTCCGTTCCATGCGCAGGTAATTTTGGCTAGTCGTATAAACACATATATGTATATGAATGCAGATTCATTTTTCAAAACTAACATAAAGCTAGCTCGTCATAAGACGACAGCCGATGGCCTTCGCTTCTCCATACTTCTTGGACTACAGACAGAAACCAAAACACTTCCGATACCAAAACCTCGTCCCATCACCTATGCTATGCATCGTCCCATTTTTCTGCTACCAAGGGAAATGGCGTCCACTCTTATCCCCTCTCAAATTGCCTACTGCCTTTCAAAAGGATTATATTCCTAAGAAAAGCTAACTAACTAAACTAATATTTTTATATTGACAATAACTTAAAAACCTATATTAAGAATATTTTTAAAAATCTACTTAATTAGTCATATTTCCAGTTTTTTTCGCTGCCTCTAAGTGGCCCAAAAATCATCTAATGCAGGTTTAAGCTCAACCATTCAAACATTAGAAAATGAAGCTTTAGTATATGTTCCCAACCTTAAATGTCTAAAAGAAGAATAGTAATAATGATAAAATGTACATGTCGAATAATTAATGGTAAAAGGGTAGGTGTAATAAGCTAAGGCTTCAGTCTACACCTTGCTTTTTTGTTGAACTTTTGTTTATAATGCTAAAAAAGCATCAACTTAATGTTATTTATTGTCTCTCTACCAGTGTATTTGAGTTCTTTAAGTTGGAAAATGACCGAAATAAACTAAACTAAAAACTAAATTATAGTTATCATGCTTTGCTAATAAGGCTTATAATAATAGCTGGTGATATCAAATTGAAAATGATTCGTCAATCAAAGGTGTTTATCTATAGAATCCGAGAATAGATAAAACAGATATTAGGATTACACACCTGTATACCAGATGAACACTATGCCTAACCTAACGTTCATAAGCTGAAACTTGTGTTCAAAGCCATTCAAAGTTAAAGCCATCTGGGAGGTTATTGCTGTTTTCTGGTTTTGGTCTCCTGTTGCATTTTCTCCAGGGCTCCCTGCTTCGAAGACTTCACTATAAAAAAAAAACTCTCTGTCTCTCTTCTGACACTATTTGCCGACTTCATAAACCCCTCCAGGCATGATGTCTCTCTGTCTTTGTCTGTCTGTCTATCTGTGTGTCATATCATGATGCTCCTTCCTGTCTGCCATAATTACTTCCTGTACACTCCCTGTGCTCCGGCCCCATTCTGGCTCCACTGCTGACCGTTAGTCAGAGGAAGTAAGTCCATCCGTCCAGTCGATTCTCCCTTCTCCATGTGTCTTTGTCTAGCCTGACCTTTGGGTTTGTGAAGTGCACTTGATGCATGTTTAGAATAATAATGATGTGCAATTGTTTATTTTGTCAACACCACTGTACATTTTGATTTAAAGAATGATTTTTGTATTTCTTTTACTTAATATCTTGTAATAAAACCCATTCCTATCTATATATTACTGAATATGGACACTATCTATAGGTGATCAGTGATGTGACTACTGAACTTCCTGTTTAGGTATATTTTTGAGCATAAGGGCACACAAAGGATTATGGTCATCAACAACTGCACCATGAATGATGATGCAGCTTATTCTGTAGCTGCGGGGGACGAGAAATGCGCCACAGAGCTGTTCGTCAAAGGTATCCTGATTATGTACTCACTTTAATTTAACTTCTAAAGAACTGCATATGACATACAATATGCTGCAGATTTAGCGTGCCAAACCGTGAGAAACTTTTTCAGTTTCTTTCTCTATTCTTGTCTTACAGAGTTGCCAGTTAAAATCGTTAAAGGTATCGAGCCAGTGAAGACCACAGTGAATGAGAGGATTGAGCTGGAGTGCGAGGTGTCAGAGGAAGGTGCTCAGGTCAAATGGTAAGACTCGCTTTAAAGATTCAATGTGTTGCAAAATTACACATCAAATTCAAAATAGACTGCTTTATGGCAGATTAAAAGAAGAGGCCACTGGTTGGTTAGAGCAAAGGGAAGAATAATGGTGAAAAAAAGCAGTTACACCTTCTCTGTCCTAAGCCCCTCCCACCAGACAACCAGTGGGATATGCACAGGCTTCATACAGTAACCCAGTGTTTCCCATACATTGATTAATTTTATCTTATTTCATTGTAAAGTTGCCCTTAGCACAATCACCCAGCCCGTCCTTGCCCTGCTCTCTGTTCATCAGACATCAATTGAAACAAGAATTAGGCACCCCACGGTCCCTTCGCCTCATCCCTAGCTGCTGTGGACTCCTTCCCTGAGAAAAGAGTCGGGGGGAAGCTCAGAGACAGACCTCCGGTGGCAGCTGAAAAAGCTTGAATTCAGCCAGTGCAGGCTGTCACAGTGGGCTGCTGAGTCTAACCTGTGTAAGGGCATCAACAGAAAGTTTGCTGATCCAGCAGCAAGCCATGGTCGTTCAGTTCCATGGAGCTTGGTGTTTGCACTGACTGGATTTAAATTGCGACTGTCTGTCTCCAGAGCTGCTGCCTGCCCTCCTCCCGGCGAGGTGGTCTGTAGCAGTGGAGGACATTGTGATTCAAGGCTAACTTTAGCTACAAAAACATGAACTTGAAGCCGCAGTCGTGAGCCTTTTGGCTCCAGTTAGCAAAATGTTAGCAACCTCGCAGTAATTTCTTCAGTGTTTGATTTCACTTTTCTCTACTCATTCATTGGGGAAAAAAATTCTCGCATTGTTTTGATTTAAGGTAAAAGGCAAAATGTTATTGTCACAGTCTTATTTGAAACAATAATTTTCTCTGTTTTGAAATAAATGACTTAACTTTTGGTGCTTTGTAATCATATTAAGTATATGTAAGCAAAACAGAGTATGGCCTGGATGGGCCTTTAACAACAGATTTAAAAATGCTTGTTAAAGATTCCCTGTCCCTTGCCTATGTTGCTATTAGACCTAAGTGTAGGTATGTGATGGTGCTGGAGTGGGACTGGATGAGGGGCCCTATTTGTAAAATGTTGTCCCCCTGTCCACTGTTCCTAACGGCTGGCCTGATTAGTACCAAATTAGTTCTTTACAGGAGACAGTCATAAAATCATTAGGAAATAATGAAGCCATAAGATGAAGCTTCACAAATAATCATGACAGGAGTTAATGTAACAAGGTAACACTTGATGTAACAATGAAGCATTCGTGCTTATGTTTAGCTGCTCATTTATCCATGACGTATGTGTTTGTGACTAATTTCAAATTCTTCTTCCTCCCTCAGGATGAAGAATGGTGTTGAGGTTCCAACAGGAGTTCGCTCCAGATACCGAGTTAAGTCTGAAGGAACAAAACACTTCTTGGTGATCGATGACGCCTCCAGGGAGGACACTGGGACTTACTCCATCATGGCTACTGGTGGCACATCTGAGGCACATGTACAGGTTGACTGTACGTAGCATCCTGGCCCTTTTTCATAATGCCTGTTTGGTTAAATGGCTTTAAAAAGAATCAGTATTAATAATTTGCTCTGTTCAGTTCTAACCCCTTTTTACATTTAATTAGTGAAACCACTGAAGATATACCAGGACCTGCAGGATATGACGGTGTTGCTGGGTGAACCCCTCAAGATGCACTGTGAGATTTACCCCGGCAACGTCCCAGGGCGTTGGTACAGGAATGGACAGCTGATCCAGCCCAATGACCGCATCAACATTTTACACAGAAATAAGTATGTAACCTCTGTTAAGCTCTGTTCTATCAAAACCAATTTCACACAAACGCTGACTAACATCATTCTGGTTTTCCAGGAACCATCGCCTTGAAATTGCGGCCAGCTCCCTTCATGATGCAGGAGATTACACTTTTGTACCTGAGGGATATTCACAGAGTCTCTCTGCCAAAATTCATATCATTGGTACGAACCTTATGCTTCATCTATAACTTGCCATCACACTTAAATACACTTATTAACATAATGTCTTTTATGAAACAACTTAACTTTCTGCAGACCCACCAAGGGTGCATTTGGATAGCTTGAACTTCCCAGACAACACAGTGACAATTGTGGCGGGAAACAAACTTCGCCTGGAGATCCCCATCAGTGGAGAACCAGCACCCAGAGTGGTGTGGATGAAGGGTGAAAGGGTGAGCTTTAACCTTATTATTCTTAAACTCTTTTAAAGGAAAAGGCTGGCATTGTTTTATTTTTTCTTCTATTTTTCTTTGATAACAAATCCCAGGAAAATACCAGAACCAAAGTACTTTCCAATTTCCTTATCCTGTCTCTGGCAGGGGTGGACTGGCAACATAAAGCAGCTCGGAAATTTGCTGTCAAGCGGTCTCAACTTGACACACAAAGTTTTAACTAACACAACATCCTTTTCAGTCAATTCAGCCAGTATGCGCCCGGTCTCTGAAACTCAGACCCACTGGTTCCTTGTGAAGACAAAAATCTTTGAAAACTGATCACAAACATGCACTTTCATTTTAAGAAAAGGCTTGGTTATTTCCCACAACAGCTGGGCTCTGTAGGTGTTAGCAAATGTTACCTAAACAGGACTGAACAGTACATTTGTTGGGGATTATTTTCAGCGGTGGATTAATACGCATTTGATGCTATTTCAAGACACAGCACAGCATGTGGGATTGAGTTAAAATAAACTACAGTGGCCTTGTTCACAGTATAAAAGGAATATGTCACTCAGTGTTTTTAGTAGTTTTTGGACAACAGTGAAGCTTTGTGGCACAGAGGAATGAAATATATCAGGCATTAGATACACAGACAAAAATTAATTGTTGGTTTTGGTCTTTTCATGGGATTTGTTGACAGTAAAAACAGAACATAGAATATACCCAGCCATATGCTTAAAATGTCATCTGGTAGTCCTTAATATATTTTTTTCTGTCTTATTCATCTTAGGTGATTCTTGAGACAGGCCATCGCATCCACGCTGAAACGTACGGCGACCAAACCAGCCTGACTATTGACGTCACAGAGCGGGAGGACACAGGCAACTACAAGATAGTCCTGCAGAATGAGGCTGGTGAAGCTACAGCTAGCGTCAAAATCAAGGTTGTAGGTAAGTGATAGCAAAACACTTGCACTGCAAATTTGTTCCTCGGATATTTTACATGGCCTTGTGTTGTCTGCAGACATCCCCGACCCTCCAGAGGCTCCCTTGGTCCCAACGGTGGGCGGTGATTGGTGCACTATGACATGGGAAGCACCAAAATATGATGGAGGCTCACCATTATTAGGTAAAATTTCATGTTACTTGTTATGACAGCTTAAAGGGGATGTATTATGCTTTTCCGTATTTTGTGTCTTTTACAGTATGGAGCATTACAATGTTAGATGTTCATATTAAATGTGGCCAAAGTTTTAAAAATTTAGGTAAACTCAACATACTGAGAGTAAAAGTTATCCCTAATAATCCCTGCAACACGCCTCAGGCCTCAGACCGTTCTGAATAATCTGTTTCCTACTGTTATTTCTACTTTAGAAACAAGATAACGTCAACTTCTGACAGGTTTCTTTATTTGGTCATCTGCTCCAGGCACACTACTGCAAGTGTTCGCATTATGTAGCCAGCAATGCTACATGTAGCAACATGCTAACGTAAGACAAACAAGTAATCTTGGTTGCTTATGTTAGGAGCTTTTTGCTGGTGATTTTTCACAGTAGAAAGTGCCGTGATTCTGTTACATTCATTACCCAGCTGCAAGTACACTGCTAACACACATGTAGCTAGATGCTAACATCAGGGAGACATGTTATCCTGGTTTCTGCTTTTAAATTCTCCCTGATTTTGGATCGTATGTTAAATGATGGCTGTGATTACAGTGTTCATGAGAAAGAGACCATATGAACGCCCCGTACTCGTAAGAGTACATTTTCTGAGAGCTCAGAGTTCACAACTTTGTGTATTTGACTTCCCATGTAGTAAACATGAGCTCACGAGTTCCAGATGAACGTAGCAATTTTCCTGCTGGAACATGTAAGGTTCTATTTAGTAGTGTTTACTGGTGATTTTTCACGATAGAAAGTAACTCTTTTCTCTGTTGCAGTCATTCCCCAACTGCAATGACTGTGAATACACGTGTTTCAGCACAGACAGTATTCAGAAAATAGTGTTTCTTGACCATTAAAGCATGTAAACATCAATAACATTCTAAGTGAAAACCCCAAATACAAGCACAAACCTGAAAATGAACATAATAGTTTCCCTTTAAATGTATGTGTTGGTGGTTATATGATAAGCTTTCTGACTGTCCTCTAAAGGCTACTTCATCGAGAGAAAAAAGAAACAGAGCTCCAGATGGATGAGACTGAACTTTGACCTGATCAAAGAAACATCATTCGAACCCAAGAAGATGATTGAAGGAGTGCCATATGAAGTGCGCATCTTCGCAGTCAACGCCATCGGTGTGTCCAAGCCCAGTGAACCATCCAAGCCCTTTACTCCCCTCGGTGAGTAGCCCAAATGTCTCCATTTATCCACTAAGCAGTCCAAACACTGGCCCTTGAGCTGTTACTGCCAATAATCTGTCCAGGAAAAGTATGACACAAGGCTTGAGTTTATCTAGCAACCGTTTCATGATAATGGGGGAAATTTTAAAGAGTGAGTGCATGTGTCATCTGCCCTTGGTACCCCAGAGACGCAGCTGTTCCTCCCCATACCCCACCATCCCAAGCATTCTGACTGTGACCTCCACTGGACACGCAGGAGCTTTAGAGGATATTAAATATGTCTTTATAATGGCTGCCAAATCATCTGCGGATTAGAGGTTTAGGAGATCAGGTCTGTCAGAGGGTTCAATAGGAGTTAAATATGATTCACAATACAAGAATAGATAGAAAGAGCAGGGACTATTAAGATCTGCTATACAGATTGATAGCATACCAGCCTGAGAGCAAGGCGCACTTGCTCACGTGTTCTTGTCTTGCCAAAATGGATGTTTTCCGATCTCGCTCATAGCTATTGTTGGAAAACAAATGAAGAATGGTGGTTATGACTCTTCTGATCTCTAAAACCTTTATGTCCACTCAGCTGTGACCAGTGAGCCCACCATGCTGGTCGTGGACGATGTCACCGACACCACAGTGACAGTAAAGTGGCGTCCTCCTGAGACTATCGGAGCTGCCGGACTGGACGGATACCAAGTGGAGTACTGCATAGAAGGAAGTGAGACAACCATCAAATCTTCTAGAGGCCCCAACACACTGTGTGATTTTGGGGATGTTTAAGACACAAGTTGACAATTATGAGAGTAACGTGCCGAAACTTTGGTTGATAATCCAAACTACTGATCATAAATCACACTGTAGGTGGATTTCCATCAACCTTTTTATTGATGCGCATTTTAGATTTGCACATAAAAAACACCCGAGAGGAAACGCCAAAAAGTCAAAAAGATTGAAAAAAATATTGCTGTATTGATAAAGCTAACTGTGACTAAGTGTACTGGAAGCAGATTCAGTGAATAAACTAAGACATACAGTCATGACGTACTGTCATTGCATAAGCCACTGTAAGCTCTCATCATCGTCTCTGGAAGGCTTTGAAATAGCACTGAGTTGTAATATTAGTTGTATAAAACTCTTATCATTATTATTATTATCCAGTGTGCCCTACGTTACTATCCATCATTTGTTTTCCTGTGTTTTAGGTTTGACAGGTGCTCTTTTAATCATGTCATATTGTTGCGCCCTCTTTTGCAGTGGCACCTAACTGGAGAATTAGCACCATGTCATGCTTATCTCAATTAACCAACCTCCAATATTGACACAGATACAGTAATGATGGAAAAGTACATAAATTGACATATTTTATTGTACATTTTTCGAAAGTTTGGTTAAAATTTGCACTACCATTGGATGGAAACTCAATTTGTGACAGGCATCTGCCAACAGCCTATTTAGTGACATTGCACCCAGACTTATTCTGCGTAATAATTCTAGAGATTTTAAGAAATCTAATGCATGGGTATGCTCAAAAACGACTAGTTTGCACAACATGGTCCAATAATGTCTGAAGGCAAAAGCGTTTATAGCTGTTCCAAACTGCCACGCTGACTACAGGGGGAAAGTCCAGTCATCATAGAGCAGCGTGAAACGAAATAATCGTTAAAATTAAGTTAACGACACACTTGTGGACAATATTTCCTGGAAGACATTTGTAGCATTGCACTCATTTGTACATACGAAAAGTGACAGAAGCAGTTGTGTATAGAATGAAAAAAAAAAAATAGAAATTGCTGGACGCACCAATCAGGAATCAAGAAATCCGGAAAATGCCTTCAAATATTAAAAAAAAGTGCACATGCAGAAAATTTTAAATTAATTAATGAATTAAAATAATTAAAATAATACAGAAAAAGCTGCAAGTCCTCAAATATGAAAAGCTAGAACCATGAAAATTTTTTGGATGAAAAATAATTTCAACAATTATCAAATTAGTTGCCAATTCATTTTCTAATTAACTGACTAATAATTTTAGCTGTACTTTAGCAGCCAATCATTATTTGTGAAGTAACTAGTAAGCAAAGTTACAAAATAATTGTAGTGGAATAAAAAGCACAATATCTTCTTAAGTGTAAGGGAACGGAAGAAGAAAGTGGCAGTAGATTAAAACACCTCAAATTTGTACTTAAGTAAAGTGCTTCAGTAAACATACTTGGTTGCATTTCAGCACAGGGACTACAGAAATGATATGGTATACACTGACCAGTGCAACATTGTGAGCGCTCATGGATAGATAGATATTCACATGAATACCAAATTCCCGTGTGTATATCATGCTGCTTACGTATTGTTAAAAATGTACATTTCAGTGCTACAAATCACCAGACATTCATGGCACAATCTGACATGCCTCAAAATTGATATAATACAGTCACAGACAGTTATTTTATCAGACCTATCCCGCACAGTGTTTGTCGGAGCCTGAAGTTGTGTGTGCATGTTTGTCATGTTAGTCAGAGCTTACAAAAATTTCAGCAGAGGCTGCTAACAAACTATTAATTCAGCTGGACTGTTTGTTCGCTGTAGCTGATGATTGGATAATATCCAACACGGAGCTGACAGAGAAGACCAAGCACACCATCACTGGGCTGACTCCAGGAACTAAAATCTTAATTCGAGTCAAAGCCATCAACGCTGCCGGAGCCAGCGCTCCACGGACTATTCAGCACTCCGTCCTGGTCAAAGAGGTTATCGGTGAGCTCTGGAAACTGCAGTGGAGACTTTCACTACATTTTCTCTTTAAACTGCTTTTTTATGAGACTATTCTCCAAAAATACATTTCAACAAAAACTTTTCTGCTGTAACGAGTTAAAAGTTTTTTAAAGAAAAGATTCAAACAAACTCAGATATTTCACTAAAAAGATATCTTAAATCATTTGTCATACACGTGCTATGGTGTGTCTTTTCCTAAGAACCACCCAAGATCCGCGTCCCCCGACACTTGAAGCAAACATACACTCGCAGAGTTGGAGAGGCAGTCAACCTCGTCGTGCCATTCATGGTAAAGCAACCTCAAAATCACTAAATAGTTGTTTCATCTCTGAGCAGAATAATTATCTGTGTGTGATTTCTGCAGGGTAAACCCAGGCCGAAGGTCAACTGGCTGAAAGAGGGCAAGCCCATCGAGCCTTCCCACGTAAGCATCCGCAACACAGACTGCGACAGCATCATTTTCATCCGTAAAGCAGAACGCAGCCACTCTGGAAAGTATGAGATGACCGTGCAGGTTGAAAACCACGTGGACACGGCCATTCTGGACATACAAATTGTAGGTGAGTGAACGAAAGACTGCTCTTAGAGAATGAAGTCGGAAACAGCACTGTATTGTTTCCTCATAAATGCAAAGGTGGTATTAAGTCTTAAACTAAATAAAGAAAGGTCTTAAATATTTTCCATTGCCTGCTGTAGATGGTAATGGTAGTTATCTCTGCCAGGGGTAAGCCTGAAGGCTTCCACCAAAAGAAAGTAGGCTATGTAGTTAAAATATTTTTTTTTTTGTCTGTTTTAATTGTGTTTTAGTCTACAGACAAAATTAATCCCATTAAAGTCTAGTTATGAAGACATGGATCAAAAGATTGTGGCTGTGTTTAAGTTTTTTTAAAAATACATCCATCCTATATGCTCTGTGCAACGCACTGCAGCTCCGTCAAAAATAGCCAAGGTGTATTTTTCTGGCTTCTGGGACATTTCTAAAACATGCTGCGCTGCGTCTACAGCAATTGTCTAGAGTGGTGCAATCAGCTGCAGTAGCTGGCTGGAGGAGATCTGCATTCTAGAGAGCATTTTTCTAGTTATACTATGTTGTTGTAATGACTGCAGGCTGTCAGGAGACATTACACACCTATAAAACACACCCATACCTTGTTGCAACAGTGGGTTGTGAGCGTAGCAGGCTGTTTTGTAGTTTGGTCAGCACCATGCACTTCTTACAGCTAAGTCCCTATGAAGCTCATCATCTCCCAAAATAAATGACTTTTCATTGGTTAATCCATCCATCTATTTTATGCTACTTGTCCAGGTCCAGGTCACACTCAAATAATTAATGATATTATTAGCAACTATTGTTATATACTGCTGGGAAGGACATATAGTCCCTCCTGGTTTCCCATTATAAGTTAATACTTTGGCCAGAACAATTGTGAATTGAATTTAAAATCAACCCTGCAGCTAGCTACTCTTCAACAAAGTTACTATATTATTTTTACTACTCAAACTTAGTATATTAATAACAATAAGAACAAACAATCTTTTCTCTGATTGTTAGACCTACCTGGGCCTCCTCAGTGTGTGACGATTGAAGATGTTTGGGGAGAAAACGTGGCTCTGGTCTGGACTCCTCCAAAAGATATCGGCAACGCTCCAATTACAGGCTACACTATTCAAAAAGCAGACAAGAAGACAATGGTAGAAGATCAGTTTTTCAAAAAATGCTGAAAATGATGTGAACGTCACACTAACACGCTGTGATCTGCTTTACAGGAGTGGTACACATGCATCGAGCATTATCATCGCAACTGCATCACCATCACAGAGCTGGTAGTAGGGAATGAGTACTTCTTCAGGATCTTTGCAGAGAACATGTGTGGCCTAAGTGAAACTGCCACCCAAACCAAGAAAAGCGCCCTCATTGTCAAAGAAGGTAGCACTGACTATCATATAAGCAAATGCTTACTAATAATGTCTGATGGGGGAAAATGCTTCCAAAGTTAAATCTTTGGAACAAATCACATTCATTTTATTTGTCATAAATGCCAATAACGTTGTTTGCTGTCTATTTATTTCACAGCTGTTATCTGAAAGGAACTGTCAGTGATGTTTTCCACCCTGAAGTGAGCCTGGGTTTATTTACAGCCTCACTTTAACTTAAATGAAACAGGGGTCGGGCTATGACTGACAGGCCCTTTGACAGTGGTGTTGTAGCCTCAGCCGATGATAAACACAAAAATATTGTCTTTCCCTCATCACTTAGGGAATTTCCCACATGATACCGCTCAGAGCCAGTATCATGCACAACCCCATTCCTTTACCCTTCCCTCAACAGGCTTGCAGGTGAAAACGCACGAGTTCAACGACCACGACTTCAAGGAGGCGCCAAAGTTCACGCAGCCGCTGATCAACACTTTTGCCATCGCCGGCTACAACACTACTCTCAATTGTAGTGTTCGTGCCAACCCAAGGGTAGGTGGGAGGACCACAGGTAAAATTTTGTATATAGATTGCACTCTGGTAAATACACAGGTTGCCCATCTTGTACTATGGCACACTATTGGTAATGATAGATAACGTTGGTGTCTGGTCATAGCTAGGGGGTGTGGTGAGGGTGGAGTCGGTGAGGGGGAAAGCAGTCCTTGCCACACTGCCCGTAAATGCTGGAAAAGCAGTGTTTTTAAACCTAAATAAGAGACACTATTACATTTACTATAGATATGACGAATTAAACTTACCATAACATCAGTAACCTAAAGACGTTAACACTTTTATGTAATAGACTAGCATGTTTAACTGAATTTCACGCACGTTTAAAGACAGCATAGCAGTGCTAACGTTACTTAATGTCATTAGCCCGTGTTTTGACGATGTGCTATAATGTTATCATGCAGGGATTTGCAAATTCAAGAGCTATACATCCTTGGAAGCTCACAACTTTTGTACCAGTGGCTAAACAATCTAACACTGTTTGGATAAAGCGTTAGATCCTTTTTGTAAAACCAGAAACAGTCCCGGATTTGGTATCACTAAACTCACCAGACAACATTTAAATAAACAGTCATTTTGGCTTCTCAAGAGTCGTCATATTTTCACATCTAATTGGGTGAATTAAGGGTTGATTTAAACCAAACTAGAGTTGGTGATTGAACAGTGGAAATGTAAACTATGTTTGTTTCTGTGAGTTTCTTGTTTCTTTTGACTTTGAATTTAGTGTGTTTTACGATGATAAAACTGTCGTTTATTTAAATGAAGTCTGCTGGGTTTATCAATAGTGATTTAGGAGCTGTTCATGGTTAAACAAAAAAGATGTTATTCTTTAGCAAAATGGTCTGTCTCAGTAGGGATCCTTTTGCTGATCCTGACACTTAAAATTACAATCAGAGCCTGTTACTAGCAAATACAAGCACTTTCAGTGGATGTAAATTGACAGCTGGAACGTGCCGTATTTACATTGCAGCCTGGCCCTGCTGGCTGCAGCACTCTTGTCCAATACTGGGCCAAATCAAAAATGTTGTTCCTATTAGTCACTTTGACAAAAAAAAAACCCTGGAAAAATAGGATTCAGGTTGAAAAAATACCCTTTTTTCTGATTTATTTCTTTGACATACAGAAAGCCACATAGCAACTTTTGCTTTTCTCCTTAGCAAAAAAGGCTATGATGTTTTATGGGCGTTCCCACAAATGCCAACTGTATCTATAATACCAGGGAGCATCACTAAAGAACAAGAGCACCTAGATGACTGTGCAGTTTTTAAAAAACTTGTTAGCAAAGGAAAATGAAGACAAATTTTAAAATTATGACCCAATATTAAAATTCAGGGATTATATCTGGACACTTTTGCCCAATTGCCTGTCAGATTAACACCATTATGCTGATGTTTCTGTTGTCTGCCTGCAGCCCAAAGTGATCTGGATGAAGAATAAGATAGTCATCCTCGACGACCCGCGCTACCGCATGTTTAGCAACCAGGGAGTATGTACTCTGGAGATCAGGAAGCCCAGTCCCTATGATGGCGGCATGTACTCCTGCAAGGCCATCAACGACCTGGGAGAGGCCCTAGTTGAATGCAAGCTGGAGGTCAAAGGTCAGTGTGGTCCAGGAGGCGAGCTCAGTGTGCCTCCCTGGGTACCTGTCTGTTTCTGAGTCTGGCTTCCCATAGCCTTTTGCCTTTCTAGTTTTAAATCTTAATTTCTACTGCCTCTGGCCAGTGCCCCTGCTGAATGTTAATTCAAGAATCTTTGTTTCTTTATCTAAAACAAATAAGTTATAATAAGTAAAAAGACCCCACGATGGCTTTGGGAAACCGACTCTACTGTGTGTTGCAGTCTCCCAAAGGGCTGACCACATAGGCAGTGGACATGTAAGTACCTTTACTGGGTTGCACCAGCTGCTCACAAATTCATTGCTCAGGTTGTATGTTAAGTCTTTCTGAAATTCTTAGAACTGTTAGCTAATTTCTGATGATTCACTACATTGGGCTGCACCATCAAAACTTAAGGAATGTTTTAGCTAGATACATTAGTAAAGTGTAAACTGGTTGCTGTGAAATATCTGTCCAATCTAATACTTGATTTATGCTTGACAAACCTGTGAGGGTTGTGAGTGTCCCCATGGCCAAAGTGATGTCATACCATCAGTCCCACCACTTTGCACAGGTACCATGCAGCAGGTTTTCACCTTTCCATGCAAATCCGACATTTTCTGATGACGCAGACACTGATAGGCAGAGAAAAAGGAGAACTATGCTGTAGGCATGAATTTTCGATATGTACAGTTTGGGAAAATAGTGGTTTGCCACAGAGAGAAATCAACACGGAAAATTAAAGATAAAAAAATGTACTCATCACGATTCCGCATCAGGACGCATGAGGACTAAGGTCCCAGACACATGCCACATTTTTTGTGCCCTCCAAGCCATTGTTGTCGCCAAGCTCGCCCAAAAGCGAGAGCAGCGTTTAAACTTTCCCAAGCACCTATTTTTCAGGGTGTGAAAGCTGTGCCCTAAGATAAAGACAGTTAAACTTTTGGAACGCACACACATGACGAAGAACAACCAATCACAGCCCATTTTTACCAATTTTTATTGTAAAAATGAGGTGTGATGAGGTGAGCTGTTGATCATGTTTTTTGCAGGGCTACCCAGAGCTTTACATCTGCCCCACAGACAATATTTTAATATATACTGTCAAAAAAAACAACACATGGAATATCAGTTACAAACTCAGGGTTTCTGCTAAGTAGCCAAGGCAATGATATGGTGCTAGTTATAGTCGTAAGCAACATCAGGCACAACCTGCCTCCGCAGTCCACACCCTTAAAAATTTGACACAATAGTTGGCACAAGAATGGCACCCACCACCCAACCTTGTATTGTGTATATGGTAAAAGATGCAGCATGTGTATGAGCACTAAAGTAATCAACTATGAAAACAGTTAGTCACTGTAGCATCACAAGCTGTAACAACAAATGCAGAAAATAACAGCTTTAGGAGGCAAAACAATATATTAAACTTACCTGCCAATCATTAGGTTTGACTTTACTTTATTAATAATTTTCTTGATCAATATATGTATACATAAGGAAATATGTGTGCCAGAATTAGAAGCACTCATCTTGCTTAAGAGTGTGAGCGGGAGATGATGCAAACCTAGCTAACGTTTTTTTTGGTCATTTAGGCTAAATATTACTAGCATAATGTTTTAATTTGAGGCATAGTTTTTGTGAAATCAAATGTAACATAAAGGCATTTAAGATGTCGACAATATTGTCTCTTTTGCTATTAACAGGTACAATTAGCAAGCTAAAGCTAACTTTGTCGGATAGCACAATTAACGTTAGCTAACTGACAGCTAGCCCATATATCTGGCAATTAATAGGTGTAAATAATAAGTAACAATCAAAGAGAGTATATTTAGACTGACAACACATCCTCACTTACTGCCACTGTGAATAAAAAATAAAGCCAAACTGTCCCAGATACAGCTGCCGCCATCTTGTTGGCATTAAGAGCCAGTCTGCTCAGTTACGATCTCCGCAGTACCGGGTTCCCGCCCATTCACCCGTCCAACCAATCACGAGCAGCGCCGTGGATCAAGTACACACTGATTGGCACATGTAGCTGTCAATCATGACACCATTACACACCCTTTGTTTACATTAGATGGAATTAAGCTAGCAGATAGCTAGAATATAGCCTACTTTTTATTTGTATGCTTGAACCTGTTTTGTCTGTTTTTTCTGAGGGTTTATTTTGACGTAATTGTCTTAAAATATATTATTTATACTCTTCACATATACTTTTGTCATTCCTTTTTTTAATATGTGCTTATGCATATAATTTTTCAGTGTGATAATCCAGATGATAGCACTCTTGAATATCTAATTAATTTTGTTCCTCTAAATGCTACATTTTTTATTTACAATCAGAAATTCTCTAAGTCACTTCCTGAATTTTTATTCTTATTTTAACTATTAATTTATTTTATCTTTTCTCCTAGAATTCAAGGTTAACCCTTCTCAAATCGACAAAAAACACAAACAAACAAAAATGTGTAGAGCTTTTAAAAAATATGCATTTTTTTTCCAAAAATCCTTTGACTGAATAGACTTGTTCTTTATATGCTTGTATCCATTTATCTTTTTTCCTATTTATTTTTGTATGTAATTGTTTTAAAATACTGTTATTTCTACTCTTCACATGTACTTATGTCATTCCTTTTTTATATAAGTGCTGTTATTATTTACCTGATGTTTCATACATGTTCCTTTAAAACAAAAACAAAAATCAGAAAAACAATCCCTTGATCAGCGTGATAAGAACTACTTAAAATGACAGAAACCATATTTAGGGGGAAAAAATAGAATATTTTTAATTTTTGGGTCCCATCTGCTAACATGAGGGGCCTGGTTTATGACCTATACTGCAGCCAGCCACCAGGGGTTGATTGAAATGTTTTGGCTTCACCTTGGGGAGCTGTCATGATGTCCATGTGTAGTTTATTTTAACAGCTAATGTTCACATAAAAACTAGTTTGTATGGTGCAACCCGTTTGAATTTAGCGACATGTCAATCCTTATTTCCTAAAGACTTATCCTGAAGCTTGAACTTATGAACAGCTGGTGCAACCTGCTCCTGAACACCATTTTACAGATACAAATAATGACATAATAATAATACATTCATTTGTGTGCAGTGCACATAATATCTGGTGACACTTTCCCATCACCACCACATGTACGGGTTTATCCCCAGTCCAATCCATCCAGTCATCATGTTCATCATCACAACACACCACCTCCACACACAGTCTGTCACCAGTCACACCTCAGTAGGAGCTGTGATGTTTCTGTGTTGTCTTGAGACTATTCTCCACAGATTCCAGTGTCGTCTTTATGCCACAGTTAACTCCTCATATAAAAGTGTTCAGTAATAACTCAACAGTATTCCCTGGTGCACACATATAACTCCATGTAAACATTTTGTTAACCCCTCTTCTTTTCTCTCTCCCCCAGTCCAAACTCAAGAATTGTGAATGTATGTTCTCATATAAGGTAAGCTTTCATATGGTTTTGGCATATGAAGCTTATGTCATTCATTATGCATCTTTCAGCCAGCTTGTAACCTCGCTTTTCTCGGTTGGTGGGTTTGTAGCTGCTTTTCTTTCCCATGAAAGCAGGACCCAGAGAAATCGGGCATTAGTGAAACAAGGTTTGCATGACAACGTTTGCCAAATTTTTCCCCGGTTCTGCTTTGCTGGCTGAATTTAACAGCCCTGTTCTGAATATTTTAATCAATTGCCATAGTCGCTGGTGTGAAATGGAGTGAAATCAAAGACTACCTCTCATGTATTTTGTGCCACAGATAAGGTGAGTAAAAACATTTTGCAAACTTGCTAACCTTTTTCCGAGAAATCAAAAGCTGGGTTTCATGTTGACATGATGTTTACATAGCAGTCATCATACAAAATCCAAGCAAAGCGTACTAACACTGGGTATTTTCCAAATCCTGTGTGAGTTTGTATGACAGTGCAGTTTCTGTTGCGTCCCTTAGCTTACAGTGGTGGAAAGTAACATTACTTAAGTACTGTAATTACAGGAATATTTTGACATTTTGGGGAGTATGCTTATTTGCTTTCTTGCAGAAAGAGAAAGGATCAATACCACTCTCATGTCTGTCCATTATGGCCCAGACACACCAAACTGACATCAAAGAACTAGTGGCAGTGAAGGCCAACTGCATCGTCTCAAGTTGCATGTGTCTTGGCCAAAAAGTTGCACGTGAATACACCTCAAAGACTACAGCCAACCACCAACTAGTGCATGCATTCTGTGCCTGTGTGAGAAGTGATAACTCTCCATACCAGCAGGCAGCGGTAGTCTGTATTCATCATTCAAAAAGGGAAACCGGAAGACTGACAGGGCGCATTCAAGACACTAGTTAGCACATTAGCAACATGAACAACAACACAAACACTTACAATCTGTCTCTGCTAAAGAGCTCAATGGATAAAAAACTAATCTTACCTAATATAAAAAGTTTATTTTGCCTATAGTTATTTGTTTACTTTCCTCATTTCAATTTGGCCTCTGCCGCCATTTCAGCATGCTCAATAAGCTGATAAAAAGTGAACGAGAACACACTGCAAAAATTAGGGCGACAGACACTCGCTGACAACCAACACTGACCAACGGCCGACCGTTGTTTTTGTATGTCAGGGTCCTTCAATATGAGGCTACAACCAGTTAGCTTAGCTTCGTACTGGGAGTTTGAAACCAGGGAAACAGTGAGCCTGCCTCTGTTCAAAGTAGGGCTGTCCTGAATACCATTTTTTAACATTCGGACCTTCGGCAGAATTTATAACGAATATTTGAATATTCGTGCCCAATTTGGGGGGGGGGGGGGGGGGGGGGGGGGGGGGGGGGGGGGGATGGATCTTTGCTCTCAAACCACAAAAAAATGTGATGGCACAACAGTCTCCTTCAGTACATTATTCTATGCTTTCTTTTGATTTTCACATTGGCTAATCCTGTTTAATTTGTATTCTGATTAAATCGGAACCGTTGAAACAAGTTGTAGGAAGCCTCTGCAAGTAATTGGTTGCTGCCAGACACTCTGTGCTGCAATAAAATGGTTAATCAGCGTGCACTGTAGAGCCGATGCCTGCTGGTTCTGCCGGCCTGAATACAATATAATGTCTATAGCCTTACTGTTGTGTACAGCCTTTATAGATTGAGCTGAGTAGTGATGCGCGGGTCGACCTGTAACCCGCGGGACCCGCAAATGGACCTGCAGGTCGGGCAGCAGTGATCGTCTGTTAAATCGGTCTGTAAATGATATTTTGACATTATTATTATAATCTATTAATCTATAATCTATTACTGTCATGGCATCCGAAGGTACTGATGCGTTGAGCAGGTGACAGTCTGCAGCCGTTTTCAAAACACACTTGTATCACGCACTCCAAAAGAAACTTGTTGAAACTTTAAACAATAATTTATTGTACAAAACGGGGGAAACAAACGTTGACAAAAACGGTTCCATAATTCATATTAAATCCAAAAGATAACGAAAAAACAGCTACAAGTTAGAGGGAATAGTGATAAACTGGTAAAACTTGGCATTGATCCACAGCCTCAGACGGATGTGCTCAAGCGTGCCATGCGCACAAGCTCAGTTGGTAGGCTATACTATATTTTCACATTTTTAACAATGCAATTTAAAAGTTTTGATTTTTATTGATAACCTACATTTACCAACAACAAAAAGGCTACATTTAGCACCAAAAAAAATATGTTAAAAAAAAAAAAAAAAAGTAATACCAAATTTTCACAAGGAATACCTACCCATAGAACCAAATATCCGAATATTTGGGTACAGCCCTAGTTCAAAGGTCACAAAATCCATCTTAGCACATCTAAAACTCATTGATTAACAAATTATGTTTTGTGTGTCTTATCCATACAAAATCCGAAGTAAAAAAAACATGGTTTTATGAGTGGTTACAGGTCGTACTATTTTTAAGATGGGCACAGTAACTTACTGGAGTCTTGTTGCCACCAGGTTGCCAGGCAACCAGATGAAAACCCTGGAAGTTACAATGGAAAGCGAATAAGTGTAATTCCAGAAATGTCCAACAATTCTTTTAAATACAGTTAAGAACTTGTATTTTACCACATGCAGCTTCATACTTATACTGTAGAACATTTCAGTGGTATACTGTGCTTATTTTTGTTTTGTAAATTATATTTTTACTCTGATATTTATCTGACAGATATAGTAGTTAATCTGCAGAGTCAGATTTTATATGCGAGATGTGTGATCCCTTAAAATATGACAATTTAATAATGGTCTAACTGCCTAACGGTGTATAAGTTAGTTCAAATTTGCACCTTCTCAATTAGCAACAAGAAAAATATGCTTCTTTAGAAATGATAATCCAGTAATGTCATATATATTAGAGTATAAAACAAAAAAAATTATACCTTTTTATGTATTATTAAGATATTTGTCACAGAGGAAACCTGCTCAGTGGTATTGGCCCATTAACTTAAGGATCTGCAAACTTTTTCCACCACCGTTAGCATATAGTGGATGACTAAAGACGGTGTATGCTTCATTAATCTGGAATTTTTCAAAGGTGTTGGACCTGCATTTTAGTTCAGTGGAATCAGCTATGCTGCTGGTTCTGCAAGCTTAAACCGATGCAGAGATTTAGTATACTCATGAGCTATTCTGACCACCCTTCTTCTCTCACTCTTGATCCAGTGTTGTGAACACTTCTTTGCTCTGCCTGGTCAGCTTCTTGCTCTCTCCTCCTCCATTCCTTCTTCCTCTCTCTGTTTTCCACTCTCCACATCTGCCTCTGTCCCCTTTAAGAATATTATAAGATCATTTTTCCTCTCGTCCATCAGGCGGCTTCACCTTCTACGAACTCATGCAACGCGGAGTGCCCCTACACCTGATTGACAAGTACATGAACGAGAAGATTGTTGAGCAAGAGAAGTAAAATGGGACAGAGCGCAATGAGACACTTTAGCTTTGCAGACATCTGCCGCCACTAGTAATCCTCTTCTCTCACTTACTGAGGTCAGCAGGCTGAAGATTGGATGGAGGGATGATAGAGGGATGGCGAGACAGGTGGAGGAGTGTGGGGGAGGGTGTACTGCTCTGTTGTGTGACATAATGTGTGCAGGTTTGGGGCTAGTTACCATAGGACAAAAAAAAAAAAGCCAGCTCACTTCTTTGTCACCCTCTTGTGTTCGAAAAGACTCTGTTTCAGCTCAGATGCATGCCGGCAGTGTTTTGGTACATGTAGAGTGTAAAACAAAAATAAAAAATCTTCAATATATAGCACATTGGCACACACTTACAGTATTTACACGTTGATTCTTGTTGGGAGTGTCTGTTGAAGGCGATAATTTATTTCCAGGGTCTGAAAGAAAGGAAAACAGAATGTATAAACAAAGGTTTGGTGTTTGTATGGTGTGACAGAACTTCTATATGGCAAGACAAATGAAAACAGACCAGAGTAATGTTGGATAAATGAATGTGTAGGTCCTTCTGAGATAATTCACAGTAATGTTTGTTCATTTCACTTGTTTTCTGTGTAGGTCATTTGTGTCTAGTAAGTGAGAAAATGTAGAGGTTTACACACAGTCCATATTCTGCATGACTCATTGTGCTTTTTGGATTCATTCTGGACTTGAAGCTTGATTGATGCTCAGTCATGTGCGCATGCCTTTACCTCTGTAATTATGACCCGTGGATTACATTAAAAAGTCATTTTGAAAATTGTTTTGTTCTGAGGACTCCTTTTGTTTGGATTATAATCATATGACAACCTGTTTAAAAAAAGCTTATTGGGGCTTTTACACAGAGACTCATTCTTAAATAAATACAAAAATACAGATTTATTATGGTGTAAGAGGTAGACCAAAACATGGGCTTCTGTTAAGAGTGTAACCTCAAGTTGTAAATGTTTCTCACATGCACAGACAAATGATTTGCATGTGAAATATATCTATCTAGATAAATATCTATCTTCATAATTTAAAGAATAAGGTTCTACATCCCACTGAGCCTCTCCATTGGATGGACACAGACAGAATACACACAGACCAATTATTTCACCATTATATTTACATGATGGGGTTTGACCATGAACATATTAGATTCTGCTCAAGGTATATACAAGGTTACTAGGCCATAAAATATTATAAGTAAATAATTATATTTTCTAGTAAAAACAAAAGCCTCAGTGAATAAAAAAATAAATCACTGAGATCACTGTAGTCACATCCTTGGTATTTCGTTGGGGTATTTTAGCTGAGTTGTTTACATAATTCAATTAAATACTTACACGTGATGGGTGTTTTGGGGTTATTCCAGTATATTTATACTAAAATTTGACTAATTTTAGGCCAGTGAATTAATAAATGAATTAAGGATTTGATTTTCATCCACTGCATCCATTGCGAGTGCAGTCTAATTCCATAGAGTATCCAGGAATGACATTTTTCTGTAGGGCAACGCAGAAGATAGCATTGTCCTGTTTTTTTTTTTTTTAATTGCAGAAAGTAAGCTCTGTGGCAAACTTACATGTTTTGTTCAGCAAGCTGATCTTCACAAATTAACACAGCTTTCATGATTTCTGGAGCCTAAATGCGATTGCCAGAAGTAAAAAGCTATTGCTAAGCTATAAACAAACTATACTACAGTCACAAAATTCAACAGCCCTACCAAAACGATGCTGTAAGTTTCATTTAGCTACTTGTTAGCAACTGCCTTTTTAAAGACACATAAAAGCTTTAAATTCACAAGAGGAGTATTTACTGATGTATTTTATGTCATATAACAAAACATAAAAGTCTCTTAAACTTGTGTTAACCACAGACCCTATTTCAGGTATCTAACTGAAAACCCATTGACTTTGAGATGAGGGAACCAGGAGTGCCAAAATGCTAACTCATTTTCAGGTTTTAGGACTCACTCCTGGGGTACTTGATTATGCTCAAGAGAAGGCAGACATCTCTACGGTGGATATTTCCAACATTCTGTAACTCAGACCAAAACAATCTAGACTGATACATACAGTAGCATATGGTAGTTAGGATGGGCCTCATTGCATGCTATTATGACAGGCCCTAGTGCCTGATCTTACGCCTAAAGTAGCAACCATATATTGTATCATCTTGTTACATGATTAAATAGATAGTTGACATTGGACAACATCAACAAACCTGTCACCCAACAATCATCGTTGCAAATTTGTATATGACACAGATACCAAATAAAATAAAAAATTATGCATTTGATTGAATATTTTTTAGTTTATCTATGTTTTTATAGTTTAAATGGAATAAACATATAATTTTGTTAAAGACTGCGACTAAAAAAGAAAGATAGAAACCCATGATGGACATGGGTTCACCTTTTCGAGGGCATATATAGCAGATGGCACCATTTTTATTTTAATGTGAGTTCTTTTTTCAACATGCATATTTCTGATGTGGCAATCTGAATCACTTGCAAGGGCAAGTGTTAGCGAGCGTCTGTCGCCCTAGTTTTTGCAGTGTGTCCTCGTTCACTTTTTATCAGCTTATTGAGCATGCTGAAATGGCGGCAGAGGCCAAATTGAAATGAGGAAAGTAAACAAATAACTATAGACAAAATAAACTTTTTATATTAGGAGAGATTATTTTTAGATTACTTTTTTATCCATTGAGCTCTCTGCCTAACACATTGTAGGACAGCCCACTCTCTCTACAGGCCCCCACCCATCACCCCTTGGGCTCCAGTGCCACCGCACTGCCTGCACTGATTATATTTACGCCCCTGAATACGTTGTAGGTAAGAGGAAAAATGTGTTTTCAATTTTGAGATGAACTGTCCCTTTAAATCCTTTTAAATGCACATAAAATATAATAAATAATATAAAATTAAGTATACTATCAAATAATATAAAAATGAATTAGTGACAGTCAAACATAAATATGTGAACATTTTAATTTAATACTTAGTGTTATGTAAATATAATGGAATTAATGTATAAACATCAGTCTCTCTTTCCGCTTACTTGCAGTCGTATTACTGTATTTTTTTACGTGACAACTGATTAATTTTGACATTTAATACATATGCATATAACGGTTTTAATAACCTCGTATTTGCCATATGTTTATATTTCAATTCAAATTCCCCGGTCCGCAGCCATATTATTCCCTTCCGGATCGACGCTTCCTGCCGAGACGCCAGTCGATCAGAAACGTACCGAGTATCGACTGCACATGGTTCCGCTGTGGAAATGGCCTCGTCTAGTCACCTAGCTATAAATGCCAAATGAGCTGCTTTATTTTGGGGGCGGCCGAGAGAAGATAGTCCCGTGTGAGCCACCACCCGGGCGTCCTTGGAAGTTTGTGACGGTAATTTGAGGAGAGACTTGGCAGAAAAACAATGCCACATTTCCTGTGGCCAGAGCCGCTGTCACCCGCACAACTGAAGCGGCTGGAGGAGCATAAATACAGCGCCTCTGGTCGGTCCCTGTTTGAGCCGCCGTGTCAGCTCTACTGGAACTGGCTCGTCCAACAAACTCCGACATGGGTCGCACCAAACACTCTCACTATCGTCGGACTGCTGGTCAATATCATCTCCACGGTGGTGCTTGTGTATTTTTGTCCCACGGCAACAGAGGAGGTGAGTAAAGCGACCTTGGCCAAAGTTTGTACCCGGGGACTAGCCCCAATTACGTGCCCTTCTCTGGTATGGGAAGAACGCGGATCCTCCATTCAGAAATCGCGTAAGTTAACGGTACGTGGCCATCTGCGCCAACCTCACACCCCTCAAAGCCACTTTACAAGATATTTCTGAGTCAGCAGAGTCTACTTGTTAATTCGGCATAGATTTGAGCCTCACAGCTACTCACATTTTAAAAACATCTCCACGTCATTGATAGGGTCACCCTGCTCTCTAACACTCTCTCTGTGTTATGGCAGAAGGTCCAGGCAATATTAAAGGAATCACTTCGGGCATTTGATATTTTATTTCAGTATACAGTGTAAGCCGAATTAAAGATTGTCACGTGATGGTCTGGGAGATTTGTTAAAATACAAGGTGTAACATTTGCATGGCCGCACACAAGCGAGGAAGCTTTAAATGTTGGGTTTTTTTCAATTGGATTAGGTGTGACATTGCTTTCCTGTGGGAAGATTCTAACGGGAGAATACTATACGTGTTCGTCATGTGGTCTCTCCCACATGTTTTTGGAAAGTTGTCAGCTTTGAGGTGTTGTGTGTTGCTGTCTGCCCAGGCTCACGTGGTGCTGTGTTGCTGATGGTAAAACAGGAATTTGAAGGAAATGTTGTTGCTCTTGTTCAGCTCACTCAGGGTAGTAACACTTAATTACAAATTAATAACAGATTTTTTTTAGATGACTAATTTGATGTGGAATTGCTCCAGATCTACCCATGAATGGATTATTGAGTGGGCCCTCCAGTCACAGGCCCAGGGGCCCAAGTGTCAGGGGTCCCCTGGCCTTTATCTGCAGACATGTACTGTTTAGGAAGAGACTCAAATGACTACAAAAAGACACAAAATGACTACAGTGAGACACAAAACCACAAAAAGATGCATAATGACTACTAAGAGACACAAAATTACTACGAAAAGACATAAAATGACTACAAAAAGACACAAACTTTACCTCAAAGAGACCTAAAATTACTACAGTGGGACACAAACCCACAAAAAGATGCACAATGACTACAAAGAGACACAAAATGACTACCAAAAGACATTAAATGACTACAAAAAGACACAAAACAATGACAAAGAGACAAAATGACTACAAAATGACATAAAATGACTACAGAGACACAAACTTTACTTCAAAGAGACAAAAGATGACTACAGTGGAACACAAAACAACCACAAAGAGCCACAAAATGACTACAAAAAGATATAAAATGACTACAAAAGACACAAAACGACCACAAAACGACTTCAAAAGACACAAACTTTACCTCATAGAGACACAAAATGACTACAGTGAGACACAAAACCACAAACAGGTGCATAATGACCACTAAAAGACACAACAACAGCAAAAAGAGACAAAACCACCACTAAGTCAGTTTCTTGCTTTTTTGTTGGAAAGATGGTGGGGTCTTTTGCATATCTGTGCCCAGGGGCCCACTGTCACTTCATCCACCCATGGTCTAATGTAGTCTCTGCTCCATATTTCAAAAACTTAGACCTAAAATACAATAAAAGGCCTTGCAACAAACCTGTGACCTATAGTCCAGTTAACGTGTGTCACCAGGTTCACTGTGGAGCAGTGACCCATGCAGGTACTTAGGTGTGTTTATCAGATTTACACCTTTGTCCACTCTCAATCTGAGAACCTTCAGCTAAGTCCACAGTCCATGCAGCATGCTGTTACTGTCAAATTCCACATGTGCAAAGGTATTCCAGTTTCCCTCACTCATTGTTTAGTGCTGCATAATGCAAACCTGGCCACTCTTCTTCATGGACTGTAAACATAGGGAGGCTCCACGCCTGTGCAAACAAACACATACTAGAGGAATTTAAACAATAATGGACACAGTTGAGCGTTCTCCCTAACCTCTGTGATAACCCTGAACAGGCAGACCCTGTCCCCACCACTCTATGAGGCATTTAGGACATGGACTTTAAAGACAACAGCGGGATCTCTGAATATTTAGGACAGCATGAGATTCTTGATCATTGTGGACACACAGACGATCTTTGTGTCCCGCTCTCACACACTCAGTCACAAGCATACACACATTGTAGTGGTAAACACACTGTGTTGGCTGGCTCCACCGTCCAGATGGTCCATAACCTCCACCCCAGTTAGAGGAACTGAGTCACACCAGTCAGCTGGAATCGCTCTTTCTCAATACCTAAAGCACACACACAGATACATGGAGTGTGTGCACATGGCAAGGCACTAAAATACATTTTGTAACAGTTGTATTACTACTCAGAAGTTGCTGTGCTTTAAGTGATGAGGTGCCTTGTAAACGGTAGCCACAAGAGCCACACAGATCCTGATCCGTCTTATTCTGTGATCCATTTCTTAAAATTACAGCCATATCTAGAGATCAGTTACAACAGCAATACAAATATTTAGATTTCAAACACCTATTAAACCCTCGACCAGCCATATTTAGATAAATAAATCATTTTAAAAACAACTAAAAATGTTAGAATACATTTAAACAAGTGAGTTAGCAAACAAACACGAATAAATAACAAAGAAAAAAAGAAAAATCTGGTTAATACAGTATAATATATTAGTGTGTATGCATAATAATGTGCTTACACTGACAGCAGGTTTATCAAAAAGGTACAGCAGGAGTGTATGATTTCAGAATCAAAAATACTTTACAGTTTTTCGCAGTTTCTCTAATATATGAACATATAAAATGATTATAAATTAAGAAGTATGCAAAAACATGAAAATGTGTGCATTATGCTCCAATATGTAACAAATATATATAAATAGAAAAACAAGAAGCTTGTACAAATATGTGCATCATAATAACGTGTGTTAAATATAAATGCAAATATTGCAGAAGTAAGAAATAAATAAGACTGTTAGGTGAAATAACGTGCACAGTTGAGTCATTGCACAATTTATTGCATATGTTTCCATTACCTCACAGTAATCCTTTATCCTCGTAGCAGGGGAAACATCGTTTCATGATCAGTTTAAATTTTGTAGCTATCAGTCTGAAAAGAAGCCACACTCAGAAAATTAATAGCATTTACTGTGTAAAGAAAAAAAAAGGGTTCAGGTTTTATTTCATATAAGTGTATTTGTTTTTTAGTGTATGTGATATACTAGGTGGAAAAAGAGACTTTTTTCCCTCTTTTATGAGATTATTTTCAATCTATAATATCTGAATTATCTGCATAAGATATCATATTGATATTCTTATGTAACAGACTGGGTGCAGCACTTATCTGACCTTTGCTTTAGGGCTGTAACTGTTATTTTAATTATTGACTAATCAGCAGGTTACTGTCTCGATTATTCATTTGGTCATAAATATCAGAAAATAGCCCTTAGATAAAATGGTATGAAGATTTATACTATGACTATAGTGACCAAAGTCTGCGGCACCCTCCACTTTTTGTTTGCATAAACATTAAAGGTCCAATGTGTAGGATTTGGTAGGATATATATTGGCAGAAATGGAATTTGAGATAATATGTTTTCTTTAGTGTGTAATCACCTGAAAATAAGAATTGTTGTGTTTTCATTACCTTAGAGTGAGCCGTTTCTATCTTCATAGGGAGCGGGTCCTCTACTACAGAGTCAGCCATGTTGTTTCTACAGTAGCCCAGAACAGACAAACCTACACTGGCTCTAGACAGGGCCATTTGTTGTTGTTGTTTTTTTTTTTGTGTCGACCACCGTAGTTAGCAGCCCTCAGCAATGAGCAATGTCATGTTTTTACTGGTTTAAATCATCTGGTCGTTTTTGTTTGTTTGTTTATTTGTTTTTGGAGCGGAAGTGACCTCTGTGAATAATTGGACTCCCATGAAAAACCTCCTGAACAGTAAACACTGAAGGAATTCTAACCTAGAGAAGTTTTAGCTGGTTACAGTCTGCAGTCGTCAACATAGATGCCACTAAATCCCCCAAAGTCTTACACTGGACCTTTAAAATAATAACATGGCCAACACCTTTATGTAAACGCATATAAATCTTATCAAATATACATTTACATTAAAGGTAGCCCGTCTTTGACATGCTTGCTCAACTGTCAGTATCACTGTAGATAGAACGAGAGCAGTAGCATCGCTGGGTTTGCCTCCTCCACACCCACTCTGCAAACAAGGGAACAGCAAAACAAACCCATGTTGCAGGCTGCAGCTGTGTGTCTGTGTGTGACTGCAGCTAACTAACTAACTAGTTGCACATATACTACATAAAGTAATAATTGATGAAAGAGGTTATTTTGCTGTGTTCACTGTGTGCACCGCGATGTTGCTTTGACGTCAGGTTTGTTTATGTTGGCAAACAGGCTTTGTGGACCATTCCATTGCACTTCACTGTGTCGGAGGTAGTTTTTTTCCGAGTTCTGAGTACAATAGATTGCAGATAAAAGTCCCTCTCCCTCCTCCACCTCCAGGCTCCAGCATGGGCCTTCATCATGAGCGCTCTGGGCCTGTTCATCTACCAGTCTCTGGACGCCATTGATGGGAAGCAGGCCAGGAGGACAAACAGCAGCTCACCTCTGGGGGAGCTCTTCGACCACGGCTGCGATGCAGTCTCCACAGGTAGCTGCCTCACTGGACAGCTGAACCCAAACTACAGAATATTAAGAGTGGCTGCAGAGCTTTAGTGAATCAGGGAGAGATTTTTATCGTCTGTTGTTTTGTCTTCCTTGTGTCAGTCTTTGTTGCCGTGGGAACATGCATTTCATGTGGAATAGGAAGATATCCAGACTGGATGTTCTTCTGTGGTTTCATCGGGATGTTCATGTTCTTCTGCGCCCACTGGCAGACCTATGTGTCCGGGACCCTGCGCTTTGGCCTGTAAGTCACACATTCATCTTGTCCAGTAAGAATATAGATGCTGCTCTGTGCCTGTACAACTGTGAAACCATTATATTGTCACTTAAATTAATGATCTCGCTCTCCCTCTGTCACTAACTTTGCAGGATCGACGTCACAGAGGTGCAGATCGCCATCATAATCATGTATTTGATGTCAGCTTTCGGAGGCGTAAGCCTTTGGCAAACCACGGTAACTGAGAATGACAGATTTTGTACAGTCACATGTACAGATGCTCAAATACTGTACACACACAGGAACACTTTCATTTCACCTTGTAGTAGTCAAAGATTTTCCTCCGTTAGTTTTCACACCAAACTAATTCTGATCATTTCCTAGTTTTTAGTCGTCATTCTAGTCTTTAAATAGAATTTGTGTTTTACTTTTACTCCGTGCTGCCTTTGGAGGCTTGACTTAACATCACATGAGAGAAGTGAGAAGGTAAATATGGCTAGCTAACGCCATGGCAACAGGTCATCTATTGGACATGATCTGGCTCAAAAAGCTGATGATGTCACCTGCATTTTTTTTTTTCTTTTTGCTTTGCCCTCTCATCACGCTCGGCATGCCTGCAGCTTCCATATTAGCACTTTACTTCCTGCTAGAAGGAGAACACGTTGTGTCTAAGCATTAATTTTGGCTGCGTGTGTTTCCATAGTTGCCTGTCATTGGACTGAAGCTATACTACTTCCCCATCATGGGCATCATCGGCGGGGCTCTCTACTCCTGCTACAACTACTTCTATGTCATTTTGAACGGAGGTGTCGGCAAAAACGGCTCCACTGTGGCTGTAAGTCCACAAACACATCTACTCCTCACACAAAGTCTGATCCAAGTCAGAAGCTATATTGTGATGCATGCTTAATAACTGTCCCTCTGTACAGGACACCAGTGTGCTGACTCCTGGTTTGCACATCGGCCTCATCCTCACGCTGGCCTTCATCATTTTCAAGAAGTCGTCCAGCGAGCTGTTCGAGCTCCACCCCTGTCTCTACCTGCTCGCCTTTGGCATGGTCATCTCCAAGATCTCCAACAAGCTGGTGGTACGTTTCATTTTGTCTTTAAGTTGTAATCCAAACTGTTTCAGCCCTGGTTGATGTGGCAACACCTATGGTTACCATGATGACAGCAAGCAAGGTTTAGTACAACAGTTAACACTTAATGAGCAGCTACTTTGTGGTATGCGTGTTTCTAGTGCAGCCAAACAAACTTGCATTGTTTAAATGTTGTTCCCAGCCAAGACAACATCATGACGGCTGGTGTTGCTTTCACCTTGTGTGTCATCATGCCAAAATGTGGTCCTAGTGACACCAAATTGTAGCAGGAACTACCTCAGAACACATTTTGAGTACTTTGGCTAGTGTTTAAACTTTACAGGTGTGTAATTGGGAACAAAATGATGGACAACTTTCAAGACATGGGTGGTGCGATCAAGGGGGACGGAAGTAGGAGGGTAGCAATTAGGGAAAGAGGCCATTGCCCCCCAACACATACATTCATGCCCCTGGCCAAGGTTTGCTTTAGGACATGGATCACGGTGTCGGGGATGGAGAGATCTCCTCGCAAGATGGTCTCTAGTTTATGTTGTGGATGCACTAACCTCTATGATAAATACACTGCGACTCCTGTGATGGCTTCACAATAAAAACCACCCAGTGTTTGGTCAGTTGAACATCTTTAATGTGAAGCAGCAGCTGATTCAGTTGTAGGACAGTAACAGTAAACGGTGAGTCTGGTGTAAATGACGTACTAGAGCTGGATACTGTCTGTCGATTGAGTCTGTGGTGGCCAGTGCTGTCCTGTTTACTGCTGTGTGCCGGGGCAGCAGGTTGAGGTTATCAGAGGCCAACAGACTCAATAAACTGATTAGCAAGGCCAGTGATGTCATGGGGGCGGAGCTGGACTCTGTGGAGGCAAGATATGTGCCATTTTGGACAATGTATCCCACCACCAACACAGGAGCACATTTAGTATAAGACTCATTCCCCAAGATGCACCACAGAGTGCAACAGGAAGTCATTCCCGCCTGTGGCTTTCAACCTGTATGACTCCTCCCTCAGATCGTCAGCCGCCCTGAGTCAATAGACTGTCATCAGGACTTCATTAACCTTCTGCATTTATAATTGATTATCTACTGGGTGCAGTTATTCAGCTGTCTATTCTTGTTTTATTCTGTTGATGTATATAATGTAGTTACATTTTCACACTAACAGCCTCGGCACAGTGACAATATATATTTTGTTTTTAATATTTTTAACATCTTAAGTACTAGTGTTAAACACTGTAGTATAATGCACATTTTATTTTATTTTTAATGTGCATTTTCATGTTTTTTTATTTAATTTCATTGCTTTATATTAACAAACTTCTATGTTATACACATAGTCTTACTTCTTATAATTCTCTATTCTTTACATCAGAGCAACCGTATCGAATCACAGTTTCTCCTCAGGCATCAATAAAGTATTTCTGATTCAAATTCTGATCTAGCGGTCCACAATGTGGGCCAGAGGCATGAAGTGAGGGGGCTAATGGCTCTTCCCGACTTCCTAAACTCCCTACTTCCTGCCTCCTTGCTCAGACCATACTCATTTTCAAATTCAGCCTTCACTGTGGTCTCAAGTACACACCTGTGAAGTTGCCTGATTGCGTCTTGCACGGTTGCGACAGACAGACAGACATATAAAGTACTCAAAACTGCTTCTGTGGTGTTTCCACTATACCAGGTGTCTCCAGGACTACATGCTGATGATTTACACACACACACACACACACACACACACACACACACACTAACTACCAGCCAAAGTAGTGTTGAAAATTAAAAACTGTGACGTTGGAGTACATGCTGCAGTGTTCCCTCTAAGTCCCTCCTGTATGTGAAGGCAAATTGAATTCAGCGCGGAAATGGCGGACTCCGCCACTCCACCACATTCATCATGCCTTCCTCTCATGTGTCCCTGTTTCACTGTAGATTGCACACATGACCAAGAGTGAGCTGCACCTCCCGGACACGGCCTTCATAGGCCCTGGCCTCCTCTTCCTCAACCAGTACTTCAACAGCTTCATCCACGAGCACATAGTCCTCTGGATTGCCATGGTAGGTGTCTGACACATTTGTATTATTAACAGTTTTTTAAAGGGGTAAAGATTTAATATCACAGTATAACATCCTCAACTACTAATCACCATGCACAAGTACCAAATACAAGCATCTAACTGATCCACTGTTTGACTATTGGTGATGTATGATCAATCACTTTTAATTATTGTCAGTAAAAAGTTTGGTGTTTTTGAGAGATTGTTCTGTTCACTTTAGGCTTAAAATGATGAAAACAAAGGTCTGATTTGTATTCAGAGATTCCCAACATGTGCACATTTTTAAACCTTATATTTGACGGTGTGAAATGGTTTTCTCTCACAGTGGCAGTCTGGGCACTGTGGTGTTATATAAACTGTGTATTCAGTCTTCATGAGGCTGCACCCACGACTCAACATACAGACAGGAGCAAACGTGTTAGTAGAACTGTTGCAGAGAAATATATCGTGCAACCAGTAAAAAGACTACCAGCCGTTTCATAATAAATGCCTTCTATTGTTCTTCAGCACACCTGCTTCTATTGAGAGCAAAACGTTTTCATGACAGTGTGATTGAGCCAGTTGTAGTAAAAACACGCAAGACAGGTTATGACTGACAAGAAGAGCACATAAAGTCTATGTACATGTAAGCACAGTGTGGTTCTCAGTCCTGTGTGTGGGACTTTCACTTTAGCTAATCAGGGACTCAGGTGTTGGTCGAAGTTCAGTGCCAAGTTCCTTTAGACTAATGGGATGACTCGACATAAACCTTCCTTTGACATCTGTGGCGCATGTTCTTCTGCCCAGCCTTGATATGAGAGCTTGATTGTGGGTCTTCCTACAACTTTACACTTTACCTGGCTGCAGTGACAACATCCAGGTATTTTCACACAGTCAAAATGCAGGTTGAATGCGTGGTCATAATCCTGGGTGATCTGCAGGGTTCATGTGTGAACAAAGAACTTGTTGGGACAGAAAACACGCAGTTCTCAGGCTCAGGAGGAGCTGAAATGAGGTTCTGTCGCAGCCCTATAGGGCCGTGCACACCCACACAGGTGTTTCCAGTTATTCTGGCTGATTAGACCTCTGCTTAACAAAACATCAGCGTGTCTCTGAATGATTAAAGTGTAAGATGAGGGACATCAAACATTTCGACAAGTCACAGCAGGAAAACCACAGATGTCACTAATGACATTAATTACACCTGGTGTGGTGCATGCACTCACTGGGACACTTTAATGGAACAGAGCCATTGTTAATACAGTAAAATACACCTGTGCTTCTCCTGCTGTGACTTGTCAAAATAGGCTCATTTGAGATGAACGATAGCCACACAAGAGTAAACTTTCATTGCACAAATTGAGACTAATAACCGACAATGTTGAATACACTAACCGATAGTGTTGAATATTACAATTACACAGACAATTAGGATTTTTCCATAATGCCCTCGGTCTTGCAGTTGGTGGAGAGCAACTGCTCACCTGGCTCTTAAAGCTGCAGCCACCTTAATCTCATGAGGTTATCATTGCCCTAGTCTGAGTGGGTGGAAGTTCGCTGCAAAGATCAGCCTCTCATTGGGTGGAACGAGCCACCCGCTGAAGTCCCGCCCTACCACCTCCGGTTGCAGTTTTCAACATGTCCTTTACTAACTTTTGAGGTGTTTGATCTTGCGGGGATGTAGCCATTTTTCTGCCATGGTTCGTGTCCTGTAGGCGACATTTTTGTGGGCGTGTTACACCAAAACCTGTTTCCCCCCGGCAATATTTTTGCAAGCGCACCGTTGCTGTGGCACCGCCAAGAATGATTGTGATTGGTTGAAAGAAATACAAGCAGCCGGGGCGTTTTTTTCTCCAATCTTAAAGTGAGAGTCGGCCCAGCCAGACCTTTCTTTTCTTGAGAAAGGTCTGGTGAGCGAGACTATCATTGCCCACATGTGCATGACGTCAGAGCAAGTTGGGATCAAGTCAGACTTACTCTAACAGGCATCTCAAATGAGCCTACTATCTGCTCATGAAGGTTTAAACTGAGGGAGAGCAATCAAGTCTGGCCTGTTCACACCCACACCCTCCTGAGGAAAGGTGTATTGGGGAAACAAGTTAAAACACCTGTGTGGGTGGACCATGGATAGTGGGCCTTTTTTATGTGGGGATATCAAAATAAAACAACCCCTCACTTCCCAGTGGTGGATGCAGTACTGAAAAGCAATACTCAAGTAGAAGTAAAAAAGTACCTGGTTAATGAATTACTCAAAGTACTACTTACAATGGTTAGTGGGGAGTTAACACGCTCTCCCTGTGTCAGCATGGGTTTTCTCCAGGTACTCCAGCTTCCTCCCACAGTCCAAAGACATGCAGGTTAATTGGTGACTCTAAATTGTCCGCAGGTGTGAATGTGAGTGTGAATGGTTGTCTGTCTCTATGTGTCAGCCCTGCGATAGTCTGGTGACCTGTCCAGGGTGTACCCTGCCTCTCGCCCAGTGTCAGCTGGGATAGGCTCCAGCACCTAAGTCGACTGTAATGATGTAGTCCCAACTCTCACCTATGGTCATGAGCTCTGGGTAGTGATCGAAGGAACAAGATTGCGGATACAAGCAGCTGATATAAGTTTCCTCAGAAAGGTGGTTGGGCTCAGCCTTAGAGATAGGGTAAGGAGCTCAGACATCCGGAGGGAGCTCGGAGTAGCGCCGCTGCTCCTTCACGTCGAAAGGGGTCAGTTGAGGTGGTTTGGGCATCTGATCAGGATGCCTCCTGCTGGAGGTGGTTTGGGCATCTGATCAGGATGCCTCCTGCTGGAGGTGTTTTGGGCATGTCCCACTGGTAGGAGGCCCCGGGGCAGACCCAGAACACACAGGAGGGTTTACATATCTCATCTGGCTTGGGAACATCTTGGGTTCTCCCAGGAGGAGCTGGAAGACATCGCTGTGGAGAGAGACGTCTGGGGTGCTTTGCTCGGCCTGCTGCCCCCCGATCTGGCTTCAGATAAGCAGGTAATGCAGTTGTAGTGAAGTATATTTATTTTTTATCCTCTCCATCTCTCTTCAGGTCTTCTCTCTTCTGGATCTAACACGCTACTGCACGGGCGTGTGCCTCCAGATCGCCTCCCACCTGCGCATCCGGGTCTTCAGCATCACGCCGCCGAGCAACGCTCACCGCGACTGACGGCTTGCCCGGCGGGAGGAGGAGGGGGAGGATGCAGACCTCTCCCCGCTCCTGAAAGCAGATGATGACGAGGAGGAGGGACACTCCTCCTCGACCCTGAGCCACTGCAGCCTTGACAAAGTGACCACCTCTGAGTAAAAACTGCCTCTCCCACAAGACGGAAAAATAAAACCTACTAAACTCTACAAACCAAAAAAAAGAAAGAAAAAGTTTTGAAAAGCATGGAATGGAAGATTATACGGGACTAAAGTTTCCCTTCAAAGTTTTTAATTTAGACGAAAGTGCATGTCAGAAAAGAAGAGTTCCTGCTTGTTCAACTCAAATACCAAAATGTTTCTCTAACCTTTGCTTGGGCAAATATCAAAGTAGTTTTATCGGTTTTAAATTTTCAGACATGTTATTGTCATACATTTCATAAATATACAGCGAATATCGAGATAAATCTCTTTGATGTATGCTCAAACTAAACGGACTAACTCTTGGAAGTTTTCTTAATCATTTGTTTTATTTATTAAAAAAATCTGACTTAAATCAGGGCTTAAAAATGCAGATAATTTTTTTTTAAATGACCTTTAAAACCTCATAATTTCCAATGAAGTTTGCAATGTGGGCTGGCAGGTTGTCAACGCGGTATGTGGCGGGGTAACGGTGTGTGTGTTAGTGCCGAAAGCAACGACGGGTTCTCTATCAGCCTTCTCTTAGAAACACCTTTACATTAATATTTGTATCCTCAGTTACTCATCTCATCCTACATTCCTGGAAATAAAATAACACGTTACCTCCGGCCTTTTAGAGCACCGTCGACTGATGAAGCATTAACACACAACTCGTTCTGCTTTCTCTGTTCTTCTCCCTAAAGGGCTAATTATGTTGTGATTGTACAGAATTCAAATGAAAACGCCTTAAATATTTTTGTTGTAATTACTGTTAAACTTGTGAATATTTAAAACAGCTTTGTACGTTTGTTTTTTTTCACTGAAGTATCATACCAGATGCAATGACAGTAATAATACAGTGCTACGCCACTGTTCACTCTTCAAGTTTCTTCACTCATACAAAGGTACATGATGTATGTTCAAGATTTGTTGGATTATCTGACTCATTATTCAGGTTCATAGGGATCAAAGGGGATGTTTCTGTAGTGCGGGTAAACTATATAAGGGTAAAAAACTATTGTACTTTTAAAATTATCTTCCTCTCAGTTTCTGCTCCGGCAGGATTGTGGACACTAAAAAGAGGGGCATGTTCTAAAAAGATGGTTTTCTGTTCGACTTTGGAACTATGCATTGACATGTTCACCCTTTGATTTCAACACCATGTTGCACTGTTCAATAATACAGTAAAACACATTTCTACTAACAGGTACTGTATGAGTGGAAAAGATTGTAATAAAGAAAATATTTTTTATGATTTGTTGTTACTGTCGGCGGTGAAAGACGCACTCGCATCCTAATGTCAACTAATAATGTCAAAGTCCCAATGAGACATGTTGACTTGTCACAGGAGGGAAAGCACAGGTGTGAATCATGAAATTAATGATGGCTGGATTCCATTTAGCTGCTCTGATTTCAGGTTCTTGTTAATGTGCATGCTGACTCGCTGTCACTCAAACTGGAACTCTAGTTGTGAAGCACACACACAGTTTTAGGCGTGACAAAAACTACAAAAGAAAACAGGAAGTTATTAGTTTAACTTGATAGTCTTTTTTTTTTTATAGGGGCGTCGGTGGCTTATTGGATAGAGCAGGCGCCCCATGTACAAGGCTGTTGCCGCAGTGGCCCGGGTTTGACTCCAGCCTGTGGCCCTTTGCTGCATGTCATTCCTCCTCTCTCTCTCTCTCTCTCTCTCTCTCTCTCTCTCTCTCCCCTTTCACACTTGACTTTCCTATCAATTAAAGGCAAAACTGCCCAAAAAAAAATAGAACAGAAAAGAAAGCCATGATGGAGATGGGTTTGCCTTTTTGTGGGCATATATAGAAATCACACCTTTTTTGTTCGACAGCAGTTTACAAAGCATAACTTTTTTTTTTCACAATTAAAGAACTTTGTAGAACATTTGGGGAGAAATTAAGTGTACATATAAGCATGATATGTTTGGGAGACTTGAGGAGGGATTAAAGAGAGAAAAAAAATAGAATAGCAGTCAGTGAGGTTTGTTTGACTAAACATCATAGGGTCTTTCTCAAGTCGTAGGGGTTTTTCGTATTTCATCCACTTCGCCCAGAATTTAATGAACACATTTTTCTGAAGATGAAGAGAAAAAGTAATCTTTTCCATAAAGAAATTGCACCATTTTTAATTTAACATGAGTTCTTCTGTAAACACGGGCTTATTTCCAGGTGGCAATCAGGCCCCTCCATCCCACAGCTCTCAGCTCAACTGCACTACCTGCACTCTCTATATTTACATCCCTGGAGCCATAATTAGTGTTATTACTAACACCCGTGCATGTCCTACTCTGACAAGTCAAAATGTCTGCTGTGAAAAAGGCCTATACCACTATGTAAAAATACTCTATTACAAGTTAAATTCCATCACTCAAACTTATACTTAAGTTAAAGAACAGAGGTATCAGCTAAACATACTTAAAGGGACAGTTCACCCCACAATCAAAAATACACATTTTTACTCTTACCGGTAGTGCTATTTATCATTTTAAATTGTTTTGGTGTGAGTTGTGAAGTGCTGGAGATATCTGCCGTAGAGATGTCTGCCTTCTCTCTAATATAATGGAACTAGATGGCACTCGGCTTGTGGTGCTCAAAGTGCCAAAAAATACATTTGAAAACTCAGTAGCAATGTCTCTTTCCAGAAATCATGACCCAGACACTCCACAGACCTTGCATCCATCCCACCTAACAGGTGTGGCATATCTCATGCAGTCAGCATGCCAATTGCATGCTCCCTCAAAACTTGCAACATCTGTGGCATTGTGCTGTGTGATAAAACTGAACATTTCAGAGTGGCCTTTTATTGTGGCCAGCCTAAGGCACACCTGTGCAATATTCATGCTGTCTAATCAGCATCTTGTTATGCCACACTTGTGAGGTGGGATGGATTATCTCGGCAAAGGAGAAGTGCTCACTAACACAGATTTAGACAGATTTCTGAACAATATTTGAGGGAATGGTCTTTTGTGTGTATAGAAAATGTTTTAGATCTTTGAGTTCAGCTCATGAAAAATGGGAGCAAAAACAAAAGTGTTGCGTTTATATTTTTGTTCAGTGTATGTACTTCAGTACAGTAGTTGAGTAAATGTACTGAGCTGTGTTCACACGACATAAACAGCGAGTTGACTGAACCAAACCACATTTTATTTCAGTCAGAGGAGCCACTAAACTGATGCAATCTGAGGAAATCCCATTTTACAGATATGTGACTCATCGCCCCGCCTACTGACATCATAACACACATCATATGACTTTTTGGCAGCAGTAAAATGCTGACAACATCAAGTAGTCAATTCCATTTTTTTATTATAATAAAGAACTTTGTAAAACTGACATTCTGAGGGAAAAGTTGTCGAGCACTGTCTGAGGCTTTGTTAACATTCTGCGGCGTTCGAACCAGATGCATCAGTCACTGGGCTCACTGTCACAACAAGACAATCAAAATAAGTTACAGAACATGCTGAGGGGTCTGAATTTCAGACAGTAGCGAGCCTGTCGAGTCCCACGGGGACACACATACAGGTGGCTATGAAAGCTGTAGTATCACTTACATGTAGCTCCGGCAATACACTTGTACCACATTAAGAATCATATTATCCCATGTCCCATCCATTCCTGATTAGAGTGTGATGTGGCCCACATTTATAAGAAGACAAGTTAAAAAAAAAAAAAAAACAACAAGAGGAGATAAACACAAATGTTCAAACAAGAAGGAATGAACAACGAAGGCACTTCAAGTTTTCATGTTTTTAGGGACAACACAGATATGACAGCCGACACTTAAAGCTGGGGAGGGCAGTTTGCTATCATTTTGATGAACCAAATTTACTGGCATGGAAGCTAAAGAATATACTGCTGTGGACGGGGCTGCTGTACAACATATTTTAGCCACCTGAAAAATCAGTATCAGTTTCAATGTATACTTTTTTGGAATACTTTCACCTCTTTACCTCACACAATAGCGGATAGAGGCAGTGGTAGACCAGCAACTCTTTCGTACTATGACGTATCGACTTCAGTTACCTGTTGGAAAGGGCTGCTGACGGCAAGGTAAAGCCATGAAAGTATTCTAAATATAGTGTACACTTAAACTGATACCGACTTTTTTTTTAAGGAGGCTTAAAACTAATTAATTGAAGCAGCGGTTTGATTGAGCACTGTTTGATGTTATGTACGTGACACCAGGTTTTTCTACCCAGACGTTACTGGAAATAAATACTGTTATTCGGTCTGTAACTGCCTACACTGCAAAGCAACCCAAAAGGAAGATGGCCTTATCTAAAGAGAGTCTGACGATAAAGAGAATTGAACATGTTACTATCGGCAAAGCCTTGCTAATAATTAAGCCTTTTTCTAACTGCAGCCAAAGGCTTATGGCTGCAGCAGCTTATATTAGCGAAAGACTCAAATCACAGACCACCTTGCCAGGAGGAGAGCGAGCAGCGGCTCCTGAATAAGACCCCTAGTCAGCAGTCGCAGCAAGCTCCAGTTCTGGGGGACTGGAGAGCCTCAACTCCCTGCCAGATCAGGAAACTTTCTGTTGCTGCTGTTACAAAGGTTAGACCTGGTGCTGGGGGCGCTCAGCACTAGGGGATTTGGCTGGCCAAATTCAAACCACGACAGCCGCCACCAAAAGTCCCTCCCTGAAGCTGCTGGCTCTCCTCCAGGTTGAGTAGTCCACAGCCTCAGTGAGCATGGCAGAGAGACCGTGGAGTGGCTAGCTAGGTAGTTTTTGTCTCATTTGTAGTTTGATAACAAGAGGGTGTGTGCAACTCTGGTCAGTAGTGTGGGAAACACTGGGTTACTGTATGAAGCATGTGCATATGCTCATGGTTGTCTGATGGGAGGGGCTTAGGACGGAGAGGGAGCAGCTGCAGGAGGAGGGTGATTTTTTAATTCTGCAGATTTTTTTTCTGCCTTCCCCAGCTTTAAATTAACTCTTTTATTCTTCCCATTTGTTCTTCTTCCTTCATTTTATTTAAAATGAAGACATTACACTAAAAGCCAAACAAAACCAGGGCTCCAAGTACCGACTCTTTTCGTCTAATGACTATTCCGTCAATAAAACTGTGGAAAAATGCCCATCACAATTTCCCAGCATCCCAGAACACATCTTAAAATGTATTTTTTAGTTTGACCAACAGTCCACATCCCAAAGATAATCAATCCACAATAATATAAAACAGAAAAAAAGACTCACATTTTTCCTTCAAAAGTAACTCAAATGATTAATAGATTATCAAAACAGTTACAGATCGATTAATCCGCTAATCGTTTGAGCTCTAAACAAAACAGTTTGCGGATTTCATAGTAAAACTTGCTTGCTGCACACACACATGCACACGACGAGTCCTGACCTGCTGCTGTCAAATGTTTCACACGTTAACAGCACATGAATCAATGACACGGTGAAGGCAGGATAGGAGGAGGGTGGTGCAGTGTGGAGGGAGTGTTTGTTTGTGTTTCTGTAAGTGAGTGTGTTGTACAAACGTCTGAGACGCCCCTGGTGAAGGAACAGAAGAATTACAGGGTTCTTCTTTCTGGCTGCCATTCCTTACACTGGCCAGCCCCATCCATCATCTTCTGGAAAATGTTTCATCACCATCTCACATTAGTCTCTGTCCTCCGTCCGTGCTGATACAACACAAGCACCGAGGACTTCAGATTCCTGTTTCCACCCAGTTCCCCCACTCCGAATCCTCTTGACTGAGCAGGAGAGAAAAGGTGGAGGTTGTTGAAGTGCAGACAGGAGAGGAGAGGGAAGTCTTCCATTCTTTCACACCCGCTCAGGGTTGATGTCTCTGTTCACTCTGCGTCTGGGGAACAGCTTTCGCTTCAGCAGAATCAGCTGCAGGAAGAGGGAAGAGGAGGAAATGGCACTATTAGTGAGAGGATGTGTGTCAAATAAAAGGGTGGAGATGTTTACACTTCACACTACAGATCACCACTTAGCTTACTCGCTTCCTGGCAGAGAGGTAGATGAGAGGATCAATACTACTCTCCAGTGGTGGAAAAAGTACTCAGACCTTCTACTTAAAGGTCCAGTGTGTTGAATGTAAGGGGAGTAAATTCTAGTCGACTAGAAACGGCATTAGTTGGCAAGATTTCATTGGTTGCTTCGTCATGAAACTCTATTAGAATGTGTGCCTTGTCAAAATAAATCAAAACCTATATGTCTGGACCATGTGGGAATTTAATTTGAAAGGACAGACACAGGAAGTGTCCACGCTCAGCAGTCAGACAGGAGTCAGGTTAATTTCCAGGGATGGTACCTGTGGTTATTCCACAGGCTAGTTAATAACATGTCGGGCAGGAAATCCAAAGTGTGGGATCATTTTGAGAAGGTGAAGGACGAACCCAAGGTGATATGTAAACTCACCTTCATTGGTCGACTACAAACATGATGTATCATCTGAAACATGGAAGTAGCTACATGCCCATTAGCCCACAGCGTCATTAACAGGCGGCTCGCTCAGTGTGTGACGTGCACTTGTAGATAAAATATAGGCCTATATTAATGAAGGTTCATTAGTACGGTTTTGTATTTCTCTGTAATGTAGCACAGTGTTAACACCTTCAACTCAAACCATTGTGTTGCCCCGCCCAAAATATATCATTTAATAATCATTAACATCATAAACATGCAGGCGACTAGTCGACTAATGGCCCTAAATTACAACTATTGGTCGACTAGGAAAATTCTTAGTAGAGGGCAGCGCTACACCTTTGGCTGCGTGGCAACTGCTCAGCTGCTTCAGGCAGCCTTCAGACAGATCCAGGGTTGCTGTTTCCCCCCGTCTCCAGTACTTATGCTAAGCTAACTGGCTGCTGGCTGTAGCTTTGTATTTAACACGCAGCTATAAGTGGTATTGATGTTCTCAAATAAGCAAATTTACCAAAAATGCTGGACTATTCCTTTCATATAGGACTTGGTATCGCAAGAGGACTTTGACACCATATTTCCCTCAGACCTTTCGTAACCCAAGAAAGCAAAGATAATCTTAGAAGTGGGGCAGCAGGGCAAACTCTCGTCCCTATGGAGAGAAGTCACTTTTGATCTCTCTAATCTAAACAGTACAAAGCTGACTCTGATTTCTCCATCTTAATAACGTGGGACAGCTAGGCTCATTCGGTGCCAAAAAGACATCAAAAGTCTGTTTGTGTCTGGTGACAGAGACACTGGACAAGTCTGACACATTCCTAAATGGGAGCACTGGTCCCACAGGCTGCTGTGGGGGAAAATTCTCCTAAGGTCACTGCAACTATTAACCTTTCTTGAGGTTCGCTGAGGAGAAACTGGAAACCTTCGGATTAGGGAAGCGCCTGGAAACAGCTCAATGTCAAACCTGAGTCGCGTACTATTTGTTAAACATTTCCTGGCATTTGATTTAATCTCTTTTGAGTACCATACTGGAAGAACGTGATAGAAAACTGGTCCAAGAACGTTATCCTGATCTTAAAATTCTTCACTATAATGCTCCTTGGTCGTCCCTCCAGCTAGAAATCCTACTTGTCTGGCAACAAAGAAGGTTAAAGTAAATACAAGTACAAAGACAGACAAGTGTCGCGTTTCACAGAGGACTGCTGGGCGTCTTTCATTTCTGTAAAGTCAGGTCCTTGGCTCAGCCGCTCATACTCCCGCGACACATGAGACGGATGCACCTTTGAGTGGAACTTGGGAAGCGAAGGCCTGAGTCATAGCTCAAGTGTGAATCATGGAAACAGAGAGGTGTGTGGGCGCATGTCCTGTGTGCCTTTATCTGAATGTGTCAAAAAACTGCGTGTGGTCCGAGGTGGGACATGCTGACCTGTTCGGCAAAGAAGGACATGATGGTGAAGATGACGAGCGTCACGAGGACACAGTGCGTCCAGAACTTCAGCTTGTCCCGATACACCCGCCTGGAAAAAAAAAATCACATTTCACTTAGGTTCAAATTAAACAAAAACATCCAACTACAGTACAGGTGCACAGGTCTCACTGGAGGCTAGTTGCGCTGTGATGTAACAAGAAGGAAACATACAGTATGCAGAGGGCAGCAGGGCAACAGGGTGACAAGGTGACATCACCCAACGGCATCTGCCTATCACTTTAAGAGCACGAAGACGGGAGGGGAGGTGACGGGAGGAGACGGGAGGCTCAGCTGTGTGATGATCTTACAGTATCTTACAGCCAGCGATTGATCTGAAGCGGCTCAGTCTAATTTTAAAGCCTCTATGTGAGGACGGCATTCTCCAGCCGAAGCCCCCCCGAGTACAGGAGCAGGATCCCTGACAAAAAACCCCTAAAGCCCCGGAGGGATTCCCACTGCTCCAACCTGGCAACGCTCGGTCACATGTGGTGATCACCACAAAGTCTTGACTTAAGCTGTTTGTGATGAGAAAAGCTTGATACATTACTGACTCACGTGCAACAAAGACTCTGATGTGTGTGCTTTTTAACCATCAATAATCGCCTGTGATTGATTTATTAAACGACTACACAAACACTTCTCAAGCAGATTAGTCTGCCAAAGATCACTGAAGGTCACCTTGGTCTCAGGGAACTTGTGACTGTTTTCTGCAATTTATTGACTGTCACTTGATTCATCAAAACATGACACACAGATAGTAAAAGCAAGACTTGTGCTGTGTCTTAAGTCGGATACCTCTGTACTTATACACCCTAAATGGTCGCCATGTAGCCTACAAAGTGCAATGTCGGCCAACTATCATGATGAACACCAAAGCATTGTTCAAATATGTGTATTTTTTACTACCACTATATTGTTTTTTTTTTGGATATAAGTCATCAGTTTGTTTATTGGGTTACTTCTGTAATAATTCATGGTCAACGTGTCAAGTTTGTAAAAAAACACACTTTATTTTGAAGTACAGTGAATTTCCAGCACAGAGCTTTTATTTTGAAGTGCTGTTTCCTGCTGTAGAGTAAGTGACTAACGGACAGCTACTTGACAGAGACAGCAAACTAGCTCAATGACATGGCCAAACGCAAGTATGACGCTGACTATATAAACTGTGTGGACCTTGAACTGATGACAAAAGAGAAATCTGGGCCCTGTGGATGGACCAGTTGGGAACCACTGGCCAAGGCTACAGGATCTATGGGTGTAATTACATTTGGTGTTAATGCATGTTAAACTCTCATCTCCACTGTAGAAGTTTCAAGCATTAGATTTGTGGTAAGAAGCTTTAGAAGCTACCAACGTACTACATAAGTATGCTAACAGAGGTATCCGATTTGAGAGACAGCAGTATGTCACTTTAGTAACGTCCCAGCGTGCTAATGTTTGCCTACTAGCACTAAACACAAGGTAAAGCTGAGGCTCATGGGAATATAATTAGCTCTGCAGGTTTGATGATAGAGCAAAGTAGTGGACAAATTACAATTTGACCCCATGATAGCGCTGAATGATCAGTCTATTAATCCACATCCCTACTCAAAACCACAAATATCTAAAGCTATTTTTTTTTTTTTTTTTTTTCTCTACTTGTCTGCATTGGTCTTCATAGCTTAGCGCCACTAAAGGGTGTAAGCTTCTTGTGAAGATTGATGCACTGTTAATCTTGCAGTCAAGTATTTTATACCCATAATGCGTGGTTGTGACCGTCACCCACCCTCCCTGGAGACTAGCCTAACAGCCTTTATTGGAAAAAACTTCCTAATATGAGCCAGAGAGGGCCGTGATACACCAAAGTGTGTCAAGGGGAAAGTAAGGAAACAAGCAAGGGGAGGGGGCAGGTGCTTAAGTCCTGAGTTATATAGCGACAGTGCATGCGGAGAAGGAGGAGGAAAAACAAACAAATAAACAAACAAACGAAAAAAAAAACAGGGGAGAAACAGGCAGTGTAGCTGATGTATTGTGGCCTTGAGGTGGTTGTGCTCCATGCAGATTATCAAAAATAAACATATACATGTCTACTATACTGTACTGAAAAACAAAAACAAAAGAGAAGTCTATACTGAACACCAAAAATGTGAGAGTCTTGGTGGAGGGGGAAAGCCCGATTGCAGAGAAGAGTTGCCAGCGCGGTGTGGTAGGTTTGAGAAGCAAGTGGGCCCCTTTGGAGTGATCCCATCGGTTCTTTGCGATGCGTCACGGAGCTGAAGTATCGAACATGCATACGTGTATTTGAACCCTCCCAATGTGTTTATGAAAACCATCACCAGGGTCCAGGGCCAGCCCTACGGGGGAAGGGGGGCGGTATGGCACCCCAAGACCGCAGGAGCGCCCAGACCCCAAGACCAGGGAGCCGCAGAGGCCGCAGGAAACCACGCAGGCCCACGGACCCAGGGCGGCAATGGCCGGCACTCCCAGAGAGCCAGAGACACACCCCAGACAGGCGGGGCAGGAGGGCCCGCCCACCCGCCGCGGACCGCCCCCACCCCCCCCAACCACCACCCGCCCCCGACCACCCGCCCGCCCCCGACCCAAGGAGCCAGGCGCGGGGGCCCGGCACCGCCCCCGGGGAGAGAACCAGCACCGCACCGGACGGGCCCGCACCAGGCGCCGGCCACCAGCAGACGCCGGACCGGACGGTAGTGAGAGCCCACCCAGGCCCGGGCAGACGAGGGAGGCAAGGAGGCGGTGATGCTGCAAGGCATATGTCCCCTGCGCATCGGGAACCAGGGGACCGCGAAGGGCCACCCGCCCGAACCCCCCAGGACGGGCCCCCACCAACACACAGGAGAGAGCGTGCCGCCATGAGCAGTCAATCCCCCATCGGGACCCCCTAGCAGAGGGCCCATAAACCACAGCCGGTCAGGAGGCAGAACCCCGGCAGGAACCCACAGAGCCCCCAGGGGCCACCTGGCCCACCCGCCACAGGGCCACGGGACCCCCCAGACACCGGGAACCCAGCCACACCACCATGATGTAAATGGGCTCACTGGCTCCAACCCTCAGCCCAGGAGGGCCGGGCCCCACGAGCCACGCCATGCGTATCTACAGTGTGTGTAAACCCACCACCCCCCCTCTTACTATGATTCTCCGATCCCTGACGGAGAAACATTAACCCTACACCGTGAATGTGAATGTGAATGTGAGTGCCTATAAGTGTGATGTGGTGCATTAAAATTGAGGGACATAGGAGACAGGTGGGGGCACGGCTGATGGCTACAGCACAACACATATCTAAAGCTCTTTTAATGTACATCTGAACTAAATGATGTCTAAACGTCACATCCTACCATTCCTGGAGCTCCTCCATGTGCAGGAACCTGTTGCGATACTCTCTTGGCAGCTCAAACTGGGACGGCAGCGGGAACATGGACTCATAGAAGTCTCTCAGCACAGCTTTCACTGTGGCAGCATCTTTATGGCTGTGGTCGATGTTGTCGTTCAGACAGATGAACTTCCTGTTGGGGATCAGCGAAAATACAGATGGTGGTACAATTTAACAGCTGATGTAGTGAACTTAGGCTCAGAGAGGGAGAAATGAAGACGAAAGGCAAACAGAATCCTTTCCTACCTGGGGTTCTTCCTAATGTCGTCTAACTGGCCGACAACATGGGACACATTTGTCCGCACCATCTTGAAAGCTATCTCCTCCTCCCCCATGATCTCAAACCTGTCCAACAGAGCACATGTTAGCAGCAGCAACAGTAAAGCTGATTTTTTAGACATTCACAGACTAAATAACGGTACACTGAGTACTCACTTGTACTTATTCTGGTCTCTGAAGGCTTTTTGGATGCGTTCTGTGATGGGCTTGCAGTGAAGGACGAGGCCTTTCGTGACAGGAGGCTGTGGATTGAAAAAAAGCACAGAAAACCAGACAAATTATTCAGCAAGAAAGCCACAAAAGAGGTCTTAAAAGCTTATCATATGCAATGGATTCAATGTGTTGGCTCACCATGCTGGGGTCATAGTAGGCCTCCTGAGTTGGGTTCACCAGGTGGAGCTGGGTCAGGTTAGTTGGGAGCGTCTTAGAGCAGTTTATTAACATCTGCTCCAGACCTGTCAGGTCCTACAAGATGCAACAAAAATATATCACACTTCAAAACCAGAAGAAATCTTGTAAAATATTATCTGACAAAGTCTTATGTTAGGGAGAGAAGACGTATCAAAGCCAGGACCAACCTGGAGGCTGAGTGGCAGCTCGTGGATCCTTGTGGCCAGAGTTCGAATCTCCCGGTCGGACAAGATACCTGAGTGGTCGGTGTCGATCTCATCAAACACTTCAGACACGTTGAGCTGCTGCTGAGCACTCATCAGGAAGTAGAAGTACGAAAAGGCGAACTGCATGTCCTCTGAGTGACGAACACGGTGGCCTGATGTCTTGTCAAACTCCTCTGGGAATCTGGAGAAAAGAGAGCAGAGCAGTTTAACATGTCGCAAAGGAGTCTCTGTCTGTTTGTTTGTATGTATGTGGGTCTGCCTGTATATTTCCTCCAGTCTTTGGATGGACTTAACAGCTGGCGTGTGTATTGCTGAGGACCCAAGGAAGTTCCCGTAAATAGCCTGGTCCCAGATAGCTAGCTGTCAGCAAATAATGCATATACTCCAAAGAAAGCGTAATGTTGAACGTGAAGTTGTTTGGATGAGTGTTTCTTGAGAAAGCTGCAAGCAGCAATACTTGTGGCCCAGCAATCGGCCCGTTCCTAGTACCTAAAAATTATAACAAAAAATCTGTAACACACTCACGTGTCCTGCAGCTCCTGCATGATGAGACGGTCGATCATGTGAGGCATGTGTGCAGGCACTTTGCGGGACGTGAACCCAAACTGGCCGTTGAGCAGCTTGTTGACGTAGCGCAGCGAGTCAGCAAAGGTGTCCTGCAGCTTTCGGATGGTGGCAGCACCGTCAGTCTCGTAGGACAGTTCTCTCTGCAGACGCTCCTCTTCCTGCAGAGTCACCACAAAGAAATTAACATTTAAAGAAATCAAAATGCTTGACTGAAAGTGGAAATTGTTGCGGTACTTACCTCAAGAAGTTCCTGAAAGTATTTCCTCCTCTCCCACGGCAGGAAGCCTCTGTCCGTGGAGATGTAGTGTTGGAGTCTCCTCCCAACTGGAGCTCCTCCTGCAGCGTCGACCGGCTCTGCCTTGCTCTCGGCGCTCTTGGTTTTGGAAAGGCTGCTGAACAGTTTGGAAGTCAGAGGCCTGTCGATCGCAGCTTTCAGATTGTATTGTTTGGGAGGTACAAAGTCTTTACCAGGCTTATCATCAATATTCACTGTGATATGAGGAGTGACTGTTCTTTGTGGCGCTGCCCCATCTTTCCTGGACATTTCCTCTTTTGAGTTTGGATTTTTCTGAATGATTTTTCCAGCTATGTCTTCAACCGGTGGTTTCCCCTCCAGCTGCTCTCCCTCCAGGTCTTTATAGGGCTTACCCTGGACCTTGGCTGCACCCTCATTCGCTGGATGTGAATCAGTGTCCTGCTGCTTTTGAGCCAGTGCCCTGTACGGTTTTAGAAGTTCAGCCTTTGTGAGGTTATAACCCTTCACAGTGATGTCACCGATCAGAAGTTTCTCCTCCAGCTTCTGCAGCTCACTCTGCACAGCAGCTGGTAGAAGAGACACGTTCAGTGAGGGAACTTCAACGACAACCTGAGGTTCACCTGGCTGCCTCCTCTTGATCTTAGGCCCCTGTTTGTCCTCAGGAATGTCTGAGAACGGTACAGGTGGCTCTGGAGTCGGGGTTGGCTTTGGCTCTTTGCCGCCGTCTTTGCTCGCAGCTTGGGACACATTAACTTGGGGTACCTCGCGAGTGTCGACAGCTACGCTGAAGCTCATGGTGAACTCTGTGTCATCTTGTCTCTGGAAAGTGAGATTGTAGTGAATCTGGGTGGCGTTGTGGCCTGGATGGAGCAGCAGGTGAATGGTTTTCCACTTGTTGGCGACGGAGGTGTGGCGAAGTGCCGGGTTGTCGCTGACGTGGGCCTCTGAGACTCTGCGGGCCAGTCTGTCGAAGCTGAAATATGGCCTGGTTTCACCCACTGGGAGGGTGTACAGGGTCTGGTTCTTCAGCAGGGTCACATGGTACAGCTCGCCAAAGTGCTCTGCAACAGAAATCAGCACAATCAATGCATCTGTTAAAGGATAAGGCTGGTGATATTCAAAACCTTTATTACTGGCAACAAATTCCATGATGACGCCAAAACAAAAAATAGTCTCTGAAAATTTTAACGTCCCTCCATTATCCCTTTGGTGTTGTTATAAAACAACTGTGGCTAGAAACTGGGGTGAGGGAAAAACCTACACTGCATAGTATCACAATATCACAACACGTCAATTGTAATTTGTTTTACTTTATAATTCTTGGTAATGCAAATAGACTTGACTACTGTAACACCTTGTTCTCAGGCCTCTGAATGAAATCTTTAAATAAAGTTCAGATGTGCAGCAGCACGTCTGCTCACCAAGACTAAACACAGAGAACACATTACTCCGGTTTTAAAGGCTTTTCTTTTAGTTTTTGAATCTCTTAATGGACTGACTCCTGACTACTTATCTGATATATTGGTCAAATACATTCCCCCTAGATCCCTAAAATCCTCCACCTCCAGTCTATTAAATGTCCCCCAGTGTAGAACTAAAAAGTACGGTGATGCTGCGTTCTGTGTCATCGGCCCTTGTCTCTGGAACAGCCTTCCAGAGGACGTCAGACTCTTTGATTCAGTAAACAGCTTCAAACGAAAATCTTAAAACCAAAAATTTAGTAGCTTTTGTATAATCATTTGGTCTCAAACCCAATTTGTATTTCTTATGATTGTGTGTGTCAGTGTGAGTGTGCGGTTGTGTATCTGAATCTTATTTATTCTATCTTATACTGTCTTTTATGTGTATTTTCTCATTTTATTATGTTCTTGCCATAATTTTGCATCCTGTCTAAAGTGTCGTGACTCGTGATAATATTGTATTGTGAAGCCTCTGGTGATTCCCACTCCTAGTAGAAAATATTAACATGGTGCATTGAACTCACCTTGGCCGCAGTCTCCCACATCGTATCCACAGGAGAGAACATTGCAGGCTTGGTCGCAGAACTTGTCCGCCAGCCAGGAGTTGGCACAGCCTTGATTACAGTACGATGTCCCCCCAAGACCTCCTAGACCCCCTGCAAACTGCCACACCTGTCCACCAGCTCCACCAGGCCCGCCACCTCCGACACCAGCCGCAAACCGGCTGTTCCCTGCCGCACCTGTCAGAGAAAAGGGACGACATGTTAGACACAAACGTAGCAAAATAGCTTTATTTACACAGGAGAGATAGAGTTGGTGTTCTTTACCGAGGCAGTCTCCTCCATCCCAGTCACAGGCGGAGTTGTTACAGGCTTTGTCACAGTACCCATCTTTGATCCAGGATCCTGGGCAGCCCTCAGCACAGTTGGGTACAGGCCAGGTGAGATACACCTGCAGTGAGGTGAGGGAAGACAAGATTAAAGGACAGTCTGTAGTCAGTTTAACATGTTTTTACTTGTACAATCTGTACACAGTTTAAAATGAACTCCCTGTGACCACTTTCTGTCACCTTCTGTCCTTTGGAGTGGCTGTAGAAGTCGTCCGGCCAGACGTCTTTGCCAAACATCACGTCATCGTTGAGGTAAATGAACTTTTGGGAGAGCCCTGGGATGCGGTGGATGTGGGTCTCTATGGCAGGGGAGCTGAAGGTGGGAAGGTGGCTGCTGTTCAGGAAGATATCCTGGAAATAAAAGAGAAATATATTTAGTAGATTTGTAGCTGTGGTGTTCACATTCACGTTCTTTGCACTTTGAGAGTTCTGTAATTGTTTCGGTATTTTTTCTATTTGGTTTTTAAGATATAACATAGGGTTTAGGGGTCAGTAAAAATAATCTGACTGCCAATCCCTCTTTAAGAGTGCAGCGCAGTGTGATAGATGTCGAGGCTTAAATTTTACCTGATGTGTGACAACTGTAACTCTGGGGTTATCCAGGTTGAGCCAGGAGGGAATCTGCCCGTTCGTGACAATGAAGATGTGTCGCACCCAGGGGGCGTGTCTCTCCACAGAGCGCAGCGAATAGCGGAGCTCCTCGTTGTCTTCGAATCGGCTGGCTGAGACATCTTCATCCTGTTTAGACTGGAGAGGAAAAACGATAAATATTAAGCTCATATCTCAGGGGATATTACTGCTCATGGTGAAGAGCCGACAGGGTTTCAGGGAGGACCAGTCGTACCTGTGAGATGGCGGTCAGGTCCCAGAACAAGTAGCCAGGGCTGATGGTTAACTCTTTTCCATCCAGCGTCAGGTTCTTTTTCGCCTGCTGGGTGAGATCGGTGAAGTCCTGTGGAGTGTTCAGGTGGAGCAGGGCGATGCTGGCCTCGGAGTACAACTCAAACTGAGGGACAAATAAACAAGGAGTAGGGTGTTACAGAGCGCTCCAGTGATTTGGAATTGCATTTTCCTGAAGTTGGTGGACTTAATAAAGACATAATGTCTAATGGATTGGGGCAAAATTTTGTGCAGACATTTAGTGTTTCCACGTGATGAATCCTGATGACTTTGGTAAACCTCTGACTTTGCCTCGTGCACCATGTCTCGACAACTATTAGCTAGGTTGCTGTGGAATTTGGTACATATATTTAATGTCCTGTGAGGATAGATTCCATTCATTTTTGGTGATCCCCTGACTTTTCATATGGCGCCATCACATCAATTCAATTTACCTAACATTTATGGGGACTCCCTGGGAGGAACTGCCCACTGGGGAGCTCCCCTGAGAAATATATACCTTCAAGTAGTGTTGTAGTACTCAAGATCGGCCTTGGTTTCAAGACCATTTACTCAAGGTCTCGGTCTCATGTTGGACTCAACTGCATTTTTACTTGATCTTGTCTCGTCCTCAGACAAAGAGGACTCAGGATTTTATTTCTAAAGCAGTTGTAGTATGTTTGCTTGTTCCACATTTTATCACAAGTGTGTCGTCCACTGATCTGGTGTTGGCCCTGACTCAGTCTCAGCCCCTCAAAGTCTTTGTGTTGTCTCAGTTTTTTGACATAACTTGGTCTCAGTGCGGTCTCAACGCTGCCTTCAAAGGCCTTTCCTCTAATGCATTTGCTCCACCAACAGGAACGCTGAAGTGACAGGAGCTGACCAGCAGTTGGTACTCATGGGAGAAGTTTACCCAGAGGGCTGTCTGCTGCATTGGCTCATTTGTTTGACCAATCAACATGCACTTACATCACTCATGGTTGCTGTGCTGGCAAAGTATCTACTCTGAAACAGGAACTTAAAAAGTTTCTCAAGACACATATTGCGTTTTCTAGTTGCACTTTTAAATATAAAATCAGAGTTGAGCCACCACATGCGCTGTGGGAACAGTCTAAATAGAGATTTCTCTGAGGTGAAGTCACATGCCAGTGACATGGTTTAACCACAGTCCAGCCAGACATGTGACAGAAACCTTCATTGGTCTGTCTTTGGGGCCGGAAGATTTCTGGAAGTCTGGGAACGCAAATGACAAGACTGACAGTGTGACCTCTGACCTGCAGCTATGGAGGTCAAATCAAAGCAGTGATGATGCTTGTGTGGAGGCATCTGCTGGCTGCTGCAGTCAGACCAATGTGTGTGTTTGTGTTTAAAGAGGTGAGGGTTCGGAAAATTCTGTGATGTCATCTTCTCCATGGGGGTCACATGGAGAGCTATGTGAGGCATCGGAGGACTCTCTTTCGGTGTGTGTGTGTGAGGGAGACACCCCCGGCCTTGCCCCTTTCCAACAATCTGTCTCGCCCTCTCTCATCTCTTAAACTCTAAGCTTCCCAGGAAAAAGACTCACCCCGTCTCACTCCATCATCCCACGCTGAACCCAAACATCTCGCATGAACCCTACTCCTTTGTTTTTCTCTGCTCCTGTTTTTAGGTGACGAGGATTTGCTGTGTCTTATAAACGCAGCAGGGAGCAGCCAGGAGACAGCGAGCTGCGGATCACATAGTCGTCTTTATTATAGCTCTCCTCGTAGTCCTGATAATGCTCTAACACTCGCACACGAAGCAGAGGTGTGTGGTGGCCTAACACTGGCACATGTCTGCCCGCAAGCAAGTGTAAACTATTTTCAATACACACATGGCACATAATTATTTACTAGACCACAAGGAAACATTATGACTGACTAGTCTTGAAGGATTGATTCAAGATAAGATAAGACCCTAACATGTATAGAACTTATTTTTTACATCTGACTCGCAAATTAATTCCTTATTCTTCCAATTTCCATTTTTTTAATGCAGCTTAAGTTGCTCTTCCCAAGTATTAATACTTCCCATGTGAGTTTTAGTCTCAACATACATTCTGTGGCCTGTATGTAACTGCAGAGGCAACACAAAATGTAATTAGCCTAGAAAAGAGTTGACCCTCTGAGTAAACCAATTAACCTCGTGTTGAGTGATCTGTCTAAGCAGGTGGGTTGAGATGCTGTAGTGGCTCGCAGCACAATGGACGGCTTCATCTGAGCTGAGGCTGCGTCATCCTGTGTCACCTGTTGGGTCAAAAGGTCTGGAACAGTCTGACAGTCAGAAACTGAACTATAACACTATCCAGTTCTTTACATAACGTACCAAACATTGTCAATGTTACGACATGACAATTCGGTTGGTCATCTAGTTTTCTGTTGACAGATGTTTGGTGTATGTGTGTCACAACCAAAGACTGTACAAAATAATGGCCGTAGCTACCGTGATGTCATCCACTGGTTTGTGGACTGTTTTGAAGACTTGAGTTTGGCATTTTGGCCATTAGCTTCTTGGATTTTTTATGTTTGGACAGGAGATTAGAGCAGTGGAGGAGATAGAAGTGGTTCTGCCTCATTGACTGTGGTGACCAGGCCCCCAGGAAGTGCGCCAGGCTTTAAGGCCAATTTTCGTAGTGACTAAACAGTGTAAAAACACCATCATCTGATGCCTTGCGGCCCGAAAAGACTCTCTTATTGACTTACATGGCAAAAGAGACATCTTTAAATCAGTTTGAAAACGAGGCGCAGCTCCAACTAGAAAACAATGTTTTGATGCATTGGATGTGCTGAATGTGCATATTAAGGCAGTACAGGAGGAGGTGCACATTAATAATCCTCCAGGACTGTAACATGCTCATGTTTAACCCAAACAATGTGTCATGTGACTGCAGTTGGTTCAGATCCAGGTCGGAACACGTTCTCACCACAAATGAACCGCACCAGAGTTCGTTTGTAACCAAACTGAGACCACCTCTTCAAGAAGGTCTCGGTCCGGTTGTTTTGGTGCACACCTGAGTGTGATTGCTGTGTTCACACCTGCCCAAAGGAACAACACTGAGGGGGCAAACAAACTTGAGTTCGACTGAACCGAACCAAATGAGGTAAAGCACACTTAGACTTCTTCTTTGTCAACTCTAGCTGAAAAACATATCCAACAACAGCCTTTTCAGCACAACCTAAACAGTGTGGCTCTGCACATATTGTATGGGAAATAAAACCTTTGAATCTTGCTTCACAGTAGAGATGAGACACCGTGTGGACAAACGCAACCACATAAAAATACACGCTAATACAAACACATCAGCAGGCTTGTACACAAACACTGGGAGCAGATGATCGGGGTTGTGGGGCAGCTTTCATCACCACAGCACTCGGTCTAACACCAGCTATAAATACCAGCTGCCTCTCACCGCTCAACCTCTCCCTCCACACTATGCACATCATCCCTCTTTCACAGAATCGGCCTGACGACACCAGGAAACACCTTGAAACCCAAACTGTGTATTCTGTGGCGGCCCGTGTACCTAGAATCCCTCTGGTCCTAAAAGCCAAACACACACACTTTCCATCCTGGACTGTGTGTGTGGCTTCACAAGTCCCGGTATCATCTCTATTCCCACCACTCCACTTTAATCCTGCTGCACCCATTCCAGCTTGTTCCACTCAAAGATAAAATCTGGACTCCACACAGGTAAAGCTGGGCACACACAAACATGTCTGAGATGACAGGGTGTGTCCGTGAGTGCAGAGAAGGTCAGTAAAATCCTTGTGACCTTTCAGTGTGTTGGCTGGCGCCGCGCCACTCCAAACAGTTGTTCTAATGTTAACCCCCGCAACGCCAGCTAAGGTTACAGCCCGAATGCCGCTGGCTATTATCACACGGCCTACCAGGCTACAGCGCGACCACAGACCTGGAGACAAACGCAGGGAATGATGGGACAACTGCGTTTGGTGATGATATGTAGGTTAAACACAGTTAACCTACATATCATCACACACAAAGTTACATAAGTTTGACTCCGCTGAGGCTGCCTCTTCACCTGTTAGTGCTCACATAGAACATACAGTAGTATTATGTACAGTACGTTATCCTGAGTCTGACTGACTTGGAATTTGGCACAAATATAAAGCTCATTGTGCTCAAAAAAAGCATCCTGGAGCATAAATGTCTGCCATGATGGATATTTTGCTAATCTGAATAATGTAAAAAACAGTTATGTGACATCTGCTGGGATCTTGACACTGACCAAATTTGGTACACATGCTCTAAGAGGAAAGTATTCACCAAGATATGAAGTATTATATTGATTGGTACATGTGGGCGTGGCCTGTTTCACATTATATACTACCTTATGTCGTTGCTTCAGTTGCTGAGAGCTGGAATAAGGTAGAGACATGATATTTGGCACCATAACCAAGAACTATTTACAAATGCTTCCCCAGAAATATGACTCCAATCGGCTGCATGCTGGCGCTGTAATTAGTGACAGAAAATGCCATTTTGGAAAGGCAACACCCCTCACACCATAGTGCCAAGTGTCTTGAAATTTGGCACACACATAGAGCTAAATGTACTCTACAAAAAAAACCTCTTGGACCATTATGTTTTTTTTCCATAATGTCAAACACCATAAAATGAAAATACTTTTCTTAATTTTGGCTCTATCAACACCAAATTTGCTACACAGCCTTGAAGGACTGAAATACACATTTCTACTAAATGACAAAATGAGGGGCGTCCACTAGCTCACCTGGCAGTGCAGGTACCTCATGTAAGAAGGCTGTGTTCTTGCTGCAGCGGCAGCGGGTTCAATTTCAACTCATGGCCCTTTGCTGCGTGTCCTCCCCCCTCTCCCCCCTTCATGCTATATATAAAAAAAAGACTAAATGAGCCAGATTGGTTAAAAAAAAAAACCACACAATCGCCATCAATCAAAAAACTTCACAAAAGCAGGGATTTTGCAGTTAAGTGGCCAAAACTCATTTTGTCCACTTATCATAAATATTAATATATATCTTCAGTATGTGTTGATGAATAGGCCTACCAAAGCATTCTCAGCCTGACCCATAGGGGTCGACACAAACACCAAAAACATGTATCTCAATAACTGGTGGACAGATTGTCACCAAATAGGCAAGAATTAATGAGTGTCATATTGATTGCCTACATAGCAATACACGCTACATTATGCCTTTGCTCAAATTTCTGTGAGCTAGAATGAGATAGAGAAAAGAATTTTGGGACCATGACTGGGAATGATGTTCTAATGCTTCACATTAAATTTAATCCCGATCAGCCAGATGGTGGCGCTGTAATTTACAGCCGAAAAAGTGACAGCATGAGTCTGGCTCACTTAAAATTTGACACACATCTACAGCTCGGTTTGCTCTATAAAAAAAGCCTCAAAAGGCCACTATAATGGAGTTATTGCTATTTTGCATAATGCGAAAACAATGTGTCTCCTTTTTTAAAATTACTTTACCTGTATCAACACTAAATTTGGTATACAGCATTGCAGGATAGGGCTAATCAATTCCGTTATAAATTAGCAAGACTGGTCAAAAACAATGAGTGCCATCAACCAAGAAGGGCCGGCTTAGCAGTAAAAAGGTCATAACTCAAATTGTTTTTTAATAATCCTAATTAAATTCAGTGGAGACATCCTGAACAATGTCCTGAATGTATCCATCAAATTTCATTCACATCTGTTAAAGGGGGGCAAAACGGCAAGACTTTGAAATGGCGTGACTTTGCTGAGCTTTGTGAAGCCCAGGACCTGCTCACGCTGTTGCTTGCAGCTTTGAGTTTGGCAATTGAGCTGACTCCTCCTGTTAGCCATGAAATGGTTTGAACCTGCAATTGCTGCATTTTAACATAATATCGTACTATTGAGTGTTAAACTGAATTATTTATATTATCAGTGAAGATGCTGATCATTTTTCCAATTGATTTTTTGCTCTATAAAATGTCAGAAAATAGTGAAAATAGCCCGTCATAATCTCACAAAATCCAGACTGATGCACTTAAAACTGCTTGTTTGGTCAAACTGCAATGAATAGCACAAAGATGTTCAGTTTACTCTCCTAGAAGCAGCAAATATTCACATTTGAGAAGCTGGAACAAGTGAACTTGGGGAGTTTTACATCAAAAATGACTTAATTTGAGCCTGTTGATCCACCAATCCATTGATTATCTAATAAAATACAGTACTGGGAGGTGATAACATAACTCTATTGTATAACACCTTTGTTTTACATTTGATAATATACAAAGGCAGTTACAAAAGATGTTATCTAATCCGTCACCCGTTAAATCTAATCAGCCATGTGAGCATATTATCGGAAGACGGGACAAACAGTTGACTCATGCCCGTCCTGGCTGTCTGCTGGTGTGACAGGGTCACTCAGCTCCAGGCTGCACTGTTTTGTTTTCTTTGATTATTTCAGAGTAATCCGCGCTCGTTAGTGGCATTCCTCGCACTCAAAATATAAAGCAGACTTCTGATTAGAGAAAATTATTAGATACACACGCCGCCGAGCCAAACAGAGGCCCTTTATCCACATCACAACATAACTGTTTAAAATAGAAAAAGCCCATATTTAGCAGGACAGTGCAACCTCCTCTCCAAGGAGGATTTGACATTTGTGTTCAGCCCTTTCTTAGATTACGCTGCTGCTGTGATGTATAAAAAGATCTTAATTTGTGCCCACACAAATATACAGTGTATATCTGTAGTGAGCAGCACCCTTCAGTACTGTGATGTTAGGACGCTGTGAGAGTGACATCTTGTGGCCAAACTCAGTTATATTTAAGTTGTCTTTAACATTGTCACTTCCAAAATACCTTAAAGAATTATAGCTCATTCTCCACATGGAGTAAGAAATATAATAAATAAAAGAAGCTAAAAGTCAATGGCATCTTCTATATATTTATCCAGTGTGCAACTCTGCCACCTGCTGTTTTGAAACTGAAATTTCCTCCTTTTCAGACACCTACATGAAGTGGATTTAACTCCTAGATATTACAACGACCTGCCTAACATAATGAAGTGATTGAAATCCGCCTACATATTTTACAGTATATAAGTATCTTTATCTTCCCTACCTGACTCACCTGTTGATGCAGATACACACACTCATGCCACTGTATACACACAACATTCCTTTTTCCTACTTTATACCTTTTGTTTTATTTCAAAATTAATACTTTAAGCTGGGATGTGTTAAAAAAAAATACAAAAAAACAGCCTGGAAATTCTGAAAAAGATTGTATAGGTTGCTGGAACCGAAATAAAAACGAAGTTAAAAATTAGGACAGTCTATTTGACATTCTATTTTGATGTAATAATCAAGTTCTAGACTTGCTTTTCTGCAATTTTCTTTATTTTCAATGATATTTTAGTGCATTTTACTCTGTGTTTTACTATAGTTGTATGTGCTTCATCTTTGGCTTTTTGTTGGTTTCATTCTCTCTGTTTTATATGAGTTGTTTTTTTATTGTAAAGCACTTTGTAACTGTGTTTTGAAAGATGCTATAAGACATAACAGATGAATATTGTAGATGCTAAATACAAAAAGGAAATCCATATGATGAAAATCTCTGCAGATATGTCAATTCTAACTCTAACAAATAAGCAGCTTAGTTGCCGCGGTTTACCCCAATAACTTTTTTTTAATCTGTCTTTCTGATCTCCCAAACACCAGGAACTATTTCTAGGAAATTTTTAAGAGCTTTTTGCCTTTATTTGAGAGGACAGCTTCAGCGTGAAAGGGGGAGACATGCAGGAAAGGGCTACTGGTTGGAATCGAGCCTGCAGCCACAGCGTCAAGGCCACAGCTGTTGTACACGGGCCGCCGACTCTACCAGGTGAGCTACAAGTCACCCCACCCCCAGAAACTATTTCAGCTGAGAAACAAGTTTTGATCCATGTTGCTGCCAAACTATTACCATGCAGGATTGTCAGTTACTCTTTGTGAACACCCTCACCAGCAAAAGTAACAGTAAAAGCCGACCACAGATTCACTCTCATTTGGCGTTTCACCTCGCTGTATTTGCATTTTTTCTGTGCCGTGTCTCTTGGATGTCTGCTGCTTACGGTCTGGCACCTGGTTGCTACCTTTTTATAAAGCCCCTTCAGTACTTCCATATCGCAGGATATTACCAGATACAGTGATGTTAGATTCCTGCTTCTTTTCTGGGGATTCATTTTGTTGAGAAAGTGAAGAGTGCTCTTGAGTCTATGTGATATTCTGTACTGGCTCAGAGTCTATTACTGGAAATATTTTCTGAGCGATGGGATCTGATCAGACTCAGTATCGACGGTAAGGACTCAGATCAGGGCATCTCTATTAATAAGTGATAATGAAGTCATTAATAATGATAAGAAAAAGTTTTACCTGTTTGATCTTATTGGTTATTGCAGAGGGCAGTTTGACTCTCAGCTGCTCTGTTTCCTTAAACGTTGCCGGGAAGCCGCTCAGGTAGGCCAGAGACTGCATGCGGATCAGACCTGGAGCCTCTTTATCTGTCGTCTGCAAAACACACAACAAAGAAATACATTTCAACCATCCAACAATGATATGTGTGATATGTGATATTTCATAATTATCTGCCATTATAGGAGGAAATTATGGGGATACATCTTGAATCAGACAGTTTCATACAGTTCAGCATGCATTTAACAGTTAATAGAAGTGTTATTAACTCACCAGGTAACATCTGGACACAGAGAACTTCTGTTCCTCTTTAGACACATCTGTAAAGGCTTTATCAGCTGTAAAAACAATTGATAAATAATGAGAGAAGAATAAAATCTGCAGCCAAGAAGTCTAACAAGAAGCTCAGAATACAGATTCCTTGCTCCACCGCTGCTGCATCCTCATGCTCTGTTTACTTATTAACCACACTTCAAATATCATCTTTTGCACTGTAAATATTTTCATATCTGAGTGATAATCTGCCTGCTGGGTTCAGTTTATCTCTCTGCCTAGAAAATCTCTTACATGGTGTTTAGGATCACTGAGCGAGCAGCGTCTGCTGCCCTTTGTTGCTGGATGTTTTTTAATCTAGTTTTTAAACCAGTGTTTCTGGATTCTTGCGTGTGTTTTTACCGTCAGCCTGAGAGTGGAAGATGGCAACGGAGACGGTGGTGGACGGGTGAAAGGGTTTGTTCATCAGCAGCAGCTCTTTGGCAGCAGAGAAGGAGGGAGAGAGCGACGGCAGCTCTTTGAGTGTGATGTTGGCTGGCAGTGCAGGGTCCAGCGCCAGCATGGGCGCTATGATGCAGTGGGACAGCAGACACTCCGGCTTTACACTGAAATACAAAACAAAAAAACACATTACTCATATTATCTTCACCTTGTGCTCTCCTGTAGGTGACCGCCTCCTCTAACTTAGTGGTTTCGGCCTTTCAGCTATTCATACATACATGTGAAATTAGTCACGTTCACACATTTAGCAAAATGGCTTCCTTTGTGGAAATGCTGCATCGAGTCTCCGTCTGTGTGTCTGTGGTTAAAACTAACAGGTTTTTAATCTTGACAGAAAGAGTCGAGCAGTAAGACGAGAGAGATGGGGGCCCTTTGCAACCTAATGCTTTTGGTGGTGTACACAGGAAATCCTTACTCTGAACTTGAATCGACACGGGGGCTCAGCTTTAAGATTCACAGCACTGCAAAAAAATGTAAAAGGACCCTTTGACTTCATTAGATTTGTCTTTCAAACCACTGTGTACGCACGTTTTATAAGAAGATGCCTTAGATTCATATTCCATTGCCTTTACTTCCTATAAAGCATGCTGAAAATGATGGTCACACCCACCCACTTATTAACAACGCTGGGCCTCTTTTGCCGCCATCAAATAACCGATATCCCACCAGCTCTCTGTGGTTTAACCAACCTCCCAACTTCCTGTTTCAACATCAAATGCTTACACTAGTGTTCCACTGTGCCTTTAGCTGTCACTTCCTGGTGTTATAAAAGACCAACTAGTCTCACAATGATCTCTAAAACCAGACCTTTACATAAAACAAAAACTGTGAGGTGTACCTAATAAAGTGGTCAGTGAGTGTACATACAAACAGGCTATTTAGATTTTGCAGTACCTGTTACACAGTGGTAGCAGGGCTGGGAAATATACTGATATGGTGATATGAGACGAGATATGATCTTAGATTTACCAGACTGTTCTAGCTGTTCTATTATTTGCCACATTACTGATGATTATTTATCAAAAATCTGTGCAAATATTTTTTGAAAGCACCAACAGTCAACCCTACAGTATCGTTACAATATCGATATCAAATTATTTGGTCAAGAATATTCTAATATTTGATTTTCTCCATATCACCCAACCCTCAGTGGCAGCTCTCCCTTTCTTATCTCTTGTCGTTTTAGGAACGGTTGTAAACCAATGAGCATTCAGTCTTTATGGAAATAATAGATTTGCATGTTTTTGTCGGGGATTTAGTTTCCTGGGTCCTGAACATTTCATACAGCAGTTTAATGTAGGAACAGTTCCTCTGTTAATTTTCTGGAAAATTAACTATATCATATATGCAGTTTATTAGGTACACTAAGCTAAAACTAAAGCAGTCTAATACAACAGTCCTGCCATAAATCCTTCCTTTATCATGTTCAGTTCTGATTTGGAGAGATGCTGCTTCAGCTTTATGGTGATTTTTGAGGATGTCGTTTGTGGTGCTGTTGAACTGTATTGTATTATACAGAGAGGTGTTTCTGTTAATTAGCCTACCCTTATTGATATACATTAGTCAAAGTAAACTGGCAACTGAATCTATATATATTAATTAATTTCCTGCTGTAGACTGAGTGACTAACGAACAGCTACTTGACAGAGACAGAACTTGCTTGATGCCATGGCCAAACACAAGTACGACACTGAATGTATTAAACTGAGTGGACCTTGAACTAGTGACTAAGGTGGAATCTGGTCCTCGTGGTGGGACCAGTTGGGAACCACTGGTCTAGAGTTTTAGTCTAGAGCTTGCTGGCGCTGCTCCGGAGCAGAATTAGCCTCAAGTTTGCAGGGTTATCACCCGAATATCAACTGAAAACTGGGCTAAAAGTTGTCAGTGTGAAATGGAGCTACTGGAATTTATGTCATGTTTTTGTTGTCCAATCACACATCACATCATCAGTGCACCAATGCTTTATGTTTATGTTTTAAGCATGGTAAGTTCTACTAACAGAAACAGCAGGTACCTAGCAAGCTAGCTAACTTAAAACAACAATAACACGCCACATGTACCAACAGGCATTTGACCCAGGGCAAGCAGTAGCAGGGTTCAAGGTTAATGTTTTTTTTCTCACTTGCTCCGTTAAGCAAGTGGGTCAGAAATCTTTTTGACCTAAATCAATTTTTATTTGCTCCATGGAAACTGTTTTATGTATAATCAGTAAGGAAATGACAACAAAGACTACAGTGAACTGTCATGAAAAACAACCTCATTTTATCCACTTTGCTCTCCGAATCGCGGCAAACTGCACACTCCACATCCTCTAACGCCACCCATCTAAACTCCTGTTTCCAGGATAACTGAGATGCTCTCTTGCACTTCAGCTCATAAACTTTGTCTTTACCCACCACCTGATGCCCTATTGGCACAGCACACGTGCAAAACTCAACAGAGATGAGAAGGGAGCAAGATGGCTCACTCCTTAGCTACTGCCATCAGCAGCTCCAGAAAAAAGCAATGTGTTTAGTTTGCTTTTTACCACTAGCCTGAGTGGACAATTGAGTTGCTAGATTTACTTGCTGGATCTGGCATTTTACTTGCCCCAGGCAATCCGGCAATCCTTATTGTTGAGCTCTGAGAGGTGTGGTGTGATTCATATAGCCCTGGGCTTGGCTTAACCCTGGGTTAACAGTGTGTGCGTGTGGAATGGGGCTAAGTTAGCCCAGGGCTAATATGCAGTGTGAAACATTGTGACCTATGGGGACCATCACACACCCAACATATCTCAACACTCACCTCTCTTTTGGCACTTCAGTTGTCTCACTTGCATTTTTCCCCAGGCGTTCCCTGTGTGCGACAAAGCAGTGAATTCATATTATTTATCATCACACACAACCCAGAATAACAACACTGTACGACAGTGTGTTGTTTACAGAGGTCTGTAGAAGCCAATAAACAGAGGAGCAGCACCATTTTAACAAACAGATGATAGAAGAAGAAAAGTTCAGAGACTAATGAAACATGAACTTTCTCCTCAGAGTTACTTTAACCTTTGATCCCAGAGCCCCTCTTCCTCTGGGGCAACGTCTGAACAAGCCAATCAAAGTGAGAGTGATAATGCTATAGCTCGTGTACCAAAACTGAAGCCACTTAAGTGTGTTTGCACTCTATCACCACATACTGCAGGTAAGACGTTCTACAGAAAATAAAGGTTTAAATTTGACTGCAGGCCTTGTGGGTTAAGGCCTACAATGATTCTACTTCACCACTAAGTTTCACTGCACAGCTGTATCTGCACAGACAGCGGAACCGCAGCTACCTTAGAGCTTTTTGTTCCTCCTCCAGTTGCTCCTTGACCGTCTTCAGTTCCTTCAGCAGAGCCATGTCGGTGCCATTCACCCATGTGTACACCACATCAATAGGCATGGGCAGACAGAGCCTGCAAAGAGAAACACTCGCATCACTCAAGACAGTCGTCAAACTGCAAAGCGGTGGCCCTGTTTCCCTCCCCAGCGAGTCTGGATTGGTTTTTGTTCATGCATGGTTACATCTCGTCCAGTTCTTTCAGATTTCCCTCAAGGGAAGGGTGCCAACAGTCCTGTGCGGCACGGAGGAAGGTTTTTGCAGGAAGTGCACACACTTTCAACATTTCAACATTTGTGATTATGATTCGATTTTCACTTGTGAACTCCACCCAAGAATATTTTGCACTTGTGACTGTGAGTGCAGAGATGACATCTGTCTAAATGAGGCAGTAACACAACAGTGAAATTCATGTATTTCATTTGCTCCGTTCATTAGGAGCTAATGTGCTGTCTTTAACTCACCTGCTCTGGAATGATTTCCCACCCACATTGTCTCTGTACGAATCAAACAGCACATGATACTGGTCCCGACTCCACTCCACCACCACCTGTATGGAGAGGAGAGGGCACAAGATGATATAAACCTCTCAGACAAGTAGCTGCTGATGTTGTTAACTCCTAAATATCAGCATGCAACTGTGGAACTGTATGTGTCTGTGGGAATGTGTGTATATATGAACAGAAAGAATCTATAATACTAATCCAGTCCCATCCTGCAAAACTTGTCTGAAATATATTTAAACTTAAACATACCATGCCCTCCAGTCATTTACCACCACCACCTCCCCGGTTTCGTTTTTTTCTCACCTCAAACATTGTCATCTGTTGCTCATCTAAGCTCTTTTATGTCTTGCAATCAGTAACATCTTTAAATCTATTGTTGCCTTTCTTTCTTTCATTGTTTTTATATTTGTTAGTATGCCCATTCTGTCAACATGTGTACGCACTAATTGGTGAATAAAATGGTAAAAAAAAAAAAAAAAAAATCCTAAACATCGCACATAACAGCTTGCTCACTCATAATCTGCACAGGTAGACACCAAGGGGATATTGTGCTCTTGAAGTTAACATATAATCATATACCAGGACAAAAACACATCAGAATAAAATCCAAACTTCATTTAAAACTTTGCCCCCCCCGGCCTTCACCTGCAAAATGTCACTCAAACTAGCACATACTGACCACTTAAAATAACCACAAAGAGACGCAAAAAAAGACCCAAAAAAAGACACAACACAAACAAATTAGATGCAAAATTGCCTTAAAAAGACAAAGAAAAAAACACAAGGAGACACAAAATGACCCCAAAGAGACACAGAAACCCCACAAAGAGATGCCAAGGAACCACTAAGAGATGAATAATATCTACAGAGATGGGCAAAAAAAACACAAAAAGACACAAAACAACCAAAAAAGATGCAAAATTGTCTCAAAGAGACACAAAACAATCACAAGGAGGGACAAAATGACCACAAAGAAACATAAAAAACCCACAAAGAGATGCAAGAGAACCACGGAGAGACACATAATAACTACAGATATGGGCAAAATAACCCCAAAGAGACACAAAAAACGACAAAAAAGAGACACAAAACAACCAAAAAAACACAATACTGCATCAAATAGACAAAAACAAAACACAAGGACACACAAAATGACAGAAAAATGACACAAAACAACCACAAAAGGAACAAAATTGCCTCAAACAGACACAAAAAACCCCAAGGAGACACAAAATGACCATGAAGAGACACAAAAAACCTACAAAGAGATGGAAAGGAACCGCTAAGAGACACAAAATAACTATGAATATGGGCAAAACAACCAGAAAGAGACGCAAAACAACAACAAAGAAACACAAAATAACCAAAGACTCAGAAATTGCCCCAAATAGACAAAAAAAAAAAACACAATGTGGCACAAAATGACCACAATGTATTTGTGGCCATTTTGTGCCTCACTGTGGTTTTTTTGTGTCTCAAAGGAACTGCTTAGAGACACATAATAACTACAGAAATGAACAAAATACCCACAAAGAGACACAAAAAATCACAAGTAGACACAAAATGACCACAAAGAAACATAATCAACCCACAAAGGGAGTCAAAGGAACTACTTAGAGACACATAGTAACTATAGAGATGGGTAAAATAACCACAAACAGACACAAAAATAACAAAAAAATGACACAAAACAACCATAAAAAGACACAATATTGCCACAAATACACAAAAACACACAAAATAACTACAGAATTGGGCAAAACAACTACAACGAGACACAAACCCACAAAAGGATGCTCAATGACTACAAAGAGATGTCAAACCACCACACAGTCTGTGTGTCTTGCTCCCATGTAGCAGAGGTGGTGGGGCCATTTGCTTATCAGTGCCCAGGGGCCTACTGTCTCACAATCCGCCCATGCTGATATGCACACATCCCCCTCAACAAACACGGCTGAGTTTAAACGTGGAGAGCTGTGAGTTAGCAAGTCATGGGAGTCAGTTCCTTTAAGATACGTTACATCACGCGATTAATTATAAGGCCGAAGTATTATGAACACCTCAAAGATTCAAAATACGCTTCAAATAAATACCTAAACATGCGCAGGTTTGCTGACAAGCTTGGTGAACTTAAAGAGCCATATTTTTGAGTGGACTCTGGTGAGACGGTGCCTCAAATCAAAAGAAGCAGCACACAGCTGTGGAGTAATGGACGTTAGCTAATTCAACAATACAAAGCGGCTGCCAGCAAGTGACGTGAGTTAGGAAAACAGAAGATGCTCACCTCGCCAAACTGAAAGGCGGAAACTATCATGAGGACGAGCCCCCCAAAGCAGAGGTACAGCCCGTATCGATGGGACAGACAGGTGTACGTCTGCCTCTGTAACAGCTTCAGCACCGAGTTGACGACTACCATGGTTCTCCTGGGCGAAGCATAGCGCTGCATTCATTCAAAAGAAACACGTTTAACGCACTAAACAAAGAAAGTAAACATCACAGGCGACCAGGGGCTGTCAGCTGACTACCAGCCAGACGGCATGACACATGACAACCATACATCTCACGCTTCTTCTGCGGTGGTGACGCTGCTGCCGCCCCGCTGCTGCTTCTGCTGCTGCTGCGCTTCAAACTCACGGGCGCCCTCTGGTGGGGAGGAGGAGTAAGGGCCGTGGTGCCTTCACGGCCAACTGTTGCCAACAGTTTTACTAGGGAAGAAAAGGTAACTTCGGGCACTCAGTGACAAATGCACTTGAATTAAGTTTAAAAACTTTGATATTCCTTGATTCTAAACAGATCAGTAACTCCTGAGCATCACAGGATGGAGATGGTCCCACACACAGGCTTTATTTTTTCTATTATATGTTTCTGTACAGATTAAACATAATAATTTAAGTAATGGGTTGTATTTTTCTTTATTTTTGTGATGGATGTAATTCAGATTTTGTGCAGGATTTCTTTTTTACCTCGTTCTCCAACATTTTCATTAATTTAAAGTCGTGTTTGTGTCCCTCTGAAGGATGTAATGTAACAACTCTTAAACTCTTTTGCTCTCTACCAACACTTGAGAAAAATATATGGTGCTATAGATGCACTATTATTCACCAGCAGTCTGCCATATGGAGCTGTACAGGAGTGGTGTAAATCTAAACGGTAAAGTTTTCGACTGTAAAAACCAAAACAATGTGCTGAAAGATGCTAAAAAGCTTTGTAGAGCTGAGGAGAACTGCAGGATTGTTTTATTATTCTAAGTGTGTCGAAGACTAATAGCAACCACTTCACCTGACACAGTTATTTGCTTTACGATTAATTTAAAAATCAATCCATCTGATTGCAGGGGCAGCAGGCCAAGCAAAGCACCCCAGACGTCCCTCTCCCCAGCAGCACTTTCCAGCTCCTCCTGGGGGACCCCAAGGCGTTCCCAGGCCAGATGAGATATGTAATCCCTCCTACTACAGGTGGGATGTGCCTGGAACACTTCCAACAGGAAGCGCCCAGGAGGATCCTGATTAGATGCCTGAACCACCTCAAGTGACCCCTCTCGATGCAAAGGAGCAGCAGCTCTACTCCGAGCTCCCTCCGGATGTCCGAGCTCCTCACCCTATCTCTAAGGCTGAGCCCAGCCACCCCACGGAGGAAACTCATTTCGGCTGCTTGTATCCACGATCTCATTCTTTCGGTCACTACCCAGAGCTCATGACCATAGGTGAGGGTTGGGATGTAGATGGACCAATAAATCGAAAGCTTCACCTTCTGGCTCAGCTCCTGCTTCACCACATTATTTTCATAATTATCTTTAAAGGGGAATCACACCAATTCTCAAGAAAAATCATACAGGCTATTCCTATATTCAAAGACAGTCCAAAAATATTGGTGAACATGAAGAACTCTCTCCCAAATCCAGAAACTAGAGTGCTGAAACTCATATTTGTGATATGATCAAGTACCCTATAGATTGGATCACTGTGAGGACACATTAACAACAACAATCACTTCCGGGTAGACAACTGGCAACTGCAAAAGTACTTTTAAGCCAAAGTATTTATCAAAAGTATTTTTTAGTGTATGCTATTTCTGGAATTTTTTTCTCCACTTCATTTTACATACTCACCAACTCAATGTGCAAAGTAAAATGACTGCTTTTTTCAATGAGTGTCAATTTGAGATAATGACAGCACGGTAAAGTGGTGACAATATTCTAAATATAGCACACGTAATCTGACAAAGATTTTTTTAGGTGTGACTTTTTTCAGTGGTTAAAAACATTTTGTGGCTGTGACATAGGGTTTTACTACCAGGAATTTACTGAAACAAGCATTGCCAATAACATGTATGACTCAGTTCTCAAGAAATCTGTAAGAACACTGCATCACATGTGCTCTGTATTTTTTCCTGGCAGTGAAAAAAGCAGAAATACAGCTGCTCAGAACTTTTTACATCCCGAAACATGAGAGACTACTGGGAAAAAAGTGGAACTTGCTCAGGTGCCATAGCGTGACCTAAACACAGGACGTAGTGATTGCATGTGAGAGTGGGGGAGTCTGGTCAAGGATGGTTTCTGGTGTTGCATGTTGATAGCTTCCTTGAACTGCATATAATCCCACTGTGAATAATCTGACAGTTTTCCAGAGCTTCTCTCAGATGAACCAAAACGCTCTTTTCTCTTGAGGCCAGGCAGGCTGTGGTTTCTCTGGCCTGCCCCAGTTGTCTTTTTCTCTGCTGAGTCAGGAGTGCCCTGGACTAGCCCAGACACAGAAAAGGCCTTTTCAACCAACAATTTCTCAAGGTTGCTGCCAAGTCAGGCACTGGCGAGCTTCAATAGTGGCATCAACAACTGAGGCTCTGAGCTGGCTCCACTTGGACTCTGTGTCCCAGGCTCTCCTTAAAATATAAGAACAGCTCTGCAGAGGTTTGAACTGAAAGACGTGAGCCTCCACCAGATCGTTTAGTCTGTGCAAAACAATGAATATGAAAATTGTCCCTTGCATCTATCTGCACCTGCCTTCAGTCGCTGGCCTGTAGCTTGACTGTTCTACTCCAATCATCGCTCTTGACTATGTTGACGTAACAGTAATAGATAACATGAGCCTTCAGCTTGTGTTGGGGGGTCTTTAAGAGGCCGTGTCCTGCTTCTTTGTTCAATGTTAAATTGTATTTCACCATAGGTGCTGGTTGGTTTGGAGGAATGATTGGTCAGGGCCTGCAGCTTATTTTTGTCCAGGGTCCCTCCATCAGGTCAGCCTGGCCCTACGAAGATAATTAATATTTGGCTTTAAAGTGTATTCCTGATAAATGATTGTGATTACGACCCTATGAGTCATGATGACTTTGCACTTTCCTTTAGGGGAAGGCAGGACTTGCACAAATCACATCGCATATCCGGGAAAGCCTTCCCACAGCTTTCCAAGTAAAGATAATTCTTTCTTTTTTTTAAGATTATATTTGTGGGCTTTTTGCCTTTAATGACAGGACAGAGAGTGAAATGGGGAGACAGAGAGAGAATGGGGACTGACATGCAGCAAAGAGCCCAAGCCAGATTCAAACCCTCAGCCGCTGCAGCGAGGCAATAACTCTGTACATGGGGCGCCGGCACTATCCACTACACTACCGACACCTGAAAGATCATTTTACTACTTTATCTCAGAGTCTGAAAGTAAACAAAGAGAGGAGTACCCTGGAAGAGCCATGTTGGCTCACTGCATCCATGAATCATCTTTATCCATGACAACTTGGCCCGGTTTGCTCCTCAGATTAAATTACCACGGTGTCCGCAGGTGAACCCGTCTGCAGGATCCCAGCCAGAGGCCACATATCTGGGACAAACCAACCACTGCAACAAGCTCCTTCACCACCAGAGAACAGAGGTGGTATATAACAGCATATAGATCATATACAAGTTAAAGTAATAGAATACTTAGAGGGTAATTCTTTTTCATTTTAAATTCTATTTTTGCATTATTAACGCTGTGTATATCAATAAAATGTGGACTACATGACATACTACTGCTGGATAAGTTCACCCTTAGCAGTGATACTCAATATGTGGCCTGTGGGCCAAATCTGTCCAGCAATAGAGTGTCGGATGGCCACGTACCATTTCCTAATTCACAATGAAAATAAATCGAATCACACTGGAAATCTTCTTTTGTACTTTGAATGTGAATAAGGTGCCAGAGTTCATACAAAAACGAAAAAATAGAGCTTATGTATTTTGAAAAAAAATTGAGAGGGACCCCCCGACAGAGGTCCAGGCTAAGCCCTGAATGTCCTCAAATCCTAGAAATGCCCCTGCAACCAATTTAGAGTGGGGTTCGAACCGCCTACCCCAGGGTTTGAACCAGGATCCCTCTTGCTGTGAGGCGACAATGCTAACCACTGCACCACCATACTGCCATAAAAACAATATTAATGTTTGTTTATTAACTGGCCCCTGTCACTCTGCGACTCCTGTGCAGAGCAAGTAAAGTACCCCTGATCTATCCACTTTATTTTTCACAGAAACACGGAGGCAAAACAGAACGCAGCCAGCTTCCGTTTTTTTGTGCGACACTTCCGGTCCAGCACTCTTACCACTTTGTAAATGGGAATCGCCTTGTTGTTTACCTTGCTGAGTTTAGCTATATATATATATATACAGTACAGGCCAAAAGTTTGGACACACCCTCTCATTCAATGCGTTTTCTTTATTTTCATGACTATTTACATTGTAGATTCTCACTGAAGGCATCAAAACTATGAATGAACACATGTGGAGCTATGTACTTAACAAAAAAAGGTGAAATAACTGAAAACATGTTTTATATTCTAGTTTCTTCAAAATAGCCACCCTTTGCTCTGATTACTGCTTTGCACACTCTTGGCATTCTCTCCATGAGCTTCAAGAGGTAGTCACCTGAAATGGTTT